AATCTTTTTTTTAAAAGCTATAACCATATACTATTATGAAGCTAAAATTTTCTTTATATCATTTATACTGTCATGGTTCAAATTTTCTCATCTCATAATGAGTTTTTGGCCAGATCCAAGTTAGTATCTACCCGGTTTTTTTTATTATTATTTTTTTAAAAAAATTTTTGACAGAGTTATAGACAGTGAGAGAGACAGACAGAAAGGTCTTCCTTCTGTTGGTTCACTCCCTAAATGGCTGCCATGGCTGGCGCTGCGTCGATCCGAAGCCAGGAGCCAAGTGCTTCTTCCTGGTCTCCCATGCGGGTGCAGGGGCCCAAGCATTGGGCCATCCTCCACTGCCCTCCCAGGCCACAGCAGAGAGCTGGACTGGAAGAGGAGCAACTGGGACTAGAACCCGGTGTCCATATGGGATGCTGGCGCTGCGGGTGGAGGATTAACCAAGTGATCACAGTGCTGGCCTCATTTTTTTTTAATTCTTTTATTTTCTGCCTTTTTTTTCCTTGTTTTTTATGTTTTGGATGTTTCTTTTGTAATAATATCATGGAGCTACCCACTTTTAAAAATCCAATCTGAAAAATCTTTTGATTTTCATTTAGTCCACTTAAATGTTTGTTGTGATTGTTGGTTTATTGGAGCTTATTTCTGTATCTTACTATTTGATTTCTACGTGTTACATTTATTTTATCTTTCTTTTTATGACTTTCTAATCTTATTTATTTATTTTTCTGAATTCTTCTTCCCCTACTCTTTCATAAATATTTATTTATTTGCTTTGTCCTATGCCTGGTGCTTTTTAATTAAAATCTCCTTGCTTGTTCTTAATCTCTGAGTACTCTAGAGGTCTAAATTGGGAATTGTTTTTTCTAGAGTATTCATTCTGTTCAGCTTCTGCCGGGAGCTCCTCTTGGGAACTGTGCTGACTTAGGTAGGCCCAGTGGCAGGGTCCATCTCAGTGCTCCTGCTGCTACTGCATCTGTGTGTAGAGTCCTTCCAACTTAGTGTCACGGGACACAGCTCCCATTCAGGCCTCAGCTTATATTTTTGGGAGGTGATGGTACTAGAGTGATTCCTGGAGACCTTCTTATCCTTTGTGTAAGGCTGGATGTAAATGCAATTATTCTTCAATGGCAAAGTCATTCAGACTCCTTAGACTCCCATTATGCTGGAAGCAGGACTCTCAGATCTGCTGTATTTTCCTTACTCTTCTTAGAGTTTTTACAATATATTTATTGCATAGTAATAGGAGGTTATATAGTTTCTTTCCCCAATTCCCAACTATTTTTCAGTTTTATATATTCTTCACAAACATTTTTATTGTGTCATGTTACACTGAATGCCATTCCATAGCATGAAGATATTTAAATTTTTTCTCTAGTAATGTTTAATTGGCTACTAATTTCCTTATCATGGGACTGCTGTTGTGGCACAGCAGGTTAAGCCTCTGGTTGTGATGCCATCATCCTATATTGGAGCTCTAGTTCAAGTCCTGGCTCCTTCACTTCCAATCTAGCTTCCTGCTAATGTGTCTGGGAAGGCAGTGGAAGATGGCCCAAGGCCTTGGGTCCCTAATATACACGTGGGAGACCAGACCACAGTTCCAGCTCCTACCTTCAGGCTGGCCCAACCCTGGCTGTTGAGACATTTTGGAAAGTGAGACACCAAATAGAAACTCTCTGTCTCTCTGTCTCTGTCTCTCTGTCTCACTACCTCTGTGCTCTTGTACCTTTCAAATAAGTAAATAAATGAATCTTTAAGTGAAATAAAAACAAAATGAATTTATGTAAGTCTAGGGTAGGCATTTGGCCTATCTGTTGAGATGTCTGCTTCCTATCCCAGACTGCTGGGTTTGATATCTACCTGTACCTACTGGCTGTGAACCCTGGGATGTGAAGGCTGAAGTGGTTGCATCCCTGCCACCCATGTAGGAGACTAAAATTGAGTTCCTGACTTCCAGCTTTGGCCTGTCCCGACTTCAATTGTTCTGGTCCTTTGAGGAGTGAACTAGCAGATGGGGATTCTCTCTTTGTCTAACTCTCAAATAAAGATAAAAATAAGTTAAAAAATAAAAAAGAAATGATTAAATGGGCTGGTGTTGTGGCACAGTGAGTTAAACCACTGCCTGTCATGCTGGCATCCCATATGAGCGCCGGTTCAAGACCTTGCTGACCTGCTTCCAACCAAGATCCCTGCTAATATACCTGGGAAGGCAGCTGAAGATGTCCCAAGTGCTTGGACCCCTGCCATCCACTTGGGAGACCCAGATGAATTTCCTGGTTCCTGGGTTCAACTTGGCACAACCCCTTCTATTGAGGACATTTGAGGAGTAAAGTAGTCTATAGAAAACCAATTAATCAACTTCTCTGTGTAATTGCCTTTCAAATAAATCTTTTCAAAAAGATTTAAGTTATTAGACTTCACAAATATAGAAGTATATGAATATTCTGAGGCTGGTGCTGTGGTGTAGCAGGTAAAGCTGCTGCCCATAGTGCCAACATCCCATATGTGTGGTGGTTTGCATCCCGGCTGCTCTACTTCTGATCCAGCTCCCTGCTAATGCACCTGGGAAGGCAGTGGAAGATGGTCCAAGTCCTTGGGCCCCTGTACCTATGTGGGAGACCTAGAAGAAGCTCCTGGCTCCTGGCTTCAAATCAGCCCAGTTCTGGCCATTAAGGCCATCTGGGGAGTAAACCAGCAGTTAAAGATCTCTCTCTCTCTGCCTCAGTCTCTGCCTTTCTGTAACTTTGCCTTTCAAATAATAATATAAAATAAAATAAAAATATAAATAATAAGAAACATGTATTTGTTTATTATTTGAATGGCAGAGTTAGAGGCGGAGAGAGAGAGAGAGAGAGGTCTTCCATCCACTGGTTCACTCCCCAGATGGCCACAACAGCCGGAGTTGAGCCGATCCAAAGCCAGGAACCAGGAGCTTCTTACAGGTCTCCCATGTAGGTGCAGTGGTCCAAGGACTTGGGCCATCTTCCACTGCTTTCCCAGGCCATAACAGAGAGCTGGATTAGAAGTGGAGCAGCGGGACTGGAACCACTGCCTATATGGGATGCTGGCACAGCAGGCTGGGACTTTAACTCACTGCACTATAGTGCCAGCCTCTAAATAAATCTTTTTTTTTTTTAAAGAAGTATATGAAGGGCCGGTGCTGTGGCATAGCGGGTAAAGCTGTGGTCTCCTGCAGTGCTGGCATCGCATTTGAGCACCGGTTCAAATCCCAGCTGCTCCACTTCTGATCCAGCTCTCTTCTATGGCCTGGTAAAGCAGTGGAAGATGACCCAAGTGCTTGGGCCCTTAAAACCATGTGGGAGACCTGGAAGAAGCTCCTGGCTCCTGGCTTCAGATTGGCCCAGCTCCAGCCATTGCGACCATTTGGGGAATGAACCAGCAGATGAAAGGCCTCTCTCTCTCTCTCTGCCTCTGCTTCTCTGTTACTCTGCCTTTCAAATAAACAAATCTTTTAAAAAGTTTTTTAAAAGTATATGAATATTCCAAAATTGTATAGGGGAGGGCTTTGAGTCTCAATGGATTAAGCAGCTACTTGTGCTACTGGCATCCCATTTCATAGTGCCAGTTTACATCCTGACTGCTCTGCTTCTCATCTAGCCTTCTGTTAATGTGCTGGGAGGCAGCAAATGGAGGCCCAAGTAGTTGGGCTCCTGCCATCCACAAGGGAAACCCAGATGGAGTTCTTGGCTCATAGGTTCAGCCTGGCTGAGTCTTGCTGTTGCGGGCATTTGAAGAATGAACCAGCCAATAGAAGATCTCTCTCTTTCCCATGTCTCCCTTTCTGTCTGTTACTCTGTCTTTCAAATAAATATTTTCTTAAAATATTAAAGAAGTATCATTTCAAGATGTCAGATTGTAATTTGTGTGAAGCGTAAGTGTATATATTGAGGCATTATCCTAGACTGCGTATTTGTTAGTTCTTATTCTTCAGTGTCAAATATTTTTTCAAATACATTTTTTATTTTATCTTTTTAAAAATATTTACTTATTTGAGAGGCAGAGTTATAGACAGAGAGAGGGAGAGACAGAGAGAAAGGTTTTCCATCCACTGGTTCACTCCCCAAATGGCTGCAACAGCTAGAGCTGGGCTCAACCGAAGCCAGGAGCCAGGAGCTTCTTCTTGGTCTCTGAATGGATTTAGGAAGAACTTGGGCCAGCCTCCTCTGCTTTCCCAGGCACATTAGCAGGGAGCTGGTTTAGAAGTGGAGTAGCCGGAACTCAAACCAAAGCCCGTGTGTGATGCCAGTGCAGTAGGTGGATGCTCAGTCTGCTGAGCCACAGTGCTGGCCCCTCAAATATGCTTTTTCAATTTAGTATATACAGAGATATCTTGAGTACTGCTTCCTTAATAGGATTCTTGAATTCCATTCTTAATTTTCTTTCTATATGACTTTAATGGTTCTATTATAAAATCATGTAAATGTTTAGCTAACACCATCTGTGTACCATTTTTTTTATTCAGTTCTATGTGTCTTATGGAGCCAATATGAACATTTACCTTATGGTCATAATTCTTCCTTGAAGACAAAATTAGACATTGAATTATAATAGCAATACTTTATCACTTTGAATTTGCCTTTTTCTAACATTGTCAATATCATTGTTATTGTAAATATAAATTGTCATATTTACTTATAATTATTAATCATAAATTTAATTTTAATTCATGTGGAACCTTGGAAACTAGTTCTGTTCAGCTATCAGGTGGCTTTCTATTTGCAGCTGCTTCCTTCAGTGCCTTGAATTACAGATTAATGTGTGAAAAACTATTGCTATAACTTTTTGTAGGTGATAATTTTGTCAGCTTTAAATTATTTATAACATAATTAAGTATTCTTGTCTTACAATAAGCCACATAACAGAAAATAGAAAATGTATAATTAGGTCCTTTAGTAAATTGGTTATTATGTAAGAGTGGTGACTTTTTCACAGCTCATGTTCTGTTAACCATCATGGTGAATTTATATTTTGTTTTTCAGGTGTTTCATTTTTTACTTTTGGTACCTTAAAGAGTGTTGGGCTTTCCCATGCTCCTACCCTTCTTGGCAGACCTTCATCAGACAATCCTAATGTCTTAGTTTTGAAAACTCACATAAACTTACTTTGTGGTGGTGTTGCTGGAGCAATAGCACAAACAATATCGTAAGTTTCTTCATCAACTTAATTCAAATTGCAGTTAGCCAATCCTGATTTTCAGCATTGGTTAATAATTCTAATTTTTCTAATAATTATTCACAAACATGATCCCTTGTGAAACGAAAGTATTAATTTAATAAATTTTTCATATGTATCTGTACTTTAAACATATTATAGTTACACGCAAATTGTCCAAATTAATCTGAATCCATTCAATTTCCTGTGCTTACTTAAAGGAAAAGAAACACTGTAATCTTCATTCATATTTCCTAATGAATTTACCTTTATGAAGTTTCTGAAATTTTCTTAATTATTATATACACATGTAAGGGGGCGTAGCTTCTCTTGCATTAAATCTTGAAGGCCTACTTTGTGCCAAACAGTAGGTGTTAGGAAGTTCACTGAGGAAAAACAAAGTTGCTACCAGTAAACTTGTCCTAGATGGCCCTAGCAGTGGAGTTAAGTTACAGGTCACAGTATAGTAGGAACATACATGTGTCACTATATTGCAGTAGGAAAGGTGGCTTCAGAGAATTTCCTAAACCAAGATAGATGGAACAGGGAGAGATAAAAAGAGGCTGGAATACTAAGAACGTTTCAGGAACCGGAAGAAGAAAATCTTTCTGTGACTGAGAGGAGTATCCTGAGAAACAGGAAGACAAAAAGGAAACGATAATGTCATAAAGAATGGAAAAGAAGGATCCAGTGGGAAAAGAATGTAAAGGATGAGAACCAGGGTATTCATTGGAGTTTATGACTAAGGATTATCCTTGGGTAGACTCAGTGTATTCTACTAGACTGAGGGAAAGAAGAAAAGGTGTGTGATTTACTTGGTTGTGCAATGATAATCATTTCAGAGACATGATCACCTCTAGCTATTCTGATTTTTGCTTCATTTTAATGCCTCTTTTTCTTCACTATTCACTTTCAGTGTGGATCCTTTAGTCTATCTTGTGTTGCCTCTTTCTCTTCTTAAGCTATATTTTACACCCATTGGCTCTTAATCCAGTGGCTCCCTTTCTAGTTCTTTTATCCTTGTTCCAACTGTTCTAGTTCTTGGCTGTTTTAACAGTGCCCTGTCTTGGCAGTCATCCTCACTAGTTATCTCATATCCTCCTCTTCCTGTCCATATGGATGGATTTGTTAAGGCCCGAATCTTCTGCTCTTCCCTCAGATATCTAGAACAGCTTATCTGTCTTGGTGGTTTCAGAGGTCACTTTGGTTTAGATAACTGTTTCTGTTTAAATCTTTGTTACTGACTCCCCATTATATCTTTACTAAACTTTTGGGTGTATCTCTTTGGATCTCCTGCTGTTGGTGCAAGTGCCATGTTTCAAATATTACTTTCTTGTACTTTTCTTTATGACAATCCTCTGCTCCCAACTCCCCTATTTTTTATTTTATTCATTTAATTTTGGTGTACCATCCTTGTGCAGGGACCATGCTAATCTCTGCGTTGTTCCAATTTTAGTGAATATACCTCTGAAACACGCTCCTTATTATTCATATCTGTCAGTGTACTAGTCCTGGTAACTTGTAATCATTTTTCCCATCAGACGTATCCGAAAAGCTGCTTAGTCTTTTTTTTTTAAACTTAAAACAATAGCTACAGTGATGTTTTCTTTCTTTCCCACCATTATTTAGCTGGTTCTGGTCCTTGAATTCTTATAGTCTCTTCTTCCTACTAATCATTTCCTTCTACCCACATATATCTTTCCATGGTTGGAAACTCAATCCCTCAGGTTTTGAGGTTTTTGGTCTTTGCACCCCATAGGATTTTTTTTTTTCTTTTTTTTTTTTTCCTCCCTCATCAAAAAATAATACCTGGAGATGCAATTGAGGTACATGGGGAGCTTCAACGATAAGTAATGCTACTTTTTTTTTTTTTAAGATTTATTTATTTTATTTGAAAGTCAGAGTTACACAGAGAGAGGAGAGGCAGAGAGAGAGAGAGGTCTTCCATCCGCTGGTTCACTCCCCAGATGGCCGCAACGGCCGGAGCTGCGCCGATCCAAAGCCAGGAGCCAGAAGCTTCTTCCAGGTCTCCCAAGCCAGTGCAGGGACCCAAGGACTTGGGCAATCTTCTTCTGCTTTCCCAGACCATAGCAGAGAGCTGGATTGGAAGAGGAGCAGCCGGGACTAGAACCGGTGCCCATTTGGGATGCCGGTGCTTCAGGCCAGGGCGTTAACCCACTGCGCCACAGCGCTGGCCCCCAGTAATGCTATTTTTTAAGTTATTATGGTTCGTGGGAGTTTCTTTTTAATCATATTGATTTCATTGTAAACGTGAATGTGAATAAGAATATATAGTTGTTTTTTGGATCTATCCCTTTTACTTACATTAGATACCTTGAAGAATGTCAAATGAGAAGATAGTAAGTAGCTTTGTGACACTGAGAATGTCTCAGACTTAGTTTTTTTTTTTTAATTTTATGTTTATATTGGGATAATAGTACCTACTTCATGCAATTGTAAAGATGAAGTGAGATAATGTACATAAATTGTTTAGCACAGGACCTAAAATAAGTAGTTAATATTATCAAAATCAAAGTACCTTAAAAAAACCACCTAGACTCCTACTCCTAAAAGATATAACGTTTACATTTCTATGTCCCTGAAATGCAGTTAACTGTATGATGAATTTTAGCCCTTAAGATATATTTTGTATATTTTGAGTCTGTGGTATTTGAGGGGACTTGCTGAGTACTGTTAGAGTGATACTTCTCAACTAGGCTGGTTTTGCCTCCAGGGGCGTTTGTTAATGTTGGGAGACATTTTTGGTTGTCAAAACTAGGGGAGTGTTATTGGTATCTAGTGGGCAGGGGTCAGGGCTGTATAGTAAAGAATGATTCAACTCAAAATGTTAATAGTAGCAACATTGGAAAACCCTATTTTAGGTTGACAACAATGAAAAGCACCCAATTTGTTGTCTTCAGGAAGTGGCATTTAATTTTCTCTTTAGGAATGAATAGCAGTTGATATTGTGGTGATAAGACAGAAAAATTGTCCTACTATACTGCAAGGAATCACATAAGCAAAGAAGGAGACTCCTATATTGTTAATTTGGTTTATTCATGTGCCCATATCCTGAATCCCCAATCAGACCAAACAACAGAAGAACACATTATTTCCTAGCTTACACAGGGCTTTGCTTTCAATAGCTGTTGAGTAAAAGACTATTTATGTCTTTATGCCTCTTTCTTCTTTTAGCTACCCGTTTGATGTAACTCGTCGACGAATGCAATTAGGAACTGTTCTGCCAGAATTTGAAAAGTGCCTGTAAGTTCTCTCTATGTCATTGCTCATTTTATTTAAGAAGTATAATGTTTAATGTAAGTAGAGAGACAGGACTTTGATCTCACCAACAGTCTATATCTTCCATTTTATTTCCTATTGTACACTTAGTTAATTTCATCAGGTTTCAATCAATTTCTGATTCTCAGAAAAATTCTGTTTAATGGGGTACATGTTTAATCTGGTGATTAAGACTGATTAAGGGCTGGCGCTGCGGCTCACTAGGCTAATCCTCCTCCTGCGGCGCCGGCACACTGGGTTCTAGTCCCGGTTGGGGCGCCAGATTCTGTCCTGGTTGCCCCTCTTCCAGGCCAGCTCTCTGCTGTGGCCCGGGAGTGCAGTGGAGGATGGCCCAGGTCCTTGGGCCCTGCACCCCATGGGAGACCAGGAGAAGCACCTAGCTCCTGGCCTCGGATCTGTGCGATGCACCGGCCGCGGCGGCCATTGGAGGGTGAACCAACGGCAAAGGAAGACCTTTCTCTGTGTGTCTCTCTCTCTCACTGTCCACTCTACCTGTCAAAAACAAACAAATAAATAAAAATTAAATAAATAAAATAAAAACAGCGATAGGAAGACCTATAAAAAAAAAAAAAAAAGACTGGTTAAGATGCCTGGGCCTGGCCGGCGCCGTGGCTCAACAGGCTAGTCCTCCACCTAGCGGTGCCGGCACACCGGGTTCTAGTCCTGGTCGGGGTACCGGATTCTGTCCCGGTTGCCCCTCTTCCAGGCCAGCTCTCTGCTGTGGCCAGGGAGTGCAGTGGAGGATGGCCCAGGTGCTTGGGCCCTGCACCCCGTGGGAGACCAGGAGAAGCACCTGGCTCCGGGCTTCGGATCAGTGCGGTGCGCCGGCTGCGGCGGCCATTGGAGGGTGAACCAACGGCAAAGGGAAGACCTTTCTCTCTGTCTCTCTGTCTCTCTCACTGTCCACTCTGCCTGTCAAAAAAATAAAAATTAAAAAAAAAAAATAAAAAGGTGCCTGGGCCTCACATTATAGTGCTTGAGTGCTTGATTCCTGACTCTGTTTCTAACTCCTGCTTTGTGCTAATGCATACTCTGGAAAGTAGGACTTGATGGCTCAAGTCCCATATGAGACACTTGGATTGAGTTCACAGTTCCTGGCTTTGGCCTTCACCCCTACCATTTGTGGACCCTGGGGAGTAAACCAGTAGATGGAAGCTGTATCTGTCTATCTGACTCTCAAAAAATAAGAATTTTTGTAAAAATAAAGTTTAAAAACAATTCTGTGAAATAGAAATATGTGAGTTATGTATATAATTTAAATTTTTAGATGGCCAGATTATTTATTATTATAAAAACATAAAATTGTTTTAAAAGTTTTTTTGTTTAATATACCTAAAATATTATTTCAACACTTGAATATTTTGTACTTTGTTATATTAGATGTTTGAATATATATATATTTAAATATTTTATTTATTTATTTTGAGAGGTAGAGTTATAGACAGTGAGAGGGAGTGCAGAGAGAAAGGAGCCAGGAGCTTCTTCACTTCCAGGTCTCCCATGCTGGGGCAGGAGCCCAAGGACTTGGGACATCTATTGCTTTCCCAGGCTGTAGCAGAGAGCTGGATCAGAAGAGGAGCAGCTGGGCCTAGAACCAGCAACCTTATGGGATGCCGGTGCTACAGGTGTAGGATTACCCTACTACACCACAGCCCTGGCACCTGAATGTATTTTATTCTCATAGCACATCTCAGTTTGGACTACCACATTTCAAGGGCATAGTAGCCACATGAGGCAAGTAGCTACCATTATTGCCCAGCACGGTTCTAGAATTTTCTATAGTCTGTAGAAATTTAGAATCCTGTGTGACGATACGTTGTCTTCAGTAAAAGATCTGAATGTTTGTTTAGGACCTTAGATTGCCTTGTTCACCCCAAAGATCTTTAGAAGATTTTATTCAGATTGCCTAATAAAAAGGAAAGGCAAACCCCAAAACGTTGATTTGAAAGGAAAGGGAGCGGCGCTGTGGCTCAATAGGCTAATCCTCCGCCTTGCGGCGCCGGCACACTGGGTTCTAGTCCCAGTCGGGGCGCCGGATTCTGTCCCGGTTGCCCCTCTTCCAAGCCAGCTCTCTGCTATGGCCCGGGAGTGCAGTGGAGGATGGCCCAGGTTCTTGGGCCCTGCACCCACATGGGAGACCAGGAGAAGCACCTGGCTCCTGGCTTTGGATCAGCGCGATGCGCCGGCTGCAGCGCGGGGGCCTCGGTGGCCATTGGAGGGTGAACCAACGGCAAAAAAGGAAGACCTTTCTTTCTCTCTCTCTCTCTCTGTCCACTCTGCCTGTAAAAAAAAAAAAAAAAAAAAAAAAAAAGAAAGAGAGAAAAGGGAAGTCTTCACTGCTGAAATCTAAAAAGTAGGGTTTTAAGCTTAAGTTCTATAGTTACCTACTAGTTATAGAATAGAACCTGAGCTTTAATGAAAGCTTAAAGGGCTACTATTCATACATCCTTTAGTAGGATTATAGCAGTGTTCCACATGTGAAATAGTGTTGTCAGTAAATGTCATAGACATAACACGAACATCATGCATTGTGTTGATGAGCCTGAAAGTCAGTGCACATTGCTTCTGCTTGTTCAGAGTGACTGTAAAATTTTAGCTTGTTAAAAATATTTGCCTTCCAAAAGCTATTCAAGTTGGCAATTTTTTTTTGCTTAATATTTATTTATTTATTTGAGTGTCAGCGTTACACACAGAAAGGAGAGGCAGAGAGAGAGATAGAGAGATCTCCCATCCAATGGTTCACTCCCCAGATGGCTGCAATGGCCGGAGCTGTGCCGATCTGAAGCCAGGAGCCAGGAGCTTCTTCCAGGACTCCCACGTGGATGGATAGGCCCAAGGACTTCGGCCATCTTCTATTGCTTTCCCTGGCCATAGCAGAGAGCTGGACAGGAAGTGGAGCAGCCGGGTCTCGAACCAGCGCCCATATGGGATGCTGGCGCTTCAGGCCAGGGCATTAACCCACTGTGCCACAATGCCGGCCCTGGCATTATTTTTATATTTATTTATTTTTGACAGGCAGAGTTAGACAGTGAGAGACAGAGACAGAGAGAAAGGTCTTCCTTTTTCCGTTGGGTCACCCCCCAAGTGGCCAGTACAGCTGGTGCGTTGCAGCCGGCACGCTGTGCCAATCCTAAGCCCGGAGCCAGGTGCCTCCTCCTGGTTTCTCATGCGGGTGCAGGGCCCAAGGACCTGGGCCATCCTCCACTGCACTCCCGGGCCACAGCAGAGATCTGGACTGGAAGAGGAGCAACCGGGACAGAATCCGGTGCCCCGATCAGGACCAGAACCTGGTGTGCCGGCACTGCAGGCGGAGGATTAGCCTAAGTGAGCCGCGGTGCTGGCCGGCATTTTTATTTAAAGATTTATTTTATTTACTTGAAAGTCAGAGTTACACAGAGAGAGAGGAGAGGCAGAGAGAGAGAGAGAGAAGTCTTCCATCCACTGGTTCACTCCCCAGATGGCCACAATGGCCAGAGCTTCGCCAATCCGAAGCCAGGAGCCAGAGGCTTCTTCCGGGTCTCCCACATGGGTGCAGGGGCCCAAGGACTTGGGCCATCTTCTGCTGCTTTCCCAGGCCATAGCAGAGAGCTGGATCAGAAGTAGAGCAGCCGGGACTCAACTGGCACCAATATGGGATACCAGCACTTCAGGCGGTGGCTTTACCCGCTACACCACAGTGCCTGCCCCCCCACCCCGCCCCGATGGCATTTTAAGCTTTTAAAAATACTGTTATGGGTGTTGGCATTTGGCCTAGTGGCTAAGATCGTCACTGTGCCTGCATCCCATATTGGAATGTCTGGGTTTGACTCCCAGCTCCATCTTCCAATCGCAGCTGGCTGCCAGTGCAGACCTTGTAGGCAGCATGTGATGACTCAGGTAGTGGGTGCCTGCCACCCCTTGCGGCTGGCTTCAGTCCAGCCCAGTCCTGGCTATTACAGGCATTGGAGGAGTAAACCAGCAATGGGAGCTCTCTCTTTCTCTTCCTGTTTCTCAGCCTCTTGAATAAATTAAATAAAATAGCATAAAAATTCACTGTGGATCCTAAACTTGTGTCTTCATGAGTGAGCATAGAAGTGTCATCATTTAACCACTGTCTTTCAGTACCATGCGGGAGACTATGAAGTATGTCTACGGACACCACGGAATTCGGAAAGGATTATATCGCGGTTTGTCTCTTAATTACATTCGCTGCATTCCCTCTCAAGCAGTGGCTTTTACAACATATGAACTTATGAAGCAGTTTTTTCACCTCAATTAAAAATAGCTGTGATTTCATTTCCTTAATAAACTCTCAGAAGGAATAATTTTAAAATGTTACTTTAATTATGGAGGGAACATTACTTGAAGGGGATATTTACCCTATCACAGGAACCACTGGTATGTTAGTAACTTGATTTTTTTTTTTTTAGTCACAACTCAAAGTGCTTACCATACTTTGGGATGCCAAACATTATATTTTGGAACATTGGAAAACCATTCCTATGCTGATGTTGGCTAATCAGTTAGGTTATTTGCAACATTTAAAAAGTGTTATTTGGAAGTTGAACTAACTTCACAGGGGGTCCAAGGGGTTGCAGTTAGCTTTATTGTGCTGTTCCAAGCTTTTAATTGTAATTATGGTTTTCTGAAGACTGTAACATTGTTTATTATTATGGAAATAATTGAACTTGGTTATATTGCAAAAGAACAATGAGAACTGAATTTTTAAGTTCTTTAAAACAGCCAGCATTGAAGTATTATTCTTACCTCTCTTCTCATACTTCTGTTCCATTGGGAAAAAGGACAAATGCTTTTTCCTTCATTTTTAGTAAAATAAGTGTAGTATTTAAAAGTAGCCATGTAGCAACTTAAAAATGAAGTATCAGGTCTTGCTGAAATGTTATTACTGAGTACTTTGAGTGACTTGTGTTTGTTTTTAAAAGTCCATGGAGTAGTTTTCATGCCATGAGGGGAAAAATTCAATGTATTTTTCCCAAAGGCAGTGATAATACTGAATATCTCTGCACACAAAAACAGAGTAGCAATATACGTATGTTTTTGTTAGATGATTTGTTTGTAAACTAGAAAATTTATTTAAGTGGACTGTGAAATATCCATTAATATAGATGTGAATATCAAAGAACGTTTCTAAGATATTATGTCATGATATCTCAACTAGTTCTTCCATGTAACATAATTTAAATACAATATAAACTTAAGTGGAAATGTAAAATATGATTTAAATTGTTATCCTTTATATTAAGAAAATAGTTTCAAATGTCAAATTTCCACTTACTGTGTTTTAATGTTTTATTGTAAGCATGATAGAAATGGGTGGGGAAGAGTTAAAGTTCTATATTCAAATATAGTGATTTGTAGAATTGATGTGATTTTTTAAGACATCGAGAAACTAAGTATTATTTCTGCATCAATTTTTATTTTATTTTTTGTATAAAAATTTCTTGTTATTCCTTGGTAAAAATTTAAACTGTTTTTGTTTTTCAAGTCTTTAAGAATAAATATGTATCTTTGTGTGATTTATAAGTGTACCAGCAAGTAAAAATTACATATGTTCCTAAAACTATTTTGCATATTTTCATTTCTGGGTCACATTGTAACTAACTATTGTTATTAAATCTTAAGATAATGTAAGTATAAGATAATTATGTTATGTTATCAATAAAAGGGAATTGCAAATATTTTTAAGTAAAAATTCTATGTCTGTTAAGAATACATAGTATATTAAAAATAAATTTTACCTATGTTTCAAAAGTGTCTTTCTTTTAACTATATTATTGAAGCAAATATGCTAAACATAGGGGCTGGTGCTGTGGTGCAGTGGGTTAAAGCTCCAGCCTGCAGCACCAGTATTCCATATGGACACTAGTTCAAGTCCAGACTGCTCCACTTCTGATCCAGCTCTCTGCTGTGACCTGGGAAAGCAGTAGAAGATGACCCAAGTCCTTGGGCCCCTGCACCCGTGTAGGACACCCAGAAGAAGCTTCTGGGTCCTGGCTTCGGATCAGGCCGTTGCAGCCATTTGGGGATTGAACCAGCTGATCGAAGACCTCTCTCTCTCTGTCTACCTCTCTCTGCCTACCTCTCTCTATAACTCTGTCAAAGAAATAAAATAAATCTTTAATAAATGCTAAACATAAGAAGTCAGAATGGAATAATATGTATATCTGTTATTAAATATTTTTGTTTATTTAAATATTTATTTTTTTTTTCTAAAGTCAGTTACACAGAGAGAGGAGAGTTAGAGACAGAGAGAGAGAGAGAGAGAGGGAGGGAGGTCTTCCATCTGATGGTTCACTCTCCAATTGGCCACAATGGCTGGAGCTGCACTGATCTGAAGCCAGGAGCCAGGAGCTTCTTCCCAGTTTCCCACACAGGTGCAGGGGCCCAAGGACTTGGGCCATCTTCTACTACTTTCCCAGGCCATAGAAGAGAGCTGGATTGGAAGTGGAGCAGCTGGGTCTCGAACCGGCACCCATATGGATGCCGGCACTTCAGGCCAGGGCGTTAACCCACTGCGCCACAGCACCGGCCCCTTTATTTATTTATTTGAAAGTCAGAGTTATACAGAGAAAGAGAGGCAGAGAGAAAGGCAGAGAGGTCTTCTATCCGCTGCTTCATTCCCCAAGTGGCTGCAGTGGCTGGAGCTGCACTTATCCGAAGCCAGGAGCCAGGAGCTTTTTCTAGGTGTTCCCATGCAGGTGCAGGGGCCCAAGCACTTGGGCCATCTTCTACTGTTTTCCCAGGCCATAGCAGAGAGTTCGATCAAAAATGGAGCAGCCTGGACTCAAACCGGCACCCATATGGGATGCCAGTGTTGCAGGTGGTGGCTTTACCTGCTATGCCACAGTGCTAGCCCTGAAGAATATTTATTTACTTTTTAAAAATATTTGTTTATTTGAAAGCATCACAGAAAGAAGGAGAGACACATAGAGAGATCTTTAATTCACTGGCTCACTTCCCAAAGGGCCACAGTGACCGGGGCTATGCCAAGCCAAAGCCAGAAGCTAGGACCTTCCTCTGGGTCTTCCTCCTGGGTGCAGGAACTCAAGAACCTGGGCCATCCTCTTCTGCTTTCCTGGGTGGTGCTTTAGTAGGGAGCCAGATCAGAAGTAGAGCTTCTGGAACTCGAACCAATGCACCTATGGTATGCCAGCATCACACTTTAGCAGCTTTAACTTGCTGCTAGCCCTGAAGAATATTTAAAATAATGACAGTGTTTCTGTCTGATTTATTTCTGATTAATAACCCACAGTGCATTTTGCTGGATAATCTGAAGATTAGCAGTTGATTTCTTTTTTGATCTTCATTGTCCCTCTTTCTGCTTTTCATTGGATATAAACTTGTGGTCTATAGAATGGGACAGAGCAAGTTATCACCTTTAGCTCTCAATGGTTGTCTGTATAGAAGTGGAAATGTTGGCCAGTGCCGCGGCTCAATAGGCTAATCCTCCACCTGCAGTGCTGGCACACCGGGTTCTAGTCCCGGTCGGGGCACTGGATTCTGTTCCGGTTGCTCCTCTTCCTGTCCAGCTCTCTGCTGTGGCCTGGGAGTGCAGTGGAGGATGGCCCAAGTGCTTGGGCCCTGCACCCCATGGGAGACCAGGAGAAGCACCTGGCTCCTGGCTTTGGATCAGCGCCATGCACCGGCCACAGCGGCCATTGAGGAGTGAACCAATGGAAAAAAGGAAGACCTTTTTCTCTCTCTCTCTCTCTCTCTCTGTCCACTCCGCCTGTCCTGTCATTCAAAAAGTTACAAGGGTTGCAGAAGCGCTATGCTGTTAGGTGTATATATAACAGTATGTCACTCCGTTCTCCACCAGAGTTCTAAACATCAGTTTATTCAACACCTCTAGTCCCAGGCATTGTGTCAGCATTTTGGGAGACTTCCCTCGGGAAGCCCATTAGCTATACTTGCAGCCAAACACTGCAATCTGTACAGCACTTAACACTAGGTATTTCTTTAATAGTGTATATACCAAGCTTTATGGCTGCCTGTTGATCCATATCCTCCTGCCCCTCAAAGGTAGAGTCATGTCTTTGTCGCCAGCAAGCAGCATAGAGTATAACACTGTAATGTAACAGGTGCTTAGTGACTTTTACTGCTGGGAAAGAAGGTCTTAGTCTCTGTTTTTGGAGACTTTAAACTCTAGTAGAAGAAATGAAGTACAAATAGTTCAAGAAAAGGACGATTTAAAAATAAAGTTTTAGGGGCCGGCACTAAGACGCAGCAGGTTAAGGCCCTGGCCTGAAGTGCTGGCATCCCATATGGGCGCGGGTTCAAGTCCTAACCGCTCCTCTTCTGATCCAGCTCTCTGCTGTGGCCTGGGGTAGCAGTGGAGGATGGCCCAAGTGCTTGGACCCCTGTACCAAGTGGGAGACCCAAAAGAAGCTCCTGGCTTCTGGCTTCGAACCTGCACAGCTCTGGCCATTGTGCCCATCTGGGGAGTGAACCAGCAGATGGAAGACCTCTCTCTCTGTCTCTACCTCTCTCTGTGACTCTGTCTTTCAAATAAATAAAATAAATCTTAAAAAACACCCAAAGTTTTGGGGCTGGCATTTAGCTAGCTTGTAAGATGCCCATGTCCCACTTTGGAGTAACTGTGTTCAGTACCTTGTTCTGGCTCCAGACCCCCTCTTCTTGCTAATGGGGCCCTTGAATGGCAGTGGTGATGGTTCCAGTGATTGTGTTCCTGCCATCATGTGGGATACCAGAGTAGCATTCCTGGCTCCTGGTTCTGGCTCTGGCCAGTGCCATGTAGGCATTTAGGAGTGAACCAGTAGATGGGAGCTGTCTCTGTCTCTGTCTCTGTATTCAAATAAAACTCGAAATTCATATATAAAAAAATTAAAAAAAGAAAGAAGGGTCGACATTGTGGCACAGCGGGTTAAATCATGGCTTGCAACACTGGTATCCCATATGGGAGGGCTGGTTCAATTCCCAGCTGCTTTGCTTCTGAACCATATCCCTGCTTATGGGGTCTGGGAAAGCAGTAGAAGATGGCCCAAGAGCTTGGGTCCCTGCCACTCACGTGGGAGACAAGGATGGAGTCCTGGTCTCCTGACTTTGGCTTGGACCAGCCTTGGCCAATGCCACCATTTAGGGTATGAACCAGTATATGGAAGATCTCTGTCTCTCCCTCTCTCTCTACCACGCAGCCTTTCAAACAAGCAAACAAATTTTTTTTAAGATTTATTTATTTACTTGAAAGAGTTACACACTTAAAGATTTATTTGAAAGGCAGAGTTATATACACATGAGAGAAACAGTGTCCATCTGCTTGTTCACTCTCCAAAATGGACACAATGGCCAGAATTTGGCCAGGCCAAAGTCAGGAGCCTGGACCCCTATCTGGGTCTCCTGGGTTGGTGGCAGTGGCCCAAGGACTTAGTCCATCTTCTGCTGCTTTACCAGGTGCATTGGCAAGGAGCTCTATCAGAAGTGGAGCAGCTAGTACTTGAACCAGCCCTCATATGTGATGATGATGACTTAGTAGGCAGTGGCTAACCTGCTGAACCACAATGATTGCCCGCAAAATGGGCGAATTATTTAAACAGCCATTTTACAAAGGAAGATATACAAGTGACCAAATTCATGATGAAGTACTTAATATCATCAGTGATTGAATCATACAAATTAAGACTAAAACGGCTGATAGCATCAACTGTTGTCAAGGATCCATAGACACTCGAATTTTCTGGGTCTGGTGTTGTGGCACAGTGGGTTAATTTGCTGCCTGCAGTGCTAGCATCTCATGTGGGTGCCAGTTCATGTCCCGCTGTTCCACTTCCGACCCCATTCCCTGTCGCTCCCCCTCTTCATGGAAGAACGACACTAAACCCTGCCTAGGCTTCATATCCGAGTCACGGCACCATTATGTCGCTCCCCCTCTTCATGGAGGAACGACACTAAACCCTGCCTAGGCTTCATATCCGAGTCACGGCACCATTATGTCGCTCCCCGTCTTCGTGGAGGAATGACACAGGACCCTGCGTTGTTCTTTCGTCTGCTCGGCCTTCCCCGGGTTTGCTGCTGGTTCTTCCCGGGTTGGCTACCGACCCTTCCACCTCCGTGGAAGGGCGGTTCCCCCTAGCCACTTTCCCCACTTCCGCGGGGGAGCAGCACACCGCCGGCCAGCTCTCTCGGGGGCTGCACAGGTGTTCCTTCAGATAGATGTTCCCGTTAGATGTTCCTGGTGCATGTTGTCTCTCTCCTCCTTTATAGTCCTCTTCCACCAATCCCAACTCTGCTACCCACACGCCGAGTACGCTGCTCTCCTCCAATCAGGAGCAAGATCAGCTCCTGCAGCTCAGTCAATCAAATTGGTGAGAGGCAGCTGCGTAGAAGTTGTTACTCCCTTCTCAGCGCCATATTGTGGGAGAGCAGATGCATAGAATAAGTCTTAATTCCAGTAACTTAGTCTAGTCCGAGTTGCTCCCAGTTGCTCCCCACAATTCCCTGCTAATGGCTCAAGTCCTTAGGTCCTGAAGCCACTAGGAGACAGGAATGAGGCTCCTGCCTCCAGTCTCTTGGCTTCAGCCTGTCTGAGCCCCCACTGTTGCAGCTGTTTGAGGGAGTGAACTAGTGGGTGGAAGATCTCTTTGTCTCTCCCTCTCTCTCTGCAACTCTGTCTTTCAAATAAATAATCTTTTTTTAAAAAGGGACCAACATTGTGGTATAGGGGGTTAAAGCTGCTGCCTGTGACATGGGCATCCCATAAGGGCACTGGTTTGAGTCCTGGCTGCTCCACTTCCAATCGAACTCCCTGCTAATGGGCTTGGGAAAGTAGCAGAAGATGGTCCAAGTGCTTGACCTCTGCACCCACGTGGGAGACCTGGAAAAAGATGAAGCGCCACAGGGCCAGCCCCAATACATAAAACAAAAAACTGAAATTTTCATGCATTGATGATGTAGTATAAAATGTTACAGCCACTTTGAATAAACATCTGACAGTTCTTTGTTTTTTGTTTTTGTGGTTTTTTAAAAAGATTTATTTATTTGAAAGAATTATAGAGAGAGGCAGAGACAGAGAGAGGTCTTCTGTCCACTGGTTAGCTACCAAAATGGTTGCAATGGCTGGAGCTGGGCCCATCAGGAGCCAGGAGCCAGGAGCCTTTTCTGGATATCCCAAGTGGGTGCAGGGACCCAGGGACTTGGGCCACTCTATACTGCTTACCCAAGAGCATTAGCAGGGAACAGGATGGAAAGTGGAGCAGCTGGGACTTGAACCAGTGGACATATGGCATGCAGGGTGCCGCAGGCTGGGGGCTTTATTCCTCTGCACCACAACACCAGCACCCAACAGTTCCTTATTAACTGATGTATGGCCCAGAAATTTCATTTCAAAATACTTCACAAGAGAAATAGAAGCATATATCCACAAAAAGTCTTGTATAAGAATATTTGTAGGGGCCAGCGTTGCGGCATAGCGGTTCAAGCTGCTGTTTACGATGTTGCCATTCCATAAAGGTGCCGGTTTGAGTCCCAGCTGCTCTACTTCCAATCCAACTCCCTGCTAATGTCCCTGGGAAATCAGCAAAAGATGGCTCAAGTGCCTGGGCCTCTCTACCCAAAGCTCTTGGCTCCTGACTTAGGGCTGGCTGTAGCGGCCATTTGGGGAATGATCCAGTGTATGGAAGATGTCTGTAATTCTGCCTTTCAATTAATTAAATAAATAAGTATTTGGAAAAAAAGGAAGACTATTTGTAGTAGCTTCATTAAAGGTAGTCATTGTCCATCATCAGGAGACTGGCTGAATAAATGTGAATTCACACAATCAAATACTGTTCAGCAGGGGCACACTTTTGGCACACAGGTAAGATGCTGCTTGGGATGCCTACATCCCAGGGCTAGGTTTCAGTCCCAGCTCTGTTTCCAGTTCCAGGGTTCTGCTATTGCTCAAGTACTTGGGTCCCTGACATTCAGGAAGGAGTCCCAAATTGAGTTCCTGGCTGTTGGCTGCGGTAGCTGCAGCTGTTGGTGGGCATTTGAGGTGTGGATCAGTGGATAAAAGATTTCTCCAGTTTTTTTTTTTTTTTTAAGATTTATTTATTTTATTTGAAATGCACAGTTACAGAGAGAAGAAGAGACAGAGACTGAGAGAGGTCTTCCATCTGTTGATTCATTCCTCAAATGGCTGCTACCCCATCAGAGTGCCTGGTTTTAGTCCTACCCACTCTGCTTCTGATCCAGCTTTCTGTTCATGTGCACTATGGGAAGCCACAGATACCTGATGGCTCAAGTATGTGAGTCCCAGGGCTGGTGCTGTGGTGTAGCAGGTAAAGCCACTGTCTGCAGTGCTGGCATCCCATCGCCAGTTCAAGTCCCAGCTGCTTCACTTCTGATCCAGCTCTCTGCTATGGCCTGGGAAAGCAGTAGAAGATGGCCCATATCCTTGGGCCCCTACACCTGTGTGGGAGACCCAGAAGAAGCTCCTGGCTCCTGGCTTCAGATCAGCACAGCTCTGGCTGTTGTGACCATCTGGGGAGTAGACAGGTGGATGGAAGACCTCTCTCTCTCTCTCTCTCTCTCTCTCTGCCTCTGCCTCTGCCTCTCTGTAACTCTGCCTTTCAAATAAATAAATCTTTAAAAAAAGAAAAAAGTGAGTCCCTGCCACCTATGTGGGAGATCTGGATGGAGTTCTGGGCTCCTGGCTTTTCGCTGGCCCAGCCCTGGATGTTGTGGGCAATTTGGGAGTAAACCAGCAGATGGAAGATATGTCTCTGTCTCTGTCTCTTTTCTCTCTTGCTCTGCCTTTCAAGTAGATGAAAACAAATCAAATTATGCATTTTGTTCATCCATTTATCTGTTTATGGGCACTGAGTTTTTTTAACTCTTCGTTTATTGTGAATAATGACACTCTGAACATAGATTTACAATTCTCTGTTTGAGTCCCTACATTCAATTCTTTTGGGTGCAGATCCAAAAGTTAAATTGCTGTCTTGAGGCTGGTGTTGTGGTATAGCAGGTTAAGCCGCCACCTACAAAACTGGCATTGCATATGGGCACGTGTTCAAGTCCCAGCTATTCCACTTCCAGCTCTGTTAATGCACCTGGGAAGGCAGCAGAAGATGGCCCAAATACTTGGGCTCCTGCCACCCACGTGGGAGACCCAGATGGACTTCTGGGCTCCTGGCTTTACTCTGGCTCAACTGGTTGTTGCAGGCATTTGGGTAGTGAAATAGCAGATGGAAGATCTCTCTGTCTCTTTCTCTCTGCGTAACTCTGCCTTTCAAATAAATGAATAAATCTTAAAAAAAAAAAAGTTGCTACCTCATATGGTAATTCAGTGTTTATTGTCTTTGAGAAACTGCTGTCCTTATTTATACTCTTTAGATTTATTCTCATTTTCTTTCAAGTTCTTTAGGCGCCATCTGCTGCTTCCCAGGTGTATTAGCAAGAATCTGGATCAGAAGTGGAGTAGCTGGGGCTCCAACAATTGGCACTCCGTTATGGAATGTGGGTTTCCCAGGCAGCTGCTTAACCCACTGTTAACAGCACAACAAAATTCTTTTTTTTTTTTTATTTTATTTTATTTTTTTGACAGGCAGAGTGGACAGTGAGAGAGAGAGACAGAGAGAAAGGTCTTCCTTTGCCGTTGGTTCACCCTCCAATGGCCGCCGCGGCTGGCGCGCTGCGGCCGGCGCACCGCGCTGATCCGATGGCAGGAGCCAGGAGCCAGGTGCTTTTCCTGGTCTCCCATGGGGTGCAGGGCCCAAGCACCTGGGCCATCCTCCACTGCACTCCCTGGCCACAGCAGAGGGCTGGCCTGGAAGAGGGGCAACCGGGACAGAATCCGGCGCCCCGACCGGGACTAGAACCCGGTGTGCCGGCACCACTAGGTGGAGGATTAGCCTATTGAGCCGCGGTGCCGGCCATTACATAAACTTTTTAAGAAGATTTTTAAAAAATATTTATCAACCTGGCAGGTGCGGCGCTCCACGTGTAGCCGCCGGCGCTGCCGGGCCCGCCCCGCGCACGTCACTCGGGGCCTCGGCGCGCCGGCGCATGCGCCCTTGCTGCGCGGACGCTCGCCCCTTTCCCGCGTTTTGGCGGTTTTTGTGTTGTTGCCCGCCGTCCCCCCTCCCCTGAGGTTCCCCGGTGACAGTCTGTGGTCTCCGCGCCCGGGATGGAGCCGCTGGACGAACTGGAGCTGCTCATGGAGAAGACCTTCGGGGAGGAGGCCGCGCCGCCGCCGGAGCTGTGAGCGGAGGCGCGGGGAGGCTGTGGGAGCGCAGCGGGAGATTTGAAAGTCGGGAGCGGGAGAGACCGCCGCGGCCCCGGCTCGCACCGGGGACCCCGCGTCGCGCGGTGCTCTCTGCGGGCGCACTCGGCAGCTGAGGCTTTCCCTTGATTTCGCCTCTTTGCCGAATGTGGGGAGTCCCGGCCTCCTGCGGTAGTGTCTTCGTACGTCGATGGTTGCTTGGTTGTGAGACTAACGTCAGGGAGAGCTCCGAGCCCTCGGCTTAGCCGCAATGGCGGGTGTCGGAAGGACAACCAGGCTAAGCAGTGCCTGCGCCTGCGGTTCTCCGTCTGCACCTTTTGCAGAGACCATTAAAGCCTCGCGGCCAGCCTTGGGCTGTTCGTGGGCTGCAGCCAGGTGGGGTAGCCTAGTGCAGCGTTCACAGAGCCGTGCAGCCTTCCGTGAGCGAGCTGGGTGGCCTGTAGCGTTACAGGAAGGCTGTTCGGTACACGCCTTGCGGGAGATAATGGCTCTGGCCTCTCGTTTGGCCCCACACCGGTTAACACCTGCTGTGGTCGAACAGAGAGGACTTCAGAGGGACTTACTAGGAACAGCGCGGGTTTCTACAGGAGAATTCTTTTGTAGAGTTTCAGGCGGCTTGGACAAGTGCGTAAAAGGATTACCAAATTCACTGGCCCTTTATCAGTAAAACATCTGGTTATTCTATGAACGAGTGAGCTAGTCTCGACGGGTGTGACAAGCTTGCTTTCCCGACCACGCAGGGACTAGCCCCAGGTTTATAAAAGTATTTCCTACCCTAAGTTCTAGGTTGGGCTAGACGATTTCTAAGCAAGCTCCTGACTTAAAGACGAATGTAGTTCTGTGTCTCAGGATTTCCAGCAAACCACACCTACCATGCTTACCTCTCATCTGTAAGTCACCCGTACGCCTCACAGCACAGAGAATAGTGTACAAAACGTCTTGTACTAATACTTTGGAAAGGCTTGCTCCAGTGGTAGTCATTGTTTAATATTTTCCATTTTTTTAAGGCTACTTATTTATTTTGAGAGGTGGGGTTACAGACAGGGAGAGGGAGAAACAGAGGAAAAAATCTTCCATCCACTGGATCACTCCCCAAATGGCGGCAATGGCCGGAGCTGAACCGACCCTAAGGCAGGAGCCAGAAGCCTCTTCCAGGTCTCCCATTCGGGTGGCGGGGCCCAAGCACTTGGGTCATCTGCTGCTGCTTCCCAGGCCATCTGCAGGGAGCTGGATAGGAAGTGGAGCAGCCGGGACTGGAACTGGCGCCCATATGGGATGCCGGCACTGCAGGCAGATGCTTAACCTACTACGCCACAGCACTGCTCCCCTCCCCATTTGTTTTTAATCCTGACAGTGATAGATGGTCCACAAAACTCATAGAGGTTAAATTGGAAAAGCTCTTAGCATAAGCTTGTTTTAAAATGGCATTGCGTCTGGGAAGTTTTTATAACAGGAGTTCTTTGCTGTCTTAATTTTACCTGAAGATCTTTGTGAAGAAGCAAACCTAGAAAGCTAGACAGCTGCTTTACAGGTGAAACTGGTTGAGTGGCTTGTTATTTCATGTTTGTGCTAAAATTGTTTTGTATGTATATGTTTTAGATTTCAGAACAAGGTGGAAGCTTCCTTCCCAAAAACAGTCTTGAGCCGAGGAATGGATAACCGATACCTGGTGTTAGCAGTCACTGTTGTACAGGATGAAGAAGGCAGCCAGGAAAAGCACTTAATCATCACTGCTTCCCAGTCGCTGGAAGACAAAGAACAGTGCATCCTTAGGAATGGCTGGTAATTTTTTGTGTGACTTTGAGCATTGAATTGGCAATCTTCAGGGTAGCATCTTTTTTTTTTTTTTTTTTAACATTTTTTTTTTTTTTTTTTTTGACAGGCAGAGTGGACAGTGAGAGAGAGAGAGACAGAGAGAAAGGTCTTCCTTTTGCCGTTGGTTCACCCTCCAATGGCCGCCGCGGCCGGCGCGCTGCAGCCGGTGCACCGCGCTGATCCGATAGCAGGAGCCAGGAGCCAGGTGCTTTTCCTGGTCTCCCATGGGGTGCAGGGCCCAAGCACCTGGGCCATCCTCTACTGCACTCCTTGGCCACAGCAGAGGGCTGGCCTGGAAGAGGGGCAACCGGGACAGAATCCGGCGCCCCGACCGGGACTAGAACCCGGTGTGCCGGCGCCGCTAGGCGGAGGATTAGCCTAGTGAGCCGCGGCGCCGGCCTCAGGGTAGCATCTTAAAACCCATCACATGGCTTGTGTGGATGTTCCTATAATTTAATGGTGTAAAAAAGGGATAGCTTAAAATAGTTATTTATTTGACAGAGAACTTCCATGTACTGGGTCACTCCCCAAATTCCCACTCATCTAAGACTGGGCCAGGCTGAAGGCAGGAAGCTAGGAGCACAATCCAGATCTCCCATGTGGGTGGCAGGAATCCGATCGCTTGTGCCCTTACCACTGCCTCCCAGGGTCTACATTAGCCAGAAGCTGGAACTAGGAGTCAAATGGTGGTACTGTGATGTGGAACATGGACATCTTAACCACTAAGCCAAATGTCTAATTCATTAGATTTAGTAGATTTGAACCTGGCTTAATTTTACATGAAAATTGTATCTATTACCCCAACATCTGTAGACTCTTAATTCAAAAATTTATTATTATTATTATTGGGAAATCAAGTGAAGGTTGAGTATCTCTTATCCAAAATACTTGGGACCAGAAGTATTTCAGATTTTGATTTTGTCATATTTAGAATAGTTTCACATACATAATGAGATCTTGAGGGTTTGACTCAAGTCTAAACACAAAATCCACTTAGGTTTCACATACCCATAGCCTGAAGGTAGTCTTTTTTGTTTTTTATTTAAAGATGTATTTTATTTATTTGAGCAAAAGAGTTATAGACAGAGCGAGGGAGAGACACAGAAAGGTCTTCCATCCGCTGCTTCACTTCCCAAATGGCTCTTGCAGCTGTGGCTGAGCCGATCTGAAGCCAGGAACCAGGAGTTTCTTCTGGATCTCCCATGTGGGTACAGTGGCCTAAGCACTTGGGCCATCTTCTACTGCTTTCACAGGCCCTCAGCAGGGAGCTGTTTCAGAAGTGGAGCAGCTGGAACTCAAACCATAGCCCACATGGAATGCCGGGCAGAGGTCTAACCCTGTACATCACAGTACCGGTCCCTGAGGTTATTTATCTATCTATTTTTTTTCTTTTCTATTTTTTCTTTTGATTTTGTTTATTTGTTTGAGAGATATAGACACAGGGAGAGTTAGAGAGAAAGGTCTTCCATCTGCTGGTTCAGTCCCCAAATGGTCACAATGGCTGGAGCTGAGCCATTCTGAAGCCAGGAGCCAGGAGCTTCTTCCAGGCCTCACACGTGGGTGCAGGGATCCAAGCACTTGGGCCATCTTCCACTGCTTTCCCAGACCACAAGCCGAGAGCCAGTTTGGAAGAGGAGCAGCCAGGACATGAACCAGCTCCTATATGGGATGCTGGCACTCCAGGTGGGGGCTTAGCCAACTACACCACAGTGCCAGCCCCTGAAGGTAATCTTATACAGTATTTTTAGTGCACGTGGGTTTGACTGTGACCTGGCACACAGGTGTGGAAATTTTCACTTATGATTTCATGTTGATACTCAAAATACATTAAATTTTAGATATTCAGATTAGGGATTCTCAATCTGTCTTAAGGGGCAGTGACTGCAGTACATTCTGTTTTAAGGTTGTTAGTTCTCAGTAACAGCAAAATTAATTGCAATGTAGGAGCAGTCTCAAACCTTAGATGTCTCTACTCAAGATGTGGTGCATGGGAGGTGGGAGGAAGATGCAGAGAAGGTGGAGGCCTAACTTTGTCTTTGCCTTGGCTGTGAGTGAGATTGAACTAAATAAAAGTGATGTTGTTCTTGCTGCACTTGGTTTGGCTTTATACCTCAGAATAAGTGGAAGCTATAGGACTTAAGAATGACAAAATTAATGATTTAAACAACCCAGTTCCTAACTGGATCTATCTATATATTACACTAGCATAGATTTGATTGCTTTTGGAATAGACATTACTAGCACTAAGTAAGTTGCCTCTTTGGTGCTTAAGCAGAATTCTTGCATATTCTGCAGGATGCTTCACCAGGTGAAAAGGGATGGTGCGACTAGGAGTTGACTCAAAAGACTGCATCTTGGTATTTCAGTTTTTAACAAGACCTAGAAACTTAGAAATACTTACTGTTTCTTCAGATAAAACATTCATTAATTTTCAAAGCCTTCTTTCTAGGTTTTAATGTAGGCACTTAAACTATGTGTTTATCCTGTCATTTTGTTTAATTTGCAGGTGTTCTGTTCCAGTACAGCCAGGGGATATCATTCATTTGGAGGGGGACTGTACTTCTGATACTTGGATAATAGATGAAGATTTTGGATATTTGATTCTGTATCCAGACATGCTGATTTCCGGCACAAGCATCGCCAGTAGTATTCGATGTATGAGAAGAGCTGTCTTGAGTGAAACCTTTAGGGTAAATAACATTTGTTTTAATATTTATTTCATTGTACTTGTTTATTTTCCTAAATATCCCCTTTACTTATTTGAAAGGCAGTGACATAGAGAGAACTCTTCCATCTATTGGGTCACTCCCCAAATGGCAGCAATGGTCAGTGCTGGGCCAGACAGAAACTAGAACTCCATCTGGGTCTCCTGCCTGGGTGGCAGTGACCCCAGTGTTTGGGCCATCTTCTGCCGTTTTTCCAGCTGCATTAGCAGGGAGCTGGATTGGAAGCGGAGCATCTGAGAATCCAACAAGTGCCCAAATGGGATACCGCAATGCTGGCCCCTAAAGATTTACTTTATTTATTTGAAAGGGAGAGTGATAGAAGGGGTGGGAGAGACAGAGATTGATCTTCCATCTGCTGGTTCACTCCCCAGATGCCAACAATAGGCAGGGCTGGGCCAGGTTGAAGCCAGAAGCTGGGAACTCTGTCTTAGTCTCCCACCTAGGTGGCAGGGACCCAAGCACTTGGGCTACCTTTTGCTGCTTTCCCAGGTACATTAGAAGGGAGCTGGATCGGAAGTGGAGCAGCCAGGACTGTAACCAGTGCTCTAATATGGACAGCTGGTATTGCAGATACTGTGCCACAACACCAGCCCCAGGGTGAACAATATAAACAGTTAAGTTCTTAAAGGATCTTAGAGTTTACAGAGCACTTTCGCATTTATTATCTCATTTGATCTTCCCAGCAGTCCTGCAAGGTAGATGCATTTTGCAGAGGAGGAAATGAGCTCAGAGAGGTTAGGTGACTTGCCTGGGGTCATAGAACTAGTAAAGGGCAGTGCTGAGACTCAAGGCCAGATGTCTGACTCCTCTGAATCTTCTTCAGCACTTAATAGTTTATTTTGTTGGTAAGAAAATTAACAAGTGATAAGATTTTTTTTTTTAAGATTTATTTATTTATTTGAAAGTCAGAATTGCACAGAGGAGAGAGAGAGAGAGAGAGAGGTCTTCTTTCCAATGGTTCACTCCCCAGTTGGCCACAGCGGCCGGAGCTGCGCCGATCCAAAGCCAGGAGCCAGGAGCTTCTTCCAGGTCCCCCACTCGGGTGCAGGGGCCCAAGGACTTGGGACCATCTTCTACTGCTTTCCCAGGCCATAGCAGAGAGCTGGATTGGAAACGGAGTAGCCGGGTTTCGAACTGGTGCCCATACGGGATGCTGGCATTTCAGGCCAGGGCTTTAACCCGCTGCGCCACAGTGCCAGCCCCGATAAGATTTTAAATTTAATATACTTAGGCATTCCCAAACTTAACTTCATGTGATTGCCAAAAAACTAAAAATCTGAAAGTCTCTTTAAAAAAATTAAGGAATATTTCAAATATCTGTAAAAGTATGATTACAATAAACTCTCGTAATAAACCTACCATTAATCACTAACATTCTGTTCTTAAACATATATATTTTTAAATTTATTTATACTCAGTAAAATTACCAGTAATTTCTTACATTAATCAATTGTCCAGTTTATCTTGATAATGTTCAAAGAAATTTTTTATTTTTTTGCATTTTATTTGAAAGGCAGAAAACTTGGAGAGTCAAAGGGAGATCTTTTATGTACTAGCTAATTCTGCAGATACCCACAACAGCCAGGGCTGGGCTGGGCTGCATTTAAGAGCCTGGAATTCATCTAGGTCTCCCTTATGAATAGCAGGAGCCCAAGCACTTGGGCCATCATCTGCTGCCTCCCAGGCACATTAATAGGAAGCTGGATCAGAAGTGGAATAGCAAGGACTGAAACCTGTACTGTGATATGGCATACGGGCATTCCAAGTGGCAACTTAAAACCCATTGTGTCACACCAGCTGCTTTAACTATGCCTTTATTGACTTTTCTATTTGAGTAAATTATAAAGTCAAATTAGAGAAGAATTCTTTGAAAATATTGAATATAATTGAACTTTTTAATATTATTTTAATTTTTCCCAAGTGGAAATTATTATTTTTAAAAATAACTCATTCATAAAATAATACAGCTTGTAAAAATAATTCAGGGGTGGGCATTTGGCTTGGTGGTTAACACACTGCTTGGGTCACCTATGTCCCCTATCAGAGTGCCTGGATTACTGTCCTGGCTCTGCTCCCAATTCTAGCTTCCTTCTTACGTATACCCTGGAAGGCAGCAGATGATGGCTCATGTACTTGGGTCCTTGCTACCCTTGTGGGAGCCTGGATTGAGTGCTGGGCTCCTGGCTTCAGTTTGGCTCATCCCTAGCTGTTACAGATATTTGGATAATCCGACAGATACAAGATCTCTCTGTCTCTGTCCCACTGCTTTTCAAATAAGTAAAAATAAATGAGAAACTTTTTTTTAAAGATTTATTTATTTGAAAAGCAGAGTTACAGAGAGGCAGAGGCAGGGTGAGAGAGATCTTCCATCTGCTGGTTCACTCCCCAAATGGCTGCAGTGGTTGGAGCTGGGCCAATCTGAAGCCAGGAGCCTGGAGCTTCTTCCAGGTCTCCTATGTGGGTGCAGGGGTCCAAGGACTTGTGCCATCTTCTGCTTTCCCAGACTGTAACAGATAGCTGGATTGGAAGTAGAGCAGGCAGGACTCGAACCAGCAGCCAAATGGGATGCTGGCACTGAAAATGGCAGCCTTAGTTACTACACTGCAGCACTGGCCCCAATAAATAAGAATTTTTAAATTCTGAATAGAGGAAAGGGGAAGCTACCTATGATCTCATCTGCCAGAAAAAGCATTATTTAATATATTTGTATTTTTCTATTCAGTGTACTTTGGGCATAATAGTTTAACAGATTTAGGCAGTAAATATGTGCTCCTGTGTGTTAACATGCTGTGAAATAAAATGTATGATTTGTTTCTTAGAGCTCAGATTCAACGACCCGCCAAATGCTAATTGGTACAGTTCTCCATGAAGTATTTCAAAAAGCAATAAGTGATAGCTTTGCCCCAGAAAAGCTCCAAGAGCTTGCTTCTCAAACTGTTCAAGAAATAAGACATTTGAAGGAAATGTAAGTAGTTATGAGAAAAACTGCAGGTACAGTTTTATTTTGTCACTTCTTTCTTGGTAGCTATATGGTTTTGTTTTGTTTTTGAAATTTTATTTACTTTGATAAGCAGAGTTAGAGAGAGAAGTGTTCTATCCACTGGAGCTGGGCCAATCCGAAACCAAAAACCAGGAGATTCTTACTGGCCTCCCACCTGGGTGTCGGGGCCCAAGGACTTGGGCCATCCTCTGGTGCTTTCCCAGGCACGTTAGCAGGAAACTGGATTGGAAGTGGAGCCTCTGGGATATGAACTGGCACCCATATGGGATGCCAGCACTGGAGGCGAGGAGCTTAACCTGCTGTGTCATGCACTAGCCTCTGTATGGTTTTTAGAATTAGACTACACTGTATATATTGACGTAGTCTAGATTGTGGATTGTAGAGTTGCAGTACCCCATTGCAGCATTGTGAAGAGTTTCTGAAATTGTAGAACACCAAGTCTTTAGCTAAAATGCTGAAATTATCTGAATGTATACAACAGATTCCTTAGCTGCTCTCAGAGATGCGCAAAAAATCTTTTTGCACTAGTTCTAGAAACTGTGACATACTAAAAATTGTGTGGGTGTAGGAGTCAGATGGAATGAGTTTGAAAATACAGCTTTGCTAGTTTGATGAGTAACTAAAGATTATGAAGAACAGGGTAGGCATTTGGGCATAGTGAGTTAAGTTGCCACTGGGGATGGCTGTATCCCACATCAGAGTGCCTAGTTCATGTTTTGGCTACTCTGCTTCCTATCTAGCTTCCTGCTCATGCACAGCATTGGTGACAGCAGATAATGGCAGGCTTTGGGTCCTACCACCTTCCCACTCAGATTGAATTACAGTCTCCTGGAGCCAGGAATCAAACCCAGGCACTCTGATGCGTATGAAGGTGCCCTAATTGCTAGGCTAAATGCCTGCTTCTTTCTTTTTAGGTTTTTTTTTTTTTTTAAGATTTTATTTATTTATTTGAGACAGACAGAGTGAAAGGTCTTCCTTTGATCACTCCCCAAATGACAGCAACAGCTGGAGCTGTACCAATCTGAAGCCAGTCTTCTCAGTCTCCCATGAGGGGGCCCAAGCACTTGGGCCATCTTTTACATCTTTTACTCTTTTTCTAGGCCATGGCAGAGAGCTGGATTGGAAGAGGAGCAGCTGGGACTAGGAACTGGAGCCCATATGGGATGCCAGTGCTGCAGGTGGAGGATTAACCTACTGCACCAGTCGCTGGCCCCTCTTTTTAGTTTTTTTTTTTTTTTTTTTTTTTTTTGACAGGCAGAGTGGACAGTGAGAGAGAGAGACAGAGAGAAAGGTCTTCCTTTGCCGTTGGTTCACCCTCCAATGGCCGCCGCTGCAGCCGGCGCACCGCGCTGATCCTGGCAGGAGCCAGGAGCCAGGTGCTTTTTCCTGGTCTCCCATGGGGTGCAGGGCCCAAGCACCTGGGCCATCCTCCACTGCACTCCCTGGCCATAGCAGAGAGCTGGCCTGGAAGAGGGGCAACCGGGACAGAATCCGGCGCCCCAACCGGGACTAGAACCCGGTGTGCCGGCGCCGCAAGGTGGAGGATTAGCCTAGTTTTTTTCTTCATACACTTATTTATTTATTTAATCTGAAAGCTGCAGAGAGAGATCTTTCATCAGTTGGTTCACGCCCCAAATGCCTATAACAGCCAGTGCTGTGCCAGGCTGAACCAGGAGCACAGAATTTAATGTGTGTTTCCCATGTGGGCGGAAGGGATGTGCATTAGCAGGAAGCTGCAGTGGAGAGCAGAGCTGGGACTCACGCCCAGACACTATGATACTGGACGCAGATGTCCCAAGTGACAGCTGCTCTGCCAAATACCTACCCCCTTTTCTTTCTTTTTTGGCTCCTATGCAGTCTGTCTTTTTTCCACATAAATGTTTTTATTAATGGTGACTTTGACTCCCAAGCTAGTTGACATGAAGCTACATTTTCCAGAATATAATTCTATGGCTAACTCTCTGTGTGTTTATATGTATGTGTGTGTTAGTTTCATTTTTATTTGAAAGGCAGAGAGAGACAAAGAGAAAGGTATTCCTTGTGCTGGTCATGCCAAATGTCTGCTATAGCATGAGCTAGGCTAGGAAGAATCCAGGAGCTAAGAATTCAGTCTGGGTTTCCTGGATCACATTATCAGGAAGCTGGAACTGGAAGTAGATCTTGGACTTGAACCCAGGCACTGTAATATGAAATGCAAGTGTCCCAAGTGGTATCTTAACCACTGTATCAAATGCCACCGTAGTTAACACTTTAAATATATATTTAAATTATATATGTATTCAATATTAATTAATATATTTAAATATTTATTTTGTAAGTTAGAGTTACACAGATAGAAGGAGAGGCAGAGACAGAGAGAGAGGTCTTCCATCTGCTGGTTCACTGCTCAAATGGCCGCAATTGCTGGAACTGTACTGATCTGAAGCCAGGAGCCAGGAGCTTCTTCCAGGTCTTCCACATGGGTACAGGGGCCCAAGGACTTGGGCCATCTTCTACTGCTTTCCCAGGCCATAGCAGAGAGCTGGATTGGAAGAGGAGCAGCTGGGTCTCAAACCAGCACCCATATGGGATGCTGGCAATGCAGGGCTTTTCCCGCTACCGCACAGCACCGTCCCCCTGGCTTTGCTTTCTATTCCAGTTAAGTCATTAAAGGAAAATATGTGTTTTGTAATTATGAATTATGTAATTATGAAATATTCTATCGTAATTCTCCCCATCCAAGGTCACATCTTAAGCAAGAGAATGCTTCTTTAAAATGAACAAATCCTGTGGTGGGTGTTAGGATGTTGCTTGAGATACCCACATCCCATATCAGAGTGCATGGTTTCACATCCCAACTCCGTCTCCAATTCCAGCTTCCTGGTGGTGCACACTGTCAGAGGCAGCAGTGATAACTCAAGTGTTTGGGCCCCTGTCAACTACATGGGACCCTGGTAGAGTGTTAGGCTCCTGACTTCAGCCTGGCTCAGCCCCAGCTCTTGTGGGCATTTGGAGAATAAATGAGTGGGTTAAAGATCTTTCTGTCTCTGTCTCTGTCCACTTCTTAAAATAACTAAATAAAAATGAAAACTCCCCCAATCCATCAACCTTTCCCCCTTGGTACAGGGAAAGATCTGTTCCTGTGCTACTCTTTCTTCTGGACAGACCAGCCTTGAAAATCCTGCCTTAAATTCCTCAATAATCTCAGCAAAAACCAGGCTGTTATGTGACATTTGTTGAGGCTGTGCTAAAAGTAGTAATGGAGACTTTGAATGCCAGAGTTTTTAAGTAACCAGTATGGACTGTTTTGGAAAACTAAGAGGCTTGGTATGTGAAAAACCAAAACTCTGAAAGAATCTAAGCAGATCATGACAGTGAAGAAAAGCTCCTGGGGGCTGGCATTGTGGCGCAGCAAGGTTTTTGTTTTTTTGTTTTTTGACAGGCAGAGTTAGAGAGAAAGAGAGAGAAAGGCCTTCCTTTTTCCGTTGATTCACCCCCCAAGTGGCCGCCACGGCTGGAGTGTTACGGCCACCGCACTGCGCTGATCCGAAGCCAGGAGCCAGGTGCTTCCTCCTGGTTTTCCATGCGGGTGCGGGGCCCAAGGACCTGGGCCATCCTCCACTGCCCTCCCGGGCCACAGCAGAGAGCTGGACTGGAAGAGGAGCAACTGGGACAGAATCCGGCGCCTGGACCGGGACTATAACCCCGGGGTGCCGGTGCTGCAGGCGGAGGATTAGCCTGGTGAGCCGCAGCACCAGCCGGTGCAGCAAGTTAAGCTGCCACTGCAACACTGGCATCCATATGGGCATGGGTTCGAGTTCCAGCTGCTCCACCTCTTCCAATTCAGCTCCCTGGTAATGCATCTGAGAAAGAAGCAGAAGGTGGGCCAAGTGCTTGGGCTTTTGTACCTACATTGGGAGACCTGGATAGAGTTCCAGCCTCCTGGCTTCAGTCTGGCCTAGCTCCAGCTGTTGATGGACATAAAGGGAGTGGACCAGCAGATGGAAATAAATATATATATATGTGTGTGTGTGTATATATATTTATATATTTTTTAAAGCTCCTGGTTCTTGGAAAAAGTAATTTAGGAAAAAGATTATCCAATTGTGCTTGATTTTTAAAATTGTTCTTTAGAATCTCTAAATGGGTTATGGGGGAGGCATTATGGTGTATTGGGTTAAGAATCTTCTTGGAATGCTTATAGCCCATATTAGAGTGCTGATTCATGTTTTGGCTTCTTAGCTTCCAATCCTTTTTCCTGCTTATGCATACTGGCAGGCAGTATGCATGGCTTAAGTGCTTAGATTCCTAGTTCTCACGTGAGAGGCCAGGGTGGAGTTCTGAACTTACGGCTTCTGCCTGGCCCAGTTCTGGCTGTTGTGGGGATTTGGGGAGTGAAATAGCAGATGGAAGATTGCTCTCTGTCTCTCTGTATTATTCTACCTTTCAAATAAACATTTAATATAAATATGTTATAAATTCATGTATACCGTGTTATAATAATACAAGAGGGTATATACAGTGAAAAATAAATCTGTTGTGGTATGGTGGGTTAGGCTGCTGCCCGTTACGCTGGTATTCCATGTGCGTACTTGTTCACATCCTGGGTGCTCTGTTTCCAATCCTTCTCCCTGCTAATGTACCTGGGGAGGCAATGGAGAATGGCCCAAGTATTTAGGCCCCTGCTACTCATATGGGAGACCCAGATGGAGTTCTGGCTCATGGCTTCAGCTTGCCACAGCCCCTGCTGCTGGAGCCATTTGGAGAGTGAACCAGCAGATGGAAGATCTCTGTTTTCTTCTCTGTAACTGTCTTTCAAATACATAAATAACTCTTTAAAAAGATTAAACTTTGGAGGCAGGTGTTTGGCCTAGTGGTTAAGGTGTCCATTTCGCTCATTGGAGTACCTGACTTCAATTACTGGCTCTTTGTCCTGACAGTCCAGACCCTAAGAGGCAATGATGTTGGGTCCCTGCCACTTGCATGGGAGGACTAGATTAGAGTTCCTGGTTCTGTGCTTTGGCTCCAGTCCAGCCCTGGCTTGTTGTGGGCATTTTGGAACGAAATCAGAAGGGAGCTCTTGCTTTATCTCATCAAATGAGAATTTTAAAAAAATGAAAGAAAAAATATTTTATAAATTTGGAGATAATTTCAAATTTAGAGAAGAGTTATAAGAGTGGTACAAGGGGCCGGTGCTGTGGCATAGCGGGTTAAAGCCTTGGCCTGAGGTGCCCGGCATCCCATATGGGCGCCGGTTCTAGTCTGGCTGCTCCTCTTCCAGTCCAGCTGTCTGCTGTGGCCCGGGAGGGCAGTGGAGGATGGCCCAAGTGCTTGGGCCCCTGCACCCACGTGAGAGACCGAGAAGCAGCTCCTGGCTCTTGGCTTTGGATTGGCTCAGCTCCAGCTGTTGCAGCCATCTTGGGGGTGAACCAGGGATGGAAGACCTCTCTCACTGTCTCTACCTCTACCTGTAACTCTGTCTTTCAAATAAATAAATCTTTAAAATAAAAAAAAAGAGTGGTACTAAGAGCATTCATATACCCTTCACCCAGACTCACCAGTTAGCATATCTCCTCCTTTGCTCTGTTATTGGTGTTTTCTCCCTCTCCTTCCTTCTCCTTCCCTTCCTCTCTCTAGATTTTTTTTCTAATCCACCTGAGAGTAAATTGTATACATGATGGTCTTACCTCCAAGTGTGTGGTTGCCAAGAGGCAGAATTTTCTCTTAGTGAACTGCATATAACATTGCTAGAATACTTTTCTCTGATAAACTTTGCACATTTCAGTGTTGTCAGTTGTCCACTGATGTCCTCTCTAGAATTCTTTTTTTCAGAGTAGGATCAGCCCTATGCCTTTAAAGTCTTGATCCATCTAGCGCCAGATTGCTGCAGTCATCGTCGCAGTTCCCATTTCTGCCAGTCGCATGCGAGTCCCTGTTTCCCACCGCGATCCCTTAGCCGTCCTGTGTTAGGACTTCAGAGAGCCTTTTGCGAGGATAGCTTCCCATTGGGCAGCCGCAGTGTGTTGCTGTGGGTTTTGGCTATTAGCAGTAGCTACCACGAGCTTGCTGTTGTGCTTGAGACAAACAGTTTGAGAGCGCTGCGGTTGCCAGTGTCGTCCTCCCTGCTGACCTGGCTCACTCGGAGGCCTGCACAGCTCTGTTCTCTCCTGTTCCGGAAAGCCAGAGGCAGCAGAAATCTCGGAAAGTGAGAGCTTATTAAATGTGGTGTTGAAAGTATTGCAAAGTTACCATACAGTACATTCGTAGTATCCTAACATTGCCATGTTTATGAATGTGTTTAGGATGGAGCTGTTGTGAGTATGTTAGAAAAATGACAAATTATTTTTGAAATACTCATTGGAGAGTTTGGCAGTACTGAAGGAAGTGAGCTCAGGTCTTCAGGGAGACAGGAATGGCAGTAACTGTTCCAACATGGTGTAGAAGGGAGCATGGAATAAGAAGTTAGGTTCCACAGCTAAAGCTATATGTCCTTTTGAAGTTAGAAGTAATCTGACCTGTGGGCTCAGTTCCCTTGGCTATAAAGTGGCGATGACAATGCCAATGCCTGTCTCATAGAATTATGGTGAGGTATGAAGGTGTGTGTTCGCGGGAACCCCCTAGAGTCCTGCCTGGCCTGTAAGTCAGCGTGTTATAAGTATTCCTCATTACCTTCCTCTTCATACCCTAAAACATTCTTACCATAAGCTCAGTACCTTGCGTTCATTGAAAACTGACTCTGAGAGGTGGTTATTTTTCTCTGCCATACAGATGAGGAAACAGATCTGATGGACAGTCAACACATGGGGTTACTGCAGAGTTAGCACTCACAGCCAAGTATGGTCTGACGCACACACTGACGGGCTTCTCATCTCCTAGAGTGGTTATAAAGGTTGGGAAGCTTAAAGTAGGGGCCATCCTGGGAGTGTGAGTCTACTCGTATACAGCAGTTCTCCAGACATTTAAATTTTCTTTTATTTACTTGAAAGGTGTGAGGGTGGGGGATAGGTCACAGGCAGGCAGAGAAAAGTCCTGTCCACTGACTTACTCTCCAAATGCCCACACCAACTGGGGCTGGGCCAGACCAATCCGTATCTCCCACGTGGGTGGTAGGGACCCAACTACTTGAGCTGTCACCTTTTGCCACCCAGGGTGCATATTGCAGGAATCTGGAATCGGGAACCGAGCCAGAACTCAAACCCAGGCACTCTGATATGGGATGCAGGTGTCCTAAGGAGCATCTTTTTTCTTTAGTTATTTTAAAGATTCAAAGATTTTTTTTTTTTATTTGAAAGGCAGATGTATATATATAGAGGTCTGTCTGCTGGTTCACTGTCCAAATACCACAATAGCCAGGGCAGTACCAGGCCGGTGATTGGAGCCTGGAACTCCATCTGGGACTCTCACGTGGGTTCAGGGGCCCAAGTACTTGGGCTGTCTTCTGTTGCTTTCCCAAGTGCATTAGCAGAGAGCTGGGTTAGAAATGGAGCAGCCTGGACTCAAACTGGCGCTCTGATGTAGGACGCCAGCCTTGAAGGCATTGGCTTAATCTGCTGTGCCACATGCTGGGCCTCCAACTGGCATCTTTTTTTAAAGAAGATTTATTTATTTGAGAAGCAGTTATAGAGAGAGAGAGAGCTTCCATCCACTGGTTCACTTCTCAAATGGCCGCAAGGGCCAGAACTGGGCAGATCCAAAACCAGGAGCCAGGAACCAGGAGCTTCTTCCAGGTCTCCAGGTAGGTGCAGGGGTCTAAGCACTTGGGCCGTCTTCAGCTGCTTTCCCAGGCCATCAGCAGAGAGCTGGATCAGAAGGAGAGCAGCCGGGACTGAACCAGCACCCATTTGGGATGCTGGCTCTGTAAGGGAAGGCTTTACCTACTGAGACGCAGTGTCAGCCCCCTAGGTGCCATCTTCATCACTAAGTCAAATTCCTGTTCCAATTGCCTTCCTTTTAAAAACTGTAGTACTCCCATTCTGTATCTGCGCTACATTTTGCTTATCCATTTGTTATCCAGTGGACACTTGAGTTTCTTGCTTGGACCTTGTCCTTCTCTCATGTGTACATTCTCATGTTTAATATCTACTTTTGGCAGGTACCGCTTAAATCTCAGTCAAGATGAAATAAAACAAGAAGTAGAGGAGTATCTTCCTTCATTTTCTAAGTGGGCTGGAGACTTCATGCATCAGAACACTGACTTCCCTCAGATGCAGCTCTCTCTGTAAGAAATGTATTTTCTTTATTTATTGTTCATAGGATCCCATCTTGTATGTTGAATCAAAGCTTTTTAAAGATTGAGCTATGATGATTGGCCTTTTCTTGTTTATTTTTAAATTATGGTCTTGACAATCAATGGAATAGAAATTTTATTTTCATTATAATAAAGCCATCTAATTTTTCTATGTAGACATTTTTAAAAATAATTAGTTTATAAATATTTTGGGGGGCCTACTCTGTTAGTATTGTATGGCTTGTGTTGTATATTTAAATACTATGTTGGCCATTTAATGCCATTTGTCATTTTGCTTATTTTTCAGGTTTTTTAAAATTTGTTTAAAGTTTTACTTATTTGAAAGGCAAACTTTGGGGAAGGGGGCGGTGGTCGAGTTTCTGTCCATTGGTTCACTCTCCAAATGCCCACAATAGCATGGGCTGGGCCAGGCTGAGGCTAGGGACCAGGAACTCTATCTGGTCTCCCTCAGGGGTGGCAGGAACTCAAGTACTTGAACCATTATCTGCTGCCTCCCAGGCACATTAGCAAGAAAGAAGCTGTATCAGAAGCACAGAGTATCTGAGATTTGAACCAGTGCTCTTTTATGAGATGTAGGTGTCTCAAGTGGTACCTTACCCCTTATGCCACAGCGCTGGCCCCTCTACTTTATATTTTTAAGAATTTGACCACTTTAGATACCCCATATAAGTGGGATCATACAGTAGTTGTCTTCTTGTGGCTGGTTTATTTCACTTAGCATAGTATTTTCTTTTTTTATTTTACAACATTTAAATTTTTTCTCTGCCATAAAAAAATCATACCATTTTCTATTTTCAACAGTTGATTGATTTTGGGTGCATATTATTCCAGTGTTTAAGAACCAGCTCTGTTTCCTGACTTCCTGAGAGGCAGCAATAATTCAAATAATTGGGTCCCTGATCTCACAAGGTAGACCTGGCTTGTGTCACTGACCTCCCTGGGCTTGGAATCAGCCCTGCCCTTGAAAATTAGTGCATTTGGAGTGTGAAACAGTGATCGGGAGCTCTGTGTCTGTCTACATATACAAACTGGTTGTTTCTTCACAAACGCACCCTAGTAGAAGAGTTTCTTTGTTTTAATCAAAAGTTGCAGAGTGTTTTATTAATAATGTTTACGTTGATTACATGTTGAGATAATAATTCTTGGTCATTTTATATTAAATCAAGTACATTCTTAAAAGTAGCCGGCGCCGTGGCTCAATAGGCTAATCCTCCGCCTTGCGGCGCCAGCACACCGGGTTCTAGTCCCGGTCAGGGCGCCGGATTCTGTCCCGGTTACCCCTCTTCCGGGCCAGCTCTCTGCTGTGGCCAGGGAGTGCAGTGGAGGATGGCCCAAGTGCTTGGGCCCTGCATCCCATGGGAGACCAGGAGAAGTACCTGGCTCCTGCCTTCGGATCAGCGCGGTGCGCTGGCTGAAGCGCGCCGGCCGCGGCGGCCATTGGAGGGTGAACCAACAGTGAAAGGAAGACCTTTCTCTCTGTCTCTCTCTCTGACTGTCCACTCTGCCTGTCAAAAAAAAAAAGAAAAAAAAAAGTAATTCACAGGGCTGGCGCTGTGGCATAGCATGTGAAGCCGCCGTCTGCAGTTCCAGCATCCCATATGGGTGCCAGTTTGAGTCCCAGCTGCTCCACTACTGATCCAGCTCTCTGCTATGGCCTGGGGAAGCAGTAGAAGATGGCCCAGATGTTTGGGCCCCTGCACCTGAGTAGGGAGACCCGGAAGAAGCTCCTGGCTTCTGGCTTCAGATGGGTGCAGCTCTGGCTGCTGCGGCCATTGGGGAGTGAACCAGCAGATGGAAGACCTCTCTCTCTCTCTGCCTCTGCCTCTCTGTAATTCTGCCATTCAAATAAATAAGTAAATCTTTAAAAATTATATATAAAAAAGTAATTTGCATGTTTTACTTACTGAGAGGCGGGGACAGAGCAAGAGAGCTCCCATCCACCAGTTTACTCCCCAAATAGCATAGTATTTTCAGAGTTCATCTGTGCTACAGTGACAGGATTTCCTTTTTTTTTTTTTTTTTTTTAAAGATTTATTTATTTATTTGAAAGGCAAAGTCACAGAGAAGCAGAGGTAGAGAGAGGTCTTCCATCAGCTGGTTTACTTCCCAGATGGCCACAACGGCCGGAGCTGGGCCGATCCAAAGCCAGGAGCTTCTTCCGGTTCTCCCATGTGGGTACAGGGGCCTGAGGACTTGGGCCATCTTCCACTGCTTTCCCAGACCATAGCAGAGAGCTGGATCGGAATTGGAGCAGCAGAGACTCAAACCAACTCTCACATGGGATGCTGGCACTGCAGGTGGTGATTTTACCCACTGTGCCACAGCACTGGCTTGGATTTCCTTTTTAAGAAGAAATAATAATCTGTTGAATGAGCAAGTGTATCTGTTTTGTTTATCCATTCATCTATGGATGGACATTTGTGTTACTTCTAACTCTTGGCTCTTGTAAAGAGTGCTGCTATGAATAAATTTGCAAATCTTACTTAAGAATCTACTTTCAAAACTTCTGGATATGTGCCTAGAATTGAGTTTGCTAGGTCAAATCATAGTTCTATTTTGAGTTTTTAGAGAAACCTCCATTCTAGCTTTGGAGCCATTGGACCATTTGACAGTCCCAGCAAGAGTGCACAAAGGCTCCAGTCTCTTCACGTCCTTGCCACCATTCTTTTTTTCTGAGTTTTTGATAATTGCAATTCTTTTCATATAAGATTTTCATTAGATATGGCTTTGCTTATGCTTACACAGTCTAAAAGTTTAAAATATAGCTGAGATTAATAAATATGAGATAGCTGTTGTCTGACTTTTTTCTGATCCTTTCAGCAGAATAGCTATAGCTGCTCTGAAAAATGAGTAAATCTTGATCATGCATAAGGATTAATTTTGTTGTTGTTAAAGATTTATTTGTTTGGGGCCAGCGCCGCGGCTCACTAGGCTAATCCTCCGCCTAGCGGCGCCGGCACACCGGGTTCTAGTCCCGGTCGGGGCGCCGGATTCTGTCCCGGTTGCCCCTCTTCCAGGCCAGCCCTCTGCTGTGGCCAGGGAGTGCAGTGGAGGATGGCCCAGGTGCTTGGGCCCTGCACCCCATGGGAGGCCAGGAAAAGCACCTGGCTCCTGGCTCCTGCCATCAGATCAGCGCGGTGCGCCGGCCGCAGCGCGCCGGCCGCGGCGGCCATTGGAGGGTGAACCAACGGCAAAGGAAGATCTTTCTCTCTCTCTCTCACTGTCCACTCTGCCTGTCAAAAAAAAAAAAAAAGATTTATTTGTTTGAAAAGCAGACTGAGAGAGGGCAAGAGAGCATGTGCGTGCACAAGAAGGATATCTCTTCTGTCTGCTGGTTGACTCCCAAGTGGCTTCAAAGGCCAGGCTTGGCCTGGCTGCATTCAGGAGCCAGGAAGTGCATCTGAGTTTCCTACATGGGTGATAGGAACTCAAGTATTTGGGCCATCATCTGCTGCCTTCCATTCACATTAGCAGGACAGTGGCTCAGAAGCTGAGTAGCAGGACTTGAACTGGCACTATGATATGGGATGTGGGTATCCCAAGCAACTGCTTGAGCTGCTGCACCGAAAGACCTGCCTTTGTATAATAATTTTCATTGTTGTTTCCATTTGTTCCAATTCTCTCAACACTTATTATATTCCCTTTTTTTCTCCTTTCTTTGCACTTGGCTAGTTAAGATATTAACGTCTGAACCTCCTTTATAATTAAAAAGCAATATTGAGTGCTTAATTTTAGATGTTGATAGAGGCCAAGATGGATTCACTTAATGATTAAGTAAAGAACATAATGGGGATGTGTAGGTGTGGTCACGAGGTCCTTTGAAGATTGTTCTGTGTGGATTGTGGGTGAAAAGTTAGGTGAAGAAGCCCAGTGCTTCATAGATGGTGGGCTGAGCACACGTGCTTACACAGTCTAATAAGGTATTACATGAAGGAACACATCCCTTGCTGTATAGGTGCAACACATTCAAGCCATTGCATATTAATTTGTGTAATAATTGTCAGAATACTCAAATTGATAATTGTGCCTCCAGCTGTCCACATAGTAATCTTGGCTTCAGGAAAGGTCTTGAGAAGATTGTAGTGGGAATGAACTGACAAGCATAGATGATAAATATTAGCAAAGATTAAATTACATGAGAGCCTATAGAACCATGACACTTAAACTTGAGTGCACATCAGAATTGCTCAGGGGGTTTGTGAAGTAGATTGCTGGGCTTCATCCTTGCAGATTCTGCTTGAATCAGTCTGGAGAGGGAACCTTTGAATTTACATTTATATCAGGTTGCCAGGTGATGCTGATGTTACTGGTCCAGGGACTATACTTTGAGAATCATTGCAGGAAAACTTTCTAGGCCCCACATGTTTTGTGTGAGGTAGTCAGTCAAGACCAGCAAATGTGTAATGAGCCAAATATTCTAATTGAGTATTTTGTGTTTTCTTTTTTAGGCCAAGCGATGGCAGTAATAATAATTCGACATGTCACATTGAAGTAATCAATTCATTGGATATTGAAGAAAGCATTTGGTCCCCTAGGTTCGGACTAAAGGGCAAAATAGATGTTACAGTTGGTGTGAAAATACATCGAGGTCATAAGACGAAATACAAGATAATGCCCTTGGAACTCAAGACTGGCAAAGAATCAAATTCTGTTGAACACCGTAGTCAGGTATACATTTTAAGAAAATAGTTACAATGGAGGTGTTTTGTTTTGTTTTTAATTTGAGAGAGTGAGAGCAAGTGAGCTAGCCAACTCCTGTCTGCTGGTTCACTCCCCAGAGCAACAGCAGGGGTAGGGCTGGGCTGGGTCAAACCTGGGAGCCGGGGACTCAGTCCAGATCTCCCAGATAGGTGGCAGGGAACCAGGCCCTTGAGCCGTCACTGTCACTCCAGAGTCTGCAATAGCATGATGCCAGAGCTGGGTAATGAACCCAGCCCTGCAGGGTGGGATGCGGAACCCTAACTGACATCTTCAACTGCGAGGCCAAACGCTCATTCTGAAGACGTTTTTTATATGTAACATTTACTTAGGATACTTACGGATTCATTGGTGTAAGTTCATTCTTTTATTTCTGACATATTGATTTTTTTATCTGAGATAAAACAGTAGAACTGCCTCTTATCATTATAATAAGTTGAAGTTTAAAAAATCATCTATTAAATAAATATTCATCTTGGATAAACATAAGTCTTCTCTTTCAAACTTATTTGAAATTTAGGGGCAGGTATTTGGCACAGTGGTTAGGATGCTGCTCGGGATGCTTGCATCCCATTTCGAAGTCCTGGTTTGAGTCCCAGCTACTCCATTCTGACCCAGCTTCCTGCTAATGGAGTCAGTAGATGATAGCTTTAATAGTTAGTTACATGCCTCCCACATGGGAGACCTGAATTGAGTTTTAGGCCCTTGGCTTTGGCTTGGCCCTGCCTTGGCTATTGAAGACTTTTTTGAAGTAAACCAGTAGATGAAGATCTCTCTTCTCTCTGTCTTTTTGCCTTTCAAATAAACTGAAAATAAAATAAGTAAAAATTACAAAATAATTTTGAAATTTATATGATAGTGACTTAACAGATCAAAGTAATTAATTAACACAGAGTTGCTTTTTGTTTTCTAATTATTTCTGTCCACTCCACCCATATCTACAGTGGCAATATGTGATCTGTTTTCACAGGAACTGAAATCTGTGAAGAGAAAACTCAAAGTAGTAGTATTTTATTTTTATGATATACTAAGGAAGTTATATGATGTAACAGCATAGCATTTGTGATAAAACACAAATGTATTCTTGCCTTTGAAATTTTGCCTGTTATTTGAGCAGATTTTATGTAAAATAAGGTTCAGATTTAAAGTATTGAATTGGATAATCAGTAGTAAAAAAAGATTTGCTAAATCTTTCTTGCCATTTTTAATTGTATACCAAACATTAAAGATTCTCATGAAAGCTTTGAAGTTTGAGAAGAAAAATAAGATAGCCTTCTTTTTTTTTTTTTTTTTTTTTTTTTTTTTTTTTTTTTTTTTTTTGACAGAGTGGACAGTGAGAGAGAGAGACAGAGAGAAAGGTCTTCCTTTTGCCGTTGGTTCACCCTCTAGTAGCTGCCGTGGCCAGCGCGCTGTGGCCGGCGCACTGCGCTGATTTGATGACAGGAGCCAGGTACTTCTCCTGGTCTCCCATGGGGTGCAGGGCCCAAGCACTTGGGCCATCCTCCACTGCACTCCCTGGCCACAGCAGAGAGCTGGCCTGGAAGAGGGGCAACCGGGACAGAATCCGGCGCCCTGACCGGGACTAGAACCCGGTGTGCCGGTGCCGCAAGGTGGAGGATTAGCCTAGTGAGCCGCAGCGCCGGCCCAATAGCCTTCTTTTCTTAACTATTGCTGGGTTATAGAGACACTGAACTTTTCACTTTAGTAATACACAAATGGCTGAAATTACAAAGTAATTATTTGGCTAGATTAAAGCCCTCTTCAAGAAGAAACGTTGTATCAAGATAGAAGAAAGGATGTTTATGAGATTGAAAATTTTACTTGACTTTATTTTAAGCACAAGTTTGGTGTCACTTTAGAATACTACTTGGAGGGAAATATAAAAGCATTTCAAGGTATAAGGTGATTTGGATTTGTGAATCCTTTTTCATTTAGTTTACTGTTCTAATATTTGCTATACCATCAAGGCAATGAATATTACTGCATTAAATTTTGTTCAGTAGGGATATCTTTTTTTAAAGATTTATTTATTCAAAAGTCAGAGTTACACAGAGAGAGCAGAGGCAGAGAGAGAGAGAGAGAAAGAAAAGTCTTCTATCCGCTGGTTCACTCCAATTGGCTGCAACAGCTGGAGCTGTGCCAATCTGAAGCCAGGAGCTTCTTCCGAGTCTCCCATGTGGGTGCAGGGGCCCAAGGACTTGGGCCATCTTCTACTGCTTTCCCAGGCCATAGCAGAGAGCTGGATAGGAAGTGGAGCAGCCAGGATTAGAACCGGTGTCCATATGGGATGCCAGCACTGCAGGTGACTGCTTACCTTCTATGCCACAGTGCTGGCCCCTTGTTCAGTTGGAACTTTGTCTTCCCCAGAAGAGAAGCTACAAAAGGAACTTTAAAGAAAAAAAAAATAGTAATTCTTATATTGGGGAAAATGAAAAATTTTCTGGTGCAAGGTTCAAACAGAAATGTTGGGTTTGGGGGCCAGCCTCGTATAATGGGTTAAGCTGCTACCTGTAATGCTGGCATCCCACATGGGTACTGGTCAAGTCCCAGCTGCTCCACTTCCCATGCTGCTACCTACTAGTGCACCTAGGAAAGCAGCAGAGGATGGACTGGGTGCTTGGGCCCCTGCATCCACATGGGAGACCAGGATGAAGCTCCTCGAATTGGCATCTGGCATAATAGTTAAAAAACTTGTTAAGATGCAGGTCCCACATTTTTTGTGCCTGAGTTCAATTCTTGGCTCTGGCTCCTGATTTCCAGCTTCTCAGCAAAACAGACCCTGGAAAGCAGCAGGTGTTGGCTTAAGTAATTGGGTCCCTGCCACCTACACAGGATACCTGTATTGAGTTCCAAGCTTCTGACTTCGGCCCCAGCCGAGCCCCAGCCTTTCTGGACACTTGAGGAATGAACCACTGGATGGAAACTCTCTTTCTCTCTGCTTCAAATAAATAAGTGAGTAAATAAGTAAATTTATGCTGCAGATAATGCTGTCTGCCTCCTATGTGTTAATCATATTTTAACTGCACTTTACAAAGCCGGAGTATAATTATAGTCTGACATCTTTATGTATGCTGATTTTGTGATTTTAAACACTGGGCCTTCTTAAATCGTTTAATCTTCGAATCTTGGAGATCTGGAAAACAAGTGAACTTGTCCTTATTTTGTATATGAGTCCACCTAAATGATTTGCTCTTGCTGTTAAAGCTTTCTGTTAAACTAAAGGGATTTTTTTCTTTCTTTCTTAATTTGAAAGACAGACAAATACATATGCAGACACAAACACACACTGAGTGATCTTTTATCCGCTGATTCACTCTCCAAATGCCCACTCAGCCAGGGCTGGCCAAAGCTGGCAGCTCAGAACTCAGGATAGCTTTTCCATGTGGTTGGCAGGGACCCAAGTGCTTCAGCCATCCTCCTGCTGCCTCCCAGAGTGCACATGATTAGGAAACGAATCCGAACTGAAACTGGGACTCCAACATGGAATGTTAGCAGCCCACGTGATAATTTAACTGCTGTGATAGATGCTCATCTCTAAAGGACTTTTTTTCTTTTTTTTTTAACATATTTTTTTAAATTTTATATTTATTTTATTTTATTTAATGAACATAAATTTCCAAAGTACAGCTTATGGATTACAATAGCTTCCCCCCCATAACTTCCCTCCCACCCACAATGCTCCCCTCTCCCACTCCCTCTTCCCTTCCCTTCACATCAAGATTAATTTTCAATTATCTTTATACACAGAAGATCAATTTAGCATATATTAAAGATTTCAACAGTTTGCACCCACACAGAAACACAAAGTGTAAAATACTATTTGAGTACTAGTTATAGCATTAATTAAACACCTAAGAGTAATTGTGTATTAATTACAGAGTTCAACCAATAGTTTTAAGTAGAACATAAAAAATACTAAAAGGGTAAAGTATTAAGTTCTTTTTTTTCTTTTTTTTGTTATATAGTTATTTTTTTTATTTAATAAATGTGAATTTACAAAGTGCAACTTTTGTATTGTTGTGGCTCCCCCCCCAACCTCCCTCCCTCCCGTGGTCTTCCCCTCTCCCACTCCCTCTCCCATCCCGCCCTTCATCGAGTTTCATTTTCAATTACCTTCATATACTGAAGATCAACTTAGTATATATTAAGCAAGGATTTCAACAGGCTGTACTCACACAACCGCACAAGGTATAGGGTATTGTTCGACTAGTAGTGTTGTTTTTAAGTTTCATAGTAAAACATATTAAGGACAGACATCCTATGTGGGGAGCATGTACCCAGTGACTCCCGTTGTTGATTTAACAATTGGCACTCTTATTTATGAGGTTAGCAATCACCCGAGACTCTTGCTATGGGCTGTCTAGGCTATGGAAGCCCCTTGAGTTCACCGACTCTGAACTTGTTTAGTCAAGGCCGTATCACAGTGGAGGTTCCTTCCTCCCTTCAGAGAAAGGCGCCTCTCTCCTTGATGGCCTGTTTTTTCAAGTATTTTTAAAAGATTTATGGGGCTGGTGCTGTGGCGCACTAGGTTAATCCTCTACCTGCAGTGCTGGCGTCCCATGTGGGCGCCGGGTTCTAGTCCTGGTTGCTCCTCTTCCAGTCTAGCTCTCTGCTGTGGCCCGGAAGGGCAGTGGAGGATGGCCCAAGTGTTTGGGCCCCTGCACCCGTGTGGGAGACTGGGGGCGGGGCGGAGGCACCTGGCTCCTGGCTTTGGATCGGCATAGCTCCGGCCATTGCGGCCATTTGGGGAGTGAACCAGCAGACGGAAGACCTTTCTCTCTGTCTCTCTCTCTCTCACTGTCTGTAACTCTACCTGTCAAATGAATAAATAAAAATCTTAAAAAAAAAAAAAAAGATTCATTTATTCATTTGAAAGGCAGGGTTACAGAGAGAGAAGGAAAGACTGCTGGTTCATTCCCCAAATGGCCACAACAGCCAGGACTGAGCCATGCCAAAACCAGGAGCCTGGAGCTTCTTCTCGGTCTCCTACCTGGATGCGAGGGCCCAAGGGGTTGGGCCATCTTCTGTTGCTTTTCCAGGCACATTAGGAAGGAGCTGGATTGGAATTGGAGCATCCAGGCTTTGAACCTGCATCCATATGGGATGTTGACACTGCAGGAGGCCTCTTAACCTGCTATGCCCCCACACTTTTCCCAGAGGGGCTATTTTCTAACATCTGAGTTTTTCTGAAGAGCATTAGTAAACTTAAAGTAGTTTAATGATGCGTCATACTTTGGAAAAATAGCATACTCTCTGTAGATTTATTTGTCTCAGTAGCTATCATGTAAATGCTAAACTTTTTAGTGTTTTAAATAGTAAAAATAGTGTCTAAAGACTATTGACTTAAATGTCAAACATAATTTGATTAATTTCTCTCCTTAATTTATTGGAAATCTAAATATTTGCTATGTAAGAGAGATTCACTATATTTCATTATTATCTTAAGTAAAACCAGGCAGCATGAACTGTGGTTGTTTTGTAGAAGTTGAATGTTTGACATCAGTTTTGTTGTGTTACCTTCACCAGTTCAGTTCATGTTATTTTCAAAATGAAAATAGGTTCATTTTCCTTTTTATTATAAAATTATGTGTTGATTGCAAGACAATGTAAGGAAGTAAAGAGACCTGTGGTTTGGCTTAACAGTGTGTTCAATGTCTGTGCAGGTTGTTCTGTATACACTGCTCAGCCAAGAGAGAAGAGCTGACCCCGAGGCTGGCTTGCTTCTGTACCTCAGGACCGGTCAGATGTACCCTGTGCCTGCCAACCACCTAGACAAAAGAGGTTGAGCTGTTTTTTTTTTTTCCATTTTACATCTCTAGTTCACTTCCTCCCACTTTAACTTTCGCAGTATCTTTGCAGGGAAATAAAATCAAGGAGAAGTTTCTTTTGATGTGAGAATTTTTGAAATCCAGGCATATAAGGGGTCTTCAGAATGTTAATGGAAAAATATGTATTTTTTAAGAATTATGCATGGATTTCAAAAATTTTTTGCATCAAGATAAATGTCTCCTTTACTTCCATTTTCCATGAAATTATAGAGCTATCTTCATGTTTATACCTGACAGTTTGCTTGCTGTACTTGCTAGGCCTACTACAGGTTGTAATTTGTAGTTGTGGTAGTTTTTTTTTTTTTTTTTAAAGATTTATTTTATTTATTTGAAAGGTAGAGTCACAGAGAGAGGTAGAGACAGAGAGAGGTCTTCCATCCGCTGGTTCACTCCCCAGTTGGCCGCAATGGCTGGAGTTGCACCAATTCAGAGCCAGGAGCTTCTTCCGGGTCTCTTACTTGGGTGCAGGGGCCCAAGGACTTGAGCCATCTCCTACTGCTTTCCCAAGCCATAGCACAGAGCTGGATCAGAAGAGGAGCGGCCAGGACTAGAATGGTGCACATATGGAATGCTAGTGTTTCAGGTCAGGGCTTTAACCTGCTGCACCACAGTGCTGGCCCCCAGTTGTGGTAGTTTTTAAAAGGAAGTTGATGTTAACTCATCTTTAAAAATTTTATGACTTGAAACTTTCTTTTGAAATTCTTGTGTTAGAGATAATCTAGATAGCTCTGTTTATTCTCAGCATCTAGCCAATAAAATATCAACATCACAGTACTTCCAGTACTTTGACATATGTAGTTATTTAAAGAAGCTGTTCAAGTGAACACAAGTTAGAGCTAATACATTACAGTGGTTATTCTACTATGGTGGGGAAAATATGTTCCCTAATTTTTTAATTCTGTTTAAATCTGGAGGTTTTACTTTTATAGTATAAGAAGATATATGGTATACTTTATTAGATTCTTAAAAAAACACTTACCTTTTTTTTCCATAGAATTATTAAAGCTAAGAAACCAGATGGCCTTCTCTTTGTTTCACCGTATTAGCAAATCTGCTACTGGAAATGATAAGACACAACTTGCTTCTTTGCCACAAATAATTGAGGAGGAGAAAATCTGCAAATATTGTTCACAAGTGGGTACCTGTGCTCTTTACAGCAGGTAAATGCAAGAGCATTATTTCCGAAAGTACAGTTGAATGTGGATTGATGCACTATGATTCAACATTGATTGTGGGCCTTGGCTTTTATGATTATACACACAGAGAGAAACAGATTTATTTCTCACTTTTTTTTAAAGATTTATTTATTATTTGCTTGAAAGGCAGAGTTAGAGGCAGAGGCGGGGCGCGGGGGGAGTCTTCCATCTGCTGGTTCACTCCCCAGATGGCCGCAATGGCTGAGGCTGCACTGATTTGAAGCCAGGAGCCAGGAACTTTTTCCTGGTCTCCCACGTGGGTGCAGGGGCCCAAGGACTTGGGCCAACTTCTCAGCTTTCCCATGCCATAGCAGAGAGCTGGACTGGAAGTGGAGCAGCTAAGATTCGAACCGGCACACATATGGGACGCCGGCACAGCAGGCAGTGGCTTTACCCACCACGCTGGATCGCTGGTCCCTAGATTTATTTCTCTTCTGCTGGTTTATTCCCCAAATGCCCACAATATCCAGGGCTGGGCCAGTCCCAAGGCAGAAGGCGGGAACTTCTTCTATTTTTTAAAGATTTATTAATTTATTTGAAAAGTAGAGTTACAGAGAGGCAGAGAGAGAGAAAGAAACAGAGTTCTTCCATCCACTGGTTCACTCCCCAAATGGCTGCAGTGGCTAGAACTGGGCCGATCTGAAGCAGGGAGCCTAGAAGTTTCCTCCAGATCTCCCACACAGGAGCAGGAGCCCAAGGAATTGGGTCATCTTCCACTGCCTTCCCAGGCCATAGCTGAGAGCTGGATCAGAAGTAGAGCTGGATTGAAAGTAGAGCAGTCAGGACTTGAACCCATGCCCATATAGGATGCGTGCACTGCAGGTGGCTGCTTTTACTGCTGTGTCACAGCACCAATTGTCGACAGTGACTTAATCTGGATCTCCTGTGAGTGCAGGGGCCTATGTACTTGATCTGCTGCCTCCCAGGCAATAAGCAGGAAGGTGAAATCACAAGTGGAACTGGGCCTTGGGTCCTGGTACTTGGATATGGGATGTGGGCATTCTAAGTAGTGTTTCCTCTCTCTTTTTCTTTGTCTCTCTTTTTTCTTTTTCTTTCTTTCTTTCTCTCTCTCTCTCTCTCTCTCTCTCTCTTTCTTACTCTCTTTCTCTCCTTCTGTTTTTTTAGATTTTATTTATTTCTTTGAAATGCAGAGTAACTAAGAGGCAGAGAAAGAGATTTTTCATTTTCTGATTTACTCCCCAAACTGTGGCTGGGGCTGGGCCAGGCCAAAGCCAGAAGTCTGGAATTCCATCCTGGGCCATCTTCAATTACTTTTCCAGGTGCATTAGCAGGGAGCTGGATCAGAAGTGGAGCTGGGATGCTGGTGTTACAGGTGGTGGCTTAACCTACTGTGCCACAATGCTAGCCCCCTTAAGTGGTATCTTAAACAATGTACCAGACCCCAAGCCCTATTTTTCTTTTGTGTTTCCCTTTGTGTGTTGTATTTCTAAGATTAAGAGAATAGAAAAAACACAAGAACTAAGTTAGTTTATATTTTCTAACAAGCTTATTTCCTTGGAAAATAATAGAATGGTTTAAAACTTTCTCCAGAAATATATATTTTATTCTTGATGCATATAATTTTTGTGGAATAAAAGAATTTTAGGACATATGTAATCTGGTTAAGAAATACGTGTAGGCATTTTAAATACCATACAAATTTCCTTAAATGATAGTTCAAGAAGTCTTCCATGTCTTTGTTGCTGTTTTAATCTTGGGCCTTTTGTAGTTAGATATAGGGAAGTTGGGTCATCCAGATGGATGGTTTGATATGATTCAACAGGAGACTGTCCTGTTGATATACGGCTGTTTTTCTTTTTCTTTTCTTTTCTTTTCTTTTTTTTTTTTTTTTTTTTTTTGACAGGCAGAGTTAGACAATGAGAGAGAAAGACAGAGAGAAAGGTCTTCGTTCCGTTGGTTCACCCCACAAATGGCTGCTACTGCTGGCGTGCTGCGCCAATCCGAAGCCAGGAGCCAGGTGCTTCCTCCTGGTCTCCCATGCAGGTGCAGGGCTCAAGGACTTGGGCCATCCTCCACTGCCTTCCCGGGCCACAGCAGAGAGCTGGCCTGGAAGAGGAGCAACCGGGACAGAATCTGGCGCCCCAGCCAGGAGTAGAACCCTGGGTGCCGGCGCCGCAGGCAGAGGATTAGCCTAGTGAGCCGTGGTGCTGGCCAATATGGCTGTTTTTCTACAAATGGCAAGTTTATTAGCTGTCATGTGGTCATAGGTCAGTGAAAGTTTTGAAGGACACAAAGAAGTGACTAAATGTAAATATAGACTAGGAAACAAAGCAGGATCAGAGCTGAAGTTCTAATTCAGTTTGAAAATTCACATCAAGTGCTTTTATACTATTACAAGTATTATACAAACTTTCCTTATGGCAGGGGACTGACACCCAGGGGAGTTCAAGGCCTATAGTCCAAGCACATTTCTTTGAACTCTTTATTTCCAGCATTTGTCTTATATTTGTTTCAATATGTAAATGTTTTAAGTTAGTATTAACCAAAATTTTAAGTTGAGATAATAATTCTTTCTGTGCTTATGTTAACTTGCTTATGTCACAGAGCTTGTGGTAGTAAAAGGCCTACCTTGCTGTGTGTTGGAATGAGGACTAGACTACACCAGAATGAGGTTGTCATTTGGGGGATAGTCACTGGAGGCAAAATAATGCAGTATGGGATTTCTTACATATTTTTGTTTGGTAAAAAGCCATATGGCTTATTCAACATTGACATGCCTTTTAAGAGAAATTAGTGGCTGTGAATTTGAGTTGTGTTAATTATCATGTGTATGTACTTGTTTTAGAAACACCTCATTTCATAGCCAGCCATTGAAGTTTTTTAAGTGCTTCTCTAACTAGGATCTTCCTGTTTAGAGCAGTTGAACAACAGATGGATGACAGTTCCATCCCAATTGTCATGGTGCCCAGAATAAAAGAAGAAACCCAACATCTGAAGCCTACACACTTAGAGTATTTCAGACTTTGGTGTCTAATGTTAACCCTGGAGTCGCAATCAAAAGAGAATAGAAAGAATCACCAGAATATCTGGCTAATGCCTGCCTCAGAAATGTAAGTGATCTGTTTAATATGTGCAATGAAATTTCAGTAGTTTGAGTTAACTGGCATGATGGCATTTGAAATTCATGACAAATACAAGTTTTTTTTTTTTTTAATATTTATTTATTTATTTGAAAGTCAGAGTTACATGGAGAAGGAAGGGTAGAGAGAGAGGTCTTCCATCCACTGGTTCACTCCCTAGTTGGCCAAAGGATTGGAGCTGCACCAATCCAAAGCTAGGAGCAGGTGCCAGGGGCCCAAGGACTTGGGACATCTTATACTGTTTTCCCTGGCCATAGCAGAGAGCTGGATAGGAAGTGGAGGAGCTGGGACTCGAACTGGCACCCATATGGATGCCAACACTGCAGGTGGCAGCTTTACCCCCTATGCCACAGCTCCGGCCCTGACAAATATAAATTTTATAGCATGGTAAAGGTAAGTGATTTCATTCATTCATGACAACTCCAGATGGTTATTGGTGAATTGTTTCTATATGCAGCAGCATCTTTACATAGGCTGTGATGTTGCAGTCAGTGTTATAAGTATTTTTTTTTTAATTTATTAATTTATTTGAGAGGTAGAGTTACAGACAAAGAGAGCGAGAGAGATGAGAGAAAGGTCTTCCATCAGCTGATTCACTCCCCAAATGGCCTAAATGGCAGGAGCTGGGCTGATTCAAAGCCAGCAACTTCTTCTGGATCTCCCACAGTGAGTGCAGGGGCCCAAGTGCTTGGGCCATCCTCTGTTGTTTTCCCAGGCCATTGCAGAGAGCTGCATCAAAAGAGAGAACAGCTGGGGCACAAACTGGCGTCCATATGGGATGCCAGTGCCACAGATGGAGGCTTAGCCCACTACGGCACAGTGCCGGCCCCAGTAATTCATTTTCTTTTTTCTTTCTTTTTTTTTTAAAGATTTATTTTATTTATTTGAAAGAGTTACAGAGAGAGAGGTAGAGCCAGAGAGAAAGAAAGGTCTTCCATTTGCTGGTTCAGTCCCCAAACGACCACAACAGCCAGAGTTGTGCGGATTCAAAACTAGGAGCCAAGAACTTCTGCTGTTCTCCCATGTGGGTACAAGGGCCCAAGGACTTAGGCCATCTTCTACTATTTTCCCAGGCCATTGCAGAGAGCTGGATGGTAAGTGCAGCAGCCGGGACTTGAACTGGCACCCATATGGGATGCCAGACCTGCAGGCTGGGGCTTTAACTCGCTTCGCCACAGTGCTGGCTCTGTAATGTATTTTCAATAGATAAAATATGCCTCAAGGGGGCCAGTGCTATGGTGTAGTAGGTATAGCCACTTCCTATAGTGCTGACACCCTATATGAGTGCCGATTCAATTCCCATCCAGCTCTCTGCTATGGCCTGGGAAAGCAATAGAGGATGGCCCAAGTCTTGGGCCCCTGTACCTGTTTGGGAGACCTGGCAGAAGCTCCTGGCTCCTGGCTCCTGGCTTCAGATTGGCATAGCCCCGGCCGTTGTGATGGTCTGGGGAGTGACAGCAAATGGAAGACCTCTCTTTCTGCCTCTGCCTCTCTGTAACTCTGCCATTCAAACAAATAAGTAAATCTTTAAAAAGAAATATGCCTTGAGGCTGGCGCTGTGGCACAGCAGGTTAAAGCTGCCGTCTTCAGCACTAGCATCCCATATGGGCACCAGTTTGAGTCCTGGCTGCTCTACTTCGGATCCAGCTCTCTGCTATGGCCTGGCAAAGCAGTAGAAGATGGCCAAAGTGCTTGGGCGCCTGCATCTGCATGGGAGACCTGGAAGAAGCTCGTTGCTCCTGGCTTTGCATCAGCTCAGCTCTGACCATTGTGGTCATCTGGGGAGTGAACCAGTAGATGGAAGACCTCTCTCTGGCTCTACCTCTTTCTGTAACTCTGTCTCTCAAATTAAAAAAAAAAAAAGCCTCAAGAAATCTTACTTTAAATATTATTAGTAACTTTTTTTTTATCAGTGATAGCCATGTAAACTTGATAATATTTTAAGATGAATTTTTATTTATTGTAGAGAACAAATTAACCGGCTTTTAAAATTAATTAATTTGAAAAGCAGACAGAGAAAGATCTCCTGTCTGCTGGTTCATTCCCTTATTGGCTACTACAGCTAAGGCTGGGCCAGCCTGAAGTTGGGACCCTGGAAGTCAGTCCAGGGCTCCCACATGAATGACATTTTTCGAAGTATTTGAGCTGTCACTTTTTTTTCCTCCCGGGATCTGCACTAGCAGGAAGCTGGATTGGAAACAAAGCTGAGGCTGGTGCCGCGGCTCACTAGGCTAATCTTCCGCCTGTGGCGCCGGCACACCGGGTTCTAGTCCCAGTCGGGGCGCTGGATTCTGTCCCGGTTGTCCCTCTTCCAGGCCAGCTCTCTGCTGTGGCCAGGGAATGCAGTGGAGGATGGCCCAAGTGCTTGGGTCCTGCACCCACATGGGAGACCAGGAGAAGCACCTGGCTCCTGGCTTCGGATCAGCGCGCCAGCCACAGCAGCCATTGGGGGGTGAACCAACAGAAGAGGAAGAACTTTCTGTCTCTGTCCACTCTGCCTGTCAAAAATAAAACTAAATAAAAAATAAATTAAAAAAAGGAAACAAAGCTGAGACTCAATCTCAGGGACTCTGTTATGAGATGAGAGCATCCCAACTAGCAGCACAGCACAGAGCTGGACTGGAAGAGGAGCAACCGGGACTAGAACCCAGTTAGCACATGGGATGCCGGTGCCGCAGGTGGAGGATCAACCAAGTGAGACACGGCGCCGGCCCCAATAGAGTGAATGTTTCCTAGGCATTGCTAATGCTAAGACTTTGCTGTAAATTGTGGAAAATTGAAAAGCGGACAGACTCATCATTAGCGTTCATGTTCAGGGGTCAGTTAAGACACGTAAATTGTGGGAAAATGCAAATACTGTACTTACCATAAGATGTCTTTCTTTATCCTTCATAGGGAGGAGAGTGGCAACTGCATTGGCAACCTGATTAGACGAGAAAATGTAACAAGAGTGTGTGATGGACAGTATTTACATAACTTCCAGCGGAAAAATGGTGCCATGCCTATCACAAATCTAATGGCAGGTGACAGAATTATTTTAAGTGGAGAAGAGAGAACACTGTTTGCTTTGTCCAGGGGAATCTGTCTTGGCTATTATCTGTATTCCTTCTTCATTCTGGCCAAGGCTTTCTTGTAGTTAATTCAGGCCGTCTCTTTTTTTTTTTTTTTTTTTTTTTTTTTTTTAAGATTTATTTATTGATTTGAAAGGCAGTTACCAAGTGGTAGAGGCAGAGAGAGAGAGGTTCCCCCATCTGCTGATTCATTCCCCAAATGGCTGCAACAGCCAGAGCTGGGTTTATCCGAAGCCAGTGGAGCAGGGTCCAGCACCGTGGCGTTGTGGGTGAAGCTGCCACCTGCAGCACCAGCATCCCATATGGCTGCCGGTTTGAGTCCTGGCTGCTGCACTTCTGATCCAGCTCTCTGCTATGGCCTGGGAGAGCAGTGGAAGATGATCCAGGTGTTTGAGCGCCTGCGCCCACATGGGAGACCTGGAAGAAGCTCCTGGTTCCTGACTTTGGATTGGCTCAGCTCTGGCTGTTGCGGCCATCTAGGGAGTGAACCAGTGGATGGAAGACCTCTCTCTCCCTCTCTCCCTCTCTCCGCCTCTGCTTCTGCCTCTCTGTAACTCTATCTTTCAAATAAATAAATAAATCTTAACAAAAAAAAAAAAGAAGTGGAGCAGCGAGGATGGGATATGGGATGGCAGCACTGCAGGTGGCAACCTTACTCTCTACTCTCTATGCCACAGTGCTGACCCCAATTCAGGCCTTCTTGAAGTAGGCCTTTTTGGGACTTGGTGAGGTCTGGGTAACCACAGTGGAGATGTCCAGACTTGTTCCCTACCAACCAGTAATCCTAGTTGAGCCATAGCCCTAGTCAGGGGTTCAGACTAGTATGGGAGCATTAGCCGCACCATTGCTTTTGTCCTTTAGGATTCCCTGAAGTTCATAGTGCTTACCATGTGTTAGGTGCTTTGCAGATTCTTGAGGAATTTAATCTCATGTGTGGACACATACACATATTCTCAATCTAATATAGTAAGTGTTTGAATTGATGGGAGATACAAGAAGCACTTAACCCAATTTTAGGAGGCTTCAGGAAGACTTTTTGAAAGAGCTAATTCTGGGTCTTCATCCTGTGGATTAATAAATTATCCTGGTGAAGCAGTGTGAGAAGAATATGACAGACCTAGCAAACATGCAAAGGCATGATTGTCTGAGAGGAGGGGGCAAATTCACATTACCCTCTAATTCAGTTTTTCCACTAACTTTTTTGAGGCCCCCTTTTATATTACAACATGGATTTTAATAGCTATTCTGGCCCATTTAACTTTGTTAGTGGGTAGCAGTGTGTTTCTCACACAGACTATGTGAAATTAAAAATATTCATATATGTATATGTATGTTTTGCTGTTTCAGGAATTTGTCTGTGTTCCCAGAATCAACAATATTCAGATTAGACCAGGAAGAAAAAAATTGTGACATAGACACCCCTTTGGGAAATCTTTCTAAACTGATGGAAAACACTTATGTCAGGTTTGTAACAATGAATGAATCTGATATTCCACCTCTCCCCTTCTAGGGAGTATTACTAAAAGCATGCTTTACCTTTTCATCTTTACAGCCAAAAACTTCGAGAGCTGATCATAGACTTCCGTGAGCCCCAGTTTGTATCCTACCTCAGTTCAGTCCTCCCACATGACGCAAAGGATGCAGTTGCCCACATTCTAAAAGGTGGGCTACAGTCAGTACTTCTGCTTTGTTTATGTTCTCTTGATTCTGGTTGAATTTAAACTGAGCTACGATCTAATAGAATCATTGATGAGGAGTACAGTTATGTTTAGATAGAGACTCAGGAAGTGGCTTATATGAGAAGTCTTCCAAAGGTTCATGAAAAATTCACATTTTTTTAAAAGATTTATTTACTTTATTTGAAAGGCATAGTTAAGAGAAAGAGAGAGATCTTCCATCTGCTGTTTGACCCCCACAAATGGACACAATGGCTGGAGCTGGGTCAGATTGAAGCCAGGAGCCAAGAGCTTCTTGCAGGTCTCCCACGTGGGTACAGGGGCCCAAGCACTTGGGTCATCCTCCACTGCTTTTCCAGGTGAATTGGTAGGAGCTGAGAGCTGGCCTGGAAGAGGGGCAACCGGGACAGAATCCGGCGCCCCGACCGGGACTAGAACCCGGTGTGCCGGCACCACAAGGCAGAGGATTAGCCTAGTGAGCCGCGGCGCCGCCACATTGTCTTTAGTTCCATTTTCCCACCTGCTTTTTGAAGCCTTCCTCGTATATATTATTTAAAGTGACCATGACATGGTTTTTACTCTGGAAAGATGTGTTGGAGAACAAACTTGGATAGAAACTGCTATTGTTATAAAATAGTTAATTTGTGTTTTAAAATTCAATACTTTTTCCTGTTCTTTTTCTAATTTAATTGTAGGTTTGAATAAGCCTCAGAGGCAAGCAATGAAGAAGGTTCTTCTCTCCAAGGACTACACGCTCATCGTGGGAATGCCTGGGACCGGGAAAACAACTACGATATGTACTCTCGTAAGGCTACCATCCTTTGGCTTAGAAGCTAAATGCTTTTATCAGCTTCTTCTCAGCTCACAATATGTGATATTTGATATCAGAAGGGCAGAATTTTAATTAGAAAATCTTCATTTCAAATTAACTTTAGAAAGACACAAGAAATAAGCTGAATCACAAAGAGTTGTGGTCATGTTATTGATTTCTTGCATTTTCACTATTCTAAGGGCTTTTGTGGTGGTGGTGAGATTCATTTTTTGGTTCACTCACCAAATGGCCACAGCGGCTAAGGCTGGGCCAGGCAGAGCCAAGATTCCAGAACATCCATAGAGGTGACAGGTGTCCATATGTACTTTGAGCCATGTTCTCCTGCTTGCCCAGGCACATTAGCAGGGAGCTGGATTGGAAGCACAGCAGCTGAGATGTGAACTGATGTTCAGATATGGGTTGCCAGCTTTGCAGGTGATGGCTTATCCTTCTGTGCCGCCAACTGGCTTCTCCTTTCTCTTTAAAACTGATAAATTGAAGATGATTTTTTTTTTTTTTTTTTGACAGAGTGGACAGTGAGAGACAGACAGAGAGAAAGGTCTTCCTTTGCCATTGGTTCACCCTCCAATGGCTGCTGCGGCCAGCGCACCGGGCTGATCCGATGGCAGGAGCCAGGTACTTCTCCTGCTCTCCCATGGGGTGCAGGGCCCAAGGACTTGGGCCATCCTCCACTGCACTCCCTGGCCACAGCAGAGAGCTGGGCTGGAAGAGGGGCAACCGGGACAGAATCCGGTGCCCTGACCGGGACTAGAACCCGGTGTGCCCGGTGTGCCGGTGCCGCAAGGCGGAGGATTAGCCTAGTGAGCCGCGGCACCGGCCCAAAGATGATTATTAAACCTCTACTTGGGATGCTTGTATCCCACATCCAAGTGCTGATTCGAGTCTCTGCTATTTCGTGCTTCCCACTAATAATCATCTTGGTAGGCATCAGGTGCTGATGTCTCATGTACCTGAGTCCCTGTCACTCATGTGGGAGATCTAGATGGGGTTCCAGGCTCCTGCACTAAATTTCCAAGCTGTCTTAGAATAATCAGGAAGATGGCAACAAATAATTATTTTTAAATTTTCATTTATTTGTTTTCATTTTGTTTGGAGAGAGAAAGATATGCCATCTGCTGGTTCATTCCCTAGATGCCTGCAAAAGCTTGGACTGAGCCACAAGCCTAGAACTAAATCCAGGACTCCCTGTGGAGGTCAGGGACCCAAGTTCTTGAGTCATCACCCGCTGCCTTCCAGTGTGTGCATCAGCTGGAATTGACAGCAGAGCTAGGACTCAAACCCAGCATCTCCGTATGTGATGTGGGCATCCCAAAAGACATGTTAACCATTGTGCCAAATGCCTGTCCCAGCAAATATTTATTGACTGAAACTGTCTGCCAGACACCACTAAAAGCTGATAGGTATTCAATTCATTGTCATCTATAAGGTATTATTCACATATCATTGATACATAGTAATACTGTATAATTTTTGTTAAAATATTTGGTTTTATGATCTTTTAAACATTTAAAAATTTTATTTGTTTTTATTCATTTGAGAGACCGAGACAGACAGATCTCCTGCCTACACCTCCCAAACTGCCGTAACAGGGCTGGACCAGGCTGAAGAGTGGGGCCAGGAACTCAGTCCCTATCTCCCTCATGGGTGACAGGGACCCTATCACCTGTTACCTCCCCTATGTATTCTAGGAGGAGGTGGAATGGGGAGCAGAGCTAGAACTTGAACCTGGACATGTCCCAGTTGGCATCTTAATCACTAGGCCAAACACCTACCATTTATAGTGCTTTTTTTTTTTTTTTAAGATTTATTTATTTATTTGAAAGTCAGAGTTACACACAGAGAGAAGGAGAGGCAGAGAGAAAGGTCTTCCATCCACTGGTTCACTCCCCAGTTTTGCCGTGGCTGGAGCTTTGCTGATCTGAAGCTAGGAGCCACGAGCTTCTTCTGGGTCTCAGTGGGTGCAGGGGCCCAAGGACTTGGGCCATTCTCTCGTGCTTTCCCAGGCCATAGCAGAGAGCTGGATTGGAATTGGAGCAGCCAGGACTCTAACTGGTGCCCATGAGGCAGGTGGCAGCCTCACCCACTACACCACAGCTCCGGCCCCTATAGTGCTTTTAAAAAGTTACTTGGTGGCGCCAACACTGGCTCAAGTGGATTAAACTACCGCCTGTGATGCTGGCATCCCATGTAAACACTGGAGTCTTGGCTGCTCCATATCTGATGCAGCTCCCAGCTTCCCTGGGAAAGCAGCAGAAGATGGTCCAAGTGCTTGGGCTCCTCCTAACCCATGTGGGAGATGCAGTTGGAGTTCAAGCTCCTGGCCTGGCCCAGCCCCAGCTGTGCAGGCATTTGTGGAGTGAACGAGTAGATGGAAGGTATCTTTCCCTCTATCTTTGTAACTTTGCCTTTCAAATAAATAAATAAATCTCTCTCACTTTTCAAGTTACTTGGTAGGGTAGGTGTTGTAGAGCACAGTAGATTTCACTCTTTGGGATACCCTGCATCCCATATCTGAGTGCTCTGCGATTCTGATTCAGATTCCTGCTAATGAACCTGAGAGACAGCAGATGATGGTTCAAGTGCTTGGGCCCCTGCCACCACGTAGGAGACCTGGATGGAGTGTTGGGCTCCTGGCTTCAACCTAGCCTAACTCTGATGATGGTGGGCATTTTAGGAGTGAAGAAAGGGATGGAAAATCTCTCTCTTTCTCCCTGTCTCTCTTTTTGTCTCTATCTCATTCTGCCTTTCAAATAAATAAATCTCTAAAAAAAAAAGTTACATGGCTCAGCTCTTACGTGTGCTTCCTGTTAAGTTTTTTGAAACATATAAGCATCATAAAATTTATCTGGAATCTAAAATAATGCTAATTTTCTTTCGCATCCATTTTTAGGTAAGAATCCTCTATGCCTGTGGTTTCAGCGTTTTGTTGACCAGCTATACACATTCTGCTGTTGACAATATTCTCTTAAAGTTAGCCAAGTTTAAAATAGGATTTTTGCGTCTGGGTCAGACTCAGAAGGTTCATCCAGATATCCGGAAATTCACAGAGCTGGAGGTTTGCAGATCAAAGTCCATCAAATCTTTGGCTCTTCTAGAAGAACTCTATAATAACCAAGTAAGTACAATTGTTGTATACTACTGACAGTAATTTCTATAGCCAGATGAGCAGAAAAATTATACCCTGGGAAGTTCAATCACATTGACCAGATTTGCATGTGACTAATTTAATACATTCTCCAGGACTGGTTTATTTTTTGCTGTTTTTCTTCTGAACTGAAATCAGATTTTTGGTTTATTCAGGACTTCTCCCTTCTCGTTTCTTAGAAAACTACCGATAATATTTTTTAGTGAGTTTGAATCAGAAGCAATAGTAGTACCTAGCGTGTTATAATATGTATTTTTTGGTTTTGATGTAGAACCTGTTTTTGTTTTTTGCTTTAATGTCTGTTTTTTCTTTTTTTTTTTTTAATTTTTATTTGAAAGACAGAAAGAATCTTTTATCTTGTGGTTCACTCTCCAGATACCCAGACTAGCCAGAGTTGGGCCAGGCTGAAGCCAGGATCCCTGAACCCAATCCGAGCCTACCACATGGGTGTCAGGCCCAAGTACTTGAGCCATCAACTGCCCAGAGGGTGAGGTGGTAGGAAGCTGGATAGAGGAGTTTCCAGGACTTGAACTGGACACTGGTATGGGATGCAGGTGTCCCAAGTGACAACTGTTGCTCCATGTTTGTATTTGTTTGTTTAATTAATGAGGAGGCAGATACTGAGAGCACGCTCCCATCTGCTGATTCACTCCCCAAATGTCTGCAGTAATCAGAGCTGGGCTCAGAGTCAAAGGCAGGAGCCAGGATTGCAATCCACTAGGGTGATGGGATCCCAGTTATTTGAGCCTTAAGCTTCTGTCCCCCAGAGTCCCTGTTGGAGGGAAGGTAGAGTCAGCAAATAGATCTGGGAATTGAATTTTGGATTCAGGTATCCTAATCAATAGACTAAATGCCTGTCCCTGGTACAAAAAATTTTTGAGATCCATGCATACAGGGAATCTTCAAAAAGATATGAAAATTATATAAAAATACTGTGCTGTTGGGATACTAGTGATGTTTTGTTCTTTTTTCTTTTATTTTTAAGATTTATTTATTTATTTGAAAGGCAGAGTTACAGAGAAGCAGAGACAGAGAGAGGACTTCCGTCCGTTGGTTCACTCCCCAAATGGCCGTAACGGCCGGAGCTGGGCTGATGCGAAGCCAGGAGGCAGGAACTTCTTTTGGGTCTCCCACATGTATGCAGGGGCTCAAGCACTTGGGCCTTCCTCTTTTTTTTTTTTTTTTTTGACAGGCACAGTGGACAGTGAGAGAGATAGAGAGAAAGGTCTTCCTTTGCCGTTGGTTCACCCTCCAATGGCCACCACGGCCGGCGCACCGCGCTGATCCAAAGGCAGGAGCCAGGTGCTTCTCCTGGTCTCCCATGGGGTGCAGGACCCAAATACTTGGGCCATCCTCCACTGCACTCCCTGGCCACAGCAGAGAGCTGGGCTGGAAGAGGGGCAACCAGGACAGAATCCAGCGCCCCGACCGGGACTAGAACCTGGTGTGCCGGCGCCGCAAGGCGGAGGATTAGCCTATTGAGCCGCAGCACCGGCCCATAGGTTCATTCTTTAAATGCCTTCAAGAGTTGGCGCTGGGCCAGGTGGAAGTCAGGAGCACAGAAATCAGTCTGGGTCTCTCGTGTAGATGGCAGGGATCCAGTTGCTTGAGCTATGACCTGCTTCTTCCCAGGGTCTGTGTTAGGAGGAAGCTGGAATCGAACAGAGCTGAGAGTCAAACCTAGGCACTCTGATAACTACTTGCCATGTTCTGAGCAGCGTCTTAACCACTAGGCCAAATGGCTCACTGCCATAATTGTTCTATGAAACATATTTATCATGGCTGCTTTAAAATCTTGGTCACATAATTCTGGCATGTCTGTTACCTTAATGTGTTCTGTACTATGGTATTTAAAGGTTCTGTTTCAGCTGCTCCCTCTGACACCACTGGAGGGGAAGCTGGTGTGCTGCCTTACTATTGCCATATGGAGTTGGAGCCAGTTCCCCCATCCAGCCTCCGCTGACCTACACAAGAGGGTGCTTCTCTTTTGGGGAGAGGCTGGGAGCCTGGGTTTCTCACATGGTTTCCACAGGCATTGTGGGTTGGGAACTTGTTACCAGCCATGGGGATGAAAGATCTGACTCCTTATTCTGTTGTCATTGACAACACCCTGGTGGGTTACCAGGGCGCCTTGTGATAGCCTGGAGAGGGTGGCAGTCTTGGCGCCCACTGAGGTTTGTTGGCATCAGTGGGGGTGGAGCCCACATGTTTTGTTTTATGGTGCTGGGCTAGAATGAGTGACTGTTTTATGAGAGTTTTCTGTTTTCTAGGCTTTTCTGTTCTTTGAGGTAGAGACCCGGCTTTTGTTGGTGTTTTGGTCTGTACCTATTGGTGTTCCTGGATTGCCGACTTCTCAGTTCCAAATTTGGGCAAAAAGAAAGCATAGGAAATTAATTACTGTGTTGTTCTCTGGGCACGAACTCCCTCGCTGGTCTGCCTACTTTCTTTTTTCCAAAGTCATGTTTATGTGTAACATCCAGGGTTTTTATTTCTACATGTGGGAAGGAAAAGAAGTCCATCTTTCCAGAAGCAAAGTCCTAGTTGACATTAAAAACAAAAACAAAAAAAACCCTGTTAACCTGTTGCCTCTTGAATATTTCAGATTTCCATTTGGAAATATCCAAATGTGAGCATTGTTCAGGGCCTGCAAATTTTGCTTGATTTTTTTTTTAATTCATAGAAAGAAATTTAACAATTAATTTTACATCCTATATATATTTAAGATTAGATAATATTGGAAAATTCCTGTTCCTGTGGAACAGAAAGCTTTTTTTTTTTCACCTTTTAATTTCAAAAATGGGAAAAATACACTGCATTTCTTCTGCATATTAAAAACCTGATCTATTTTCTTTTTGCTTAAAGCTCATAGTTGCAACAACATGTATGGGAATAAACCATCCAATATTTTCTCGTAAAATTTTTGATTTTTGTATCGTGGATGAAGCCTCTCAAATTAGCCAGCCGATTTGCCTGGGACCACTTTTCTTTTCACGGAGATTTGTGTTGGTGGGAGATCATCAGCAGCTTCCTCCCCTCGTGCTGAACCGTGAAGCTAGGTGGGTAGAGATTTCTGTTATAAGTTTGAACTGAATTCTTTGCTTTTTAAAAAAATGTTGGGGTTGGCATTGTGGCATAGCAGGTAAAGCCACTACCTGCAATGCTGGCATCCCATATGGGTGCCACTTTGATCCAGTTCCCTGCTAATGGCCCGGGAAAGCAGCGGAAGATGGCCCAGGTCTTGAGCCCCTTCTATCCACATGGGAGACCCAGGGGCTCCTGGTTCCTGGCTTTGACCTGGCTCATCCCTGCCTATTGTGGCCATTTGGGGAGTGAATCAGTGGATGGAAGATTTCTCTGTCTCTTCTCTCTGTTTGTCTTCCTCTCTCTATTTAACTCCGATTGTCAAATAAATAAATAAACCTTTAACAAAATTATTTACTTATTTTCATCTATCTGACTGGCAAAGTGACAGAGAGTGCACTCTTCCATCCACTAGTTCATTTCCCAGATGCTCTAAACAGCCAAGACTAGACCAGATTGAAGCCAGGAGGAGTCCAGAGTTCTAGTTCCACATGTGGGTGGGCTGGAGCCCAAGCACTTGAGCTGGATTGAAGCAGAGCGGTCAGGACTTGAACCAGTGCTAGATATGGGATGCAGACATCCCAAGTGGCAACTTATCCTGGTGTGCCAGAGCATGGGCCCCTGAATTCTTTTGAAGTATTCTTGAAATACTGATCCTTTCCACTATGTTGATAAGCCCCAATTTTATTTGTTGACAGAGATCTTGGCATGAGTGAAAGCTTATTCAAGAGGCTGGAGCAGAATAAGAATGCTGTTGTGCAATTAACTGTGCAATACAGAATGAACAGGTATTTGTATGTGTTAGCTGTGAGTAAGTCTCCTATTTATTGTCATCTGTTAAATCTAAAATTATTTTTTGTCCATTTTCTTAGTAAAATTATGTCCTTGAGTAATAAGCTAACCTATGAGGGGAAGCTGGAGTGTGGCTCAGACAAGGTGGCCAGTGCCGTGATAAACCTGCCTAACTTCAAAGATGTGAAGCTGGAACTGGAATTTTATGCTGATTATTCTGATACTCCTTGGCTGCTTGGAGTATTTGAACCAAACATTCCTATTTGTTTTCTGAATACAGACAAGGTAAAAAAAATAGTTTTTCTTCCTTTTGTCCTGTTATTTCAGTTTCTCAGTTTGCTTTAGTATGTGTTCCATCAGGGCTTTCTAAGGTAAAAGGTAGAACTAGTGGTACTCCTCATACTTTAGCATAGAGACTTTTCTTTGTAGAGGCTCAATATCTTTGGGAGGAGGTGTATTTTGGGGGTTGATAGATGCCAAATCGACATTTTAGAAGTGTATTGTCATCTACTTGAATAGCAGAGAGAGAGAAAGAGATCTTTCATCTGGAACCCACAGCAGCCAGGGCTGGGCCAGGATGAAGCCAGGATCTTCGAACTCAGTCTGGGTCTCCCATGTGGTGACAGGGGCCCAAGCACTTGAGCCATCGTCTGCTACTTCCTAGGATGCATCAGCAGGAAGTTGGACTGGAAGTGGAATAGCTGATATGGGATGCAGGTATCCCAAGAGATAGCTTAAGCCAGAGCACTGTAATGCCTGCCCCTACATTGACTCTGAAATTTTTAAAATTTTATTCCTTCGTTTCAAATGTACAATGATAATCCTAGAATTTTTTTTTTTTTTTTTTTTTTTTTTATAAAAAACATTTTTAGGGGCCAGCTCTGTGGCACAGCAGGTTAAAGCTCCAGCCTGCAGTGTCGGCATCCCATATGCATGCTGGTTTCAGTTCCAGCTGCTCCACTTCCAGTCCACTTCTAATCCTGTTCTCTGCTAATGCACCTGGGAAAGCAGTAGAGGATGGCTCAAGTCCTTGGGCCCCTGTACCCATTTGGGAGACCTGGAAGAAGCTCCTGGCTCCTGGCTTCAGATCAGTCCAGCTCTGGCTTGTTGCATCCATTTGGGGAGTGAATCAGCAGATGGAAGACCTCTCTGTCTCTGTCTCTGTCTCTCTGTCTCTACTTCTCTACTCTTTCTTTCAAACAAATAAAATAAATCTTGAAAAAAATCCCAATTTTTAATTTGCAAAGTGTTTGTAATAAGTGTGAATCATATATGTTCAAGGAGAACCATATATTAAAATTTTTTAAAGAGAGAGAAAGAGATTTCTTCTGTTTGCTGGTTCAGTCCTCCAGATGCCTGCAGCAGCTTGGGCTGGATCAGGCCAAAGCCAGGAACCTGGAATACCACCCCAGTCTTCCATGTGGGTGACAGGCATTCGAGTACTTGAGCCAACATCTGCTGAGTCCTAGGATATGCATTTTGCAGGAAGCTGGATCAGAAGCAGAGGAGTCAGAACTTGAACCAGGCTCTCCTGCTGGGATGTGGACATCCCAGTCAAAGACATAATCATTGAGCAGAACACTCACTCCCAAATTGACTTTTTTTTTTTTTTTTTGAAGATTTATTTTATTTATTTGAAAGAGTTAGAGAGGTGGAGACAGAGAGAGAGGTCTTCCATCCAATGGTTCACTCCCCAATTGGCCGCAATGGCTCGAGCTGTGCCAATCCTAAGGCAGAAGCCAAGAGCTTCTTCCGGGTCTCCCACACGGGTGCAGGGACCCAAGGACTTGGGCCTTTTTCTACTGCCTTCCCTGGCCATAGCAGAGAGCTGGATCAGAAGAGGAGCATCTGGGACTAGAATTGGCAGCCATATGCTTTAGGCCAGGGCTTTAACCTGCTACGCCACAGCGCCGGCCCCCTAAATTGACTTACAAAAAAAGTAGCCCAGAAAGTGAATTCACAGGTATAATTATATTGCCTAGGAAAGATACTGACATAGATACTGGGCTGGGTTTTCAAGTCAACAGAAAATATATCAAATTCATTCCTTTTTGTCAATTTTTAAAATAGGGGTGCAGTGGTTAAGTTTATAATGTCAGGAATTCCACATAAGAAACCATCAAGGTTGCATGGGATGATGTAGGAAGGAAGCAGTCTTTGGAGAGTTTTATTGGGTGTGGTAGAACCTAGAGAAGCTTATCTGCTCCATCGTTTGTTAAAATAGTGCTAAGAAAATGGAAAGAACACAGATATTGGAGTCAGATGTAAGATTGAGTCCTCATGCTGTGCTTTATTGTGGGGACTTGGGCAATTACTTATCTTTCTGCTTGTGATTCTGGTGAAATGTGGGACAGAGTAAAAGCAGTGTGTTGTCAGCTTTCCTAGAAATTTTAGCCACAATTACATGGAGCATGTTTAAGATGGGTTACCTCTTTGTGGGTTTATGAAAATAACTAGTATCACTTTTTGTTATTGTTGATTCTTTCACCTTCAACTTTATATATATATATATATATGTGTGTGTATATATATATATACACACATATATATATATATTTGAAAGGCAGAGTAACAGAAAGCAAGGGAAAGAGAGAGATTATTTTCTGTCCTACTGGTTCATTTTTTGAATGGTCACAATGTGCAGGTCTGGGTTAGGAGCCAGGAACTCCATCTGGGTCTTCCACAAGGTGGCAAGGGTCCAAGCACCTGGGCCGTCATCGTCTGCCTTCCCAGGTGCATCAGAAAGGAACTAGATTGAGAGGCCAGCATTGCAGTGTGATGGGTTAAGCCACCACCCGGAATGCCAGCATCCCATAAGGGCGCCAATTTGAGTCCTGACTGCTCTACTTCTGATCCAGCTCCCTGCTAATGCACCCTGGACAGTAGTGGAAGATGGCCCAAGTCTTTGGGTCCCTGCAGCCATGTGGGAGACCTAGGTGAAGCTCTTGACTCCTGGCTTTGACTTGACCTACCCCTGGCTGTTGTGGCTTTATGGAGAATGAACCAATGGATGGAAGATTCTTTCTTTCTCTCTCTCTCTCTCTCTCTCCCTCCCTCCCTCCCTCCCTCTCTCCCCCCCTTCTCTCCCTCCCCCTCCCCCTCTAACTCTGTCTTTCAAGTAAATAAAATAAATCTCAAAACAAAAGCAAAAAGACTGAAAGCAGAGCAGCTGGAACTTGGACCAGCATTCACATATAGGATGCTGGTATCACAAGCTTAATCTGCTACACCATAATGCTGGCCCCACCTTCAACTTAAAAGATGCTTCTGTGTCCCACATCAGAGTACCTGGGTTTGATTTCTGGCTCCTGCTCTTGACTGTAGCTTCTGTAATGCACACCTTGGGAGGCAGCAGGTGATGGCTCAAGACTTGGGTCCCTGTCATCCATGCAGGAAACCTAGATTGTGTTCCAGGCTCCTGGTTTTGCCTTGACTCAGCTTTGACTATTGCAGACATTTAGCGAGTGAACTAGCAGTGGGAGCTGATCCTGTCAAGTAATAAACAAGATGTTTTCACTTGTCTCCCAACCTGGTGGTACAGTCTCTGGCTACCTGTGCACTTACAGTATTCTCTTTTTAAATTTAAGTAATTAATTTAACTTTATTAAATGTGAATGATCTTCCATCCCTTGGTTAACTCTCCGAATGCTTACAACAGCCATGACTGGGCCAGGCTAAAGTTGAGAGCCTGGAACTCAATTCAGGTCTCGCACTTGTGTAGCAAGGACCCAAGTGCTTGAGCCATCATCTGTTGCTTCCTAGGTTGTGTATTAGCAAGAAGCTGGATCAGAAACAGTGGAGCTGGAACTCATATGCGGGAACTCTTACACTGGATGCAGGCATTCCAGGCAGCGCCTTAACCACCACACCAATGCCTGGCGCTACAGTACTCTTAGCTTTAGAGATTGTGTTGTAAGCAAACTGCATGTTCTTCTACTTAGGTTCCAGCACCAGAACAAGTTGAAAAATGTGGTGTGAGCAATATAATAGAAGCCAAACTCATTGTTTTCCTGACGTCAATATTTATTAAGGTAATTAAGAATTTTCAAGGCTAGTTAATATTAAAACCCAGAATAATATAATATTAGACTGTAAGAAACTTAAGACCTGGTGTTAACCTTGTTTATTAGCCTAAGGACACTGAGTGAAGCCAGTTATTTCTCAGTTTGAGGAAAGTTATCTAAAACATGTAACTTTTTGGCTGACATTTGGAATAACCACTTAGGATACCTTTTTTGCTATGTCAGATAATTCCAATTGTGTCTGTCTTGTGCTAACACATTATGGTGTGTTGTTGGAAACTTCTACAGTAAGGGATGGCACAAAGTGAAGTGTTTTTCCTAGTGCAGAGTTGTGTGTGGCAGTACTGTTCTAGTGGCACACAAAGCTTTACTCTGTCGAGAATCACTAAAAATCAAGGGAGCAGTGTCTGCAGAATCACCTCGTCAGAGGAAGTAGGAACACAGATTTTCAGCAGATTCAGTAATTGTGTGCACTCCTTGAGATAGGAACATCTGTCAAAACCGTCAGTTGAGTGTATGATAAAATATTTAATTAAATAAATTTAGTAATGCTTAAGTATCCTAAAAGTCAGAACTTTTTACTTTAAAGTGTGTTCTTTTCTCTTTAGGCTGGATGTAATCCCTCTGATATTGGCATCATTGCACCGTACAGGCAGCAGTTAAAGATCATCAATGATTTATTGGCACATTCTTCTGTTGGGATGGTGGAAGTTAACACGGTAGACAAGTATCAAGGAAGAGACAAAAGTATTATCCTTGTGTCTTTTGTTAGAAGTAACCAGGATGGAGCTGTGAGTTAACTGGGCATTTCTCTCTTTAAAAATTGTTGTTTTAAAAAAATGTAAAACTTACCATCTTAACCATTTGTAAGTGTACAGTCCAGTAATGTTCAGTGTTATTTATATTGCTGTTCAAGAGATCGCTAGAACCTTTTCATTTTGCAAATCAAACTCTGGGCGCAGGAGCAGCTCCCGTTTCCTTCTTGCAGCCCCTGTAAGCACCATTCTCCTCTCTGTGGATTTGACTACTCAGTAGAGTTATACAGTTTGTCTTTGTGTGACTGGTTTGTTTCACTTAGCCAGTTCCTCCATGTTGTAGCATGTGACAGGGTTTCATTCCTCTTTTTTTTAAAAAAATCAATTCTTAATTGATATATAAAAATTGTACATGTTTGTGGGGTATCATGTGGTGTTCCAATACATGTCTACATTGCGTAATGTCCAATTGGGGAAATACACCTATCTTCTCAAACACTTATCATTTCTTTTGGTGAGAACATTGAAAATCCTGTTAGCTTCTTTCTTTTTAAGAATAATTCACGGTATGTGAACATTATATATAATCACCCTGTTGTGCAGAATAATATTACAGCTTTCTACTCCTATCTTAGTGCCTGATGAATAACCCTTACCCATTGTTGCCTCTCCTGCTCGCCCCAGCCTCTGGTGACTGTTAACACTCTCAGCTTCCAAGAGAGAAGCTTCTTTAGGCTCCACATTTGAGTGAGATTATGCAGTACTTGTCTTTCTGTGCTTGAGGTATATCCTGAAACATATTGACTACAGTTCAATCATACTGGTTTCATTTTTTTTTTTTTTTGACAGGCAGAGTGGACAGTGAGAGAGAGAGACAGAGAGAAAGGTCTTCCTTTGCCGTTGGTTCACCCTCCAATGGCCGCCGCGGCCGGCGCACCGCGCTGATCCGATGGCAGGAGCCAGGAGCCAGGTGCTTTTCCTGGTCTCCCATGGGGTGCAGGGCCCAAGCACCTGGGCCATCCTCCACTGCACTCCCTGGCCACAGCAGAGAGCTGGCCTGGAAGAGGGGCAACCGGGACAGAATCCGGCGCCCCGACCGGGACTAGAACCCGGTGTGCCGGCACCGCTAGGCGGAGGATTAGCCCAGTGAGCCGCGGCGCTGGCCTCCATTCATATTGTTAAAAATGACTGGCTTTCATCCTCTTTCATGGCTGAATACAATTTATTGATTTATACCTTTCTTATTTATTTATTTATTAATTTACTTTATTTGAAAAGCAGAGTGACACAGAGGGAGACACAGAGACAGGTAGAGATCTTCCATACACTGGTTCACTCCCCAAAGACTGCAACAGCTAAATCTGGGCCAGTCTGAAGGCAGGAGCCAGGTTTCCCATGTGGGTGGCAGGGCCCCAAGTACTTGGGCCATCTTATGCTGCTTTCCCAGGTGCATTAGCAGGGAGTGGGATTGGAAGTAAAGCAGCTAAGACTTGAACCAGTGTCTATATGGGATGCCAGTGTCGCAGATGGAGGCTTAACCTGCTGTGCCACAATGCCAGCCCTGGACCACATTGTCTTTATCCATTTGTCAGTTGACAGGCACTTAGATTGTTTCATTTTTTGCCTGTTGTGAATAGTGCTGCAATAAACATGGATGTGCAAATGTCTCTTGGACAGACTGATTTCATTTCCCTTGGAAATATACCCAGGAGTGGGATTCCTGAATCACATGATAGTTGATGGAATAAGGATTAAACTCAGCCATTCTTGCTCATTGCCCAAAAGATAAACACTGGAATGTATTCCTTGCCCTTGACTCTCAGTTGGGTCTCACACCCTGTTGCCTTTATACCCCACCCCACACAGCCACCTGAAAGACCAGTTCCAGGAATTCCCATCTGCCTGCTGTCCCCTACCCCACCCCATCCCTAGCCCTGCTTAAAAAGGCCCAGCCCCTGGGCGTCAGGGCCTTCTGCCACGTGTTCCATCAATGTGTAGTTGGTCACCCACTTCTATGAATTTATTTTCTCTGAATAAATTCGGTCTGGTTGTAAATTCCTACACTACCTCCTCTCTATTCTGGGCCTCTTTTCCTAGCATTTTGGTGCTCCATGTGAGGAGGCACCAATCTGCAACTCTTCCTAGTAACAGTTATACCAATTTTTTGAAGAAACTCCATACTGTTTTCCACAATGACTGTACTAATTTACGTTCCTGCCAACACTGTGCAAGGGTTTCCTCTTCACATCCTCACCAGCTCCTGTCATTTGTTGTCTTTTTGATGATAGCCCATATAATTTGAGTGAGGTGATTTCTCATGTGGTTTCTGTTTGCATTTCCCTGATGGCTATTTTTTCATGCTTCCATTTAAAGTCTGAATAATAATTCTGGTTTCATTTTATTTGTTCTTTGCATTTTTGCCTTTAATTCATTTTTGTATGGTTTTTACAATATGCATGGTAAAAAAGTCTCCTTCCTACTGCATCTCTCATCTTCTCCTTTCTTACTTCAAGTGTATTCACATTTTGGTGCTTTTGGTAACCTAGGTAGTATACACACTATCCTGGGCTTTGCTTTTTCCACTTAATTGGCTCAGAGACCTTTCCAATTGAGTACATTCATAGAGAGCAGTTCCATTTTGTTCTTAGGGTTGTGTGGTTGTCTGTTGTGTAACTCTGTTACATTATATTCAGCCACTCCCTGAATCTGTCAGTGTAACAACTTTTTGTTACTATAACAACCATTGCCACAGTGAGTAGAGATAACATCAGTTTTTTATTTTTATTGTATGTAATAATTTAAAATTATGACGAGGGTATCACATAAAATATGTGAAGTTGATACTGTGAGCAAAGTTTGCGGACAGCCTAGCATTTTCAACGTGTTTATGTATCTTTTAGGTAATCTGTGTTTAAAAGTAGGAAGATAATTCAAGACAACCCTGTTTTTTTGTCAGAACAAATGGGAATATAATGAGACTCAAATAATTGAAAATTGTATCTCTTACAGCTTGGTGAACTCCTGAAAGACTGGCGCCGTCTTAACGTTGCTCTAACCAGAGCCAAACATAAACTGATTCTCCTGGGCTCTGCGCCCTCATTAAACCGCTATGCTCCCTTGGAGAAGCTGCTTGGTCATCTAAATTCAGAAAAACTCATATCCTTTTTGTCGTGTGCTCACACTTGTGCCACAGTGAGCATTTAAAATGCACTTTTGTGTATAAAAGCTCAGTATCTTGTGTTTTCCATGGGCCTGCTTCAGAGAACTGATTGTAGAGAGGAAAGAGAAAACAGTTCACTGCAGATGATGTTAAGCCAGCAGTGCAAGAAGGAAGGAAACAGAGAAGGATGTTTGTGAAATGGGGAAGGCAAAGAAGGTACTTGATCTGTGGCCCCAGGACCAGCACTGGTGGGGTGATTGCTTATCCCTTTTGGCTCCTCTCACCCCAAATTTATAGCTTTTTATTTTATTTTATTTTTTGAAAGAGAAGGAGAGGCATAGAGAGAGGTCTTCCATCCACTGGTTGACTCCCTAATTGGCTGCAACGACCGGAGCTGCACCAATCTGAAGGCAGGAGCCAGGAGCTTCTTCCCGGTCTCCCATATGGGTGCTGGGGCCCAAGGACTTGGGCCATCTTCCACTGCTTTCCCAGGCCATAGCAGAGAGCTGGATTGGAGGTATAGCAGCCCAGCCAGGACTTGAACTGGCACCCATATAGGATGCCGGCACTGCAGGTGGCAGCTTTACCCACTACATCACAGCGCTGGCCCCTATAGTCTTTTTAAAATCTCAGACAAAGCATTATATTAAAAAGTGGAAAATCATTCCTTATCATGTGGTAGGTTTTTTTTTTTTTAAGATTTATTTACTCATTTGAGAAACAGTGTTACAGTGTTACAGACAGAGCGAGAGACAGAGAGGTCTTCCATCCACTGGTTCACTCCCCCAAAAGACTGCAATGGGTAGAGCTGGGCCAATCTAAAGCCATGAGCCAGGAGCATCATCTGGATCTCCCATGTGGATGCAGGGACCCAAGCCCTTGGGCCATATTCCACTGCTTTCCCAGGCCATCAACAGGGAGCTGGATCAGAAGTGGAGCAGCTGGGATTCGGAACTTGAACTGGCACCTATGTTCTATAAGATGCCAGTACCACAGGCAGAGTCTTAACCTACTATGCCACAGTGCAAACCCCCAGGTTAATTTTTAAATAGATAATTTTTTTAAAAGATTTATTTATTTTACTCGAAAGTCAGTTAAACAGAGAGGAGAGGCAGAGAGAGAGATCTTTCACCCGATGGTTCACTCCCCAGTTTGCCTCAATGGCTGGAGCTACGCCAGTCCAAAGCCAGGAGCCAGGAGCTTCTTCCTGGTCTTCCATGTGGGTGCAGAGGCCCAAAATCTTCCATTGCTTTCCCAGGCCAGAGCAGAGATCTGGATATGAAGTGGAGCAGCCGGGACTCAAACTGGCACCCATGTAGGATGCCAGCACTGCAGGCGGCTTCTTTACCCACTACGCCAAAGTGCCAACCCGATAATTTTAAAAGTAAAGCTTGGGGCTGGCACTGTGGTGTAGTAGGTTAAGCATTTAAGGTACTGGCATCCTGCATGGGTGCTGGTTCAAATCCCAGCTGCTGTACTTCTGATCTAGCTCCCTACTGATGGCCTGGAAAAGCAGTGGAAGATGGCCTAAGTCCTTGGGCCCCTGTACCCTCATGGGAAACCCAGAAGAAGCTCCTGGCTTCAGATCAGCTAGCTCTGGGTGTTGTAGCCATCTGGGAAGTGAACTAGTTGGTGGAAGACCTCTCTGTCTCTTCCTGTTTCTGTAACTCTCTCAAGTAAATAAATATATATATATATTTTTAAGTAAAGCTCATAGGCCGGCGCCGCAGCTCACTAGGCTAACCCTCCGCCTGCAGCACCGGCACCCCGGGTTCTAGTTCCGGTCGGGGCGCCAGATTCTGTCCCGGTTGCTCCTCTTCCAGTCAGCTCTCTGCTGTGGCCCAGGAGTGCAGTGGAGGATGGCCCAAGTGGTTGGGCCCTGCACCCACATGGGAGACCAGGAGGAAGCATCTGGCTCCTGGCTTCAGATCGGTGCTGTGCGCCAGCCGTAGCAGCCACCTGGGGGGTGAACCAACGGAAGGAAGACCTTTCTCTGTCTCTCTCTCATTGTCTTAACTCTGCCTGTCAAAAAATTTAAAAAAAAAATAGTAAAGCTTATATATATATTAAGGTATTAGGCTAACATGTATAAATCTTACTGCTTACATATAAATCTTAAATACCTACCTATGCATAGAATGTTATAAAGATCTTTCCATCTTTCTTTTTGCAGTCTCGCAAACCAAATTATAAAATGTTAAATAATAATGTCATAGAAGTTTTAATATGTCGGACCGGCGCCGCGGCTTACTAGGCTAATCCTCCGCCTAGCGGCGCCGGCACACCGGGTTCTAGTCCCGGTTGGGGCGCCGGATTCTGTCACGGTTGCCCCTCTTCCAGGCCAGCTCTCTGCTGTGGCCAGGGAGTGCAGTGGAGGATGGCCCAGGTGCTTGGGCCTGCACCCCATGGGAGACCTGGCTCCTGGCTCCTGCCATCGGATCAGCGCAGTGCGCCGGCCGCAGCGCGCCGGCCGCGGCGGCCATTGGAGGGTGAACCAACGGCAAAGGAAGACCTTTCTCTCTGTCTCTCTCTCTCACTGTCCACTCTGCCTGTCAAAAAAAAAAAAAAAAGTTTTAATATGTCTTCCTTAATTTCTTTTACATTGTTGATCTTCCATCAAGAGAACATGAAAGTCTTTGCTACATCCTGGGTGATTTTCAAAGAGGATAAAGCACTGTTTTTCCTTTCTTACTTGGACGTTGTCATGCTAGCTAGTGCCTCCTCATACTCGTCCTCTGAGTTTGATATAAATAATGGCTGGTTAGACTGTGAAAATAACTTGTGTCCAAGAAGTACAAAATGAGCTGTGTGTTCAGTGTTCCAATAGTTTATTTATTTATTTTTTGGAATAATTTTATTAAACCTAAAACTCTTCTGCCACACAAATTTAATGGTGTTTTTGTAAGTACAGGTTTGCCCCAAGCTGTGTAAAGTCTACATTTATCAGTTGTATATCAGTTGTATTTTTGCATGACCCAAAGAAATGGATTAACTTTTGGATGGATTAACTATTGGATCTGAACTCCACACTTTGAAGCCCAAAATTTTAAGACTAATTTAATTTAGTTGAATTTACTTGTAAGAGTTTTATTTGAAAGATGGAAAGAATAAAGTTGATTTTTTTTTCATCATTTAAGCACAATTTTGTTATGATGAGAACATAGAAGTGATTCTTCTCTATTAATTGAGGCCCCTGATCCAAAGGCCATTATGCTGTTTGTCTTTTTCCTGACCTTGTTTTCTGGAACTAAATATGTTTTCACTTTAAACCTGGTGTTTTAAACTACAACTGTGAATTGATTGTGTCTGGTTCATTTCCTATGCCCCCTCAATGGCCTCTTTTTTTATATTCAGTATTTTGGTATTCTAGAGTAGATTTGACATGAAGGAACATAATTCTTAATCTTTTGAGAAGAATTTTTTTCTGAATTGATAAATTGAAAAGGCATATCCCTGTTTCCCCTTCATTCACATTCATTTACTCCTTAGTCTGGAGCCTTTCTGGATTTTTCCTGATTGTGTAAAGACATTTCTAAAGCAGAGTTATCTCAAAGTGGTGAATTTGTGCATGGTAAGAGATTTTTACCTCAGTGTATCCATGTCCATGGTGGGGAGCCTTCCCTTTCTGTTGAGGTTTTTGTTTTTTGTTTGTTTTTTTGTTTTTGTTTTTTCTAAATGAGTGTTAATGTTAAAATAGTTGCTTCTACCTCTTTTTCTTAAGTTAATACTTGAAGTTGTTATTTAATAAATTGTTTTCTACTGAAGGATTTTACTGTGTTTATTATTACTACTGAAAAATGGTTATAATCAGGGTTGTTTGGCATTTTTTCCAGCAGTGCTAAGTGAAGTATTAATCATTTTTTAAGTAGCTGAAACCAAAGAGTGTTGATTTTTATGGAGATTTTTTTCTCAAGATTTATTTATTTATTTGAAAGGAAGAGTTTGAGAGAGAGAGAGAGATCTTTCTCCCGCTGGTTCATTCCCGAGATGGTTGCAATGGCCAGGGCTGGGCTAGGCTGCAGCCAGGTACTTGAAACTCCATGTGGGCCCAAAGACTTGAGCTATCTTCTGCTGCCTTGCCAGGTGCATTATCAGGGAACTGGGTCAGAAATGGAGCAGCTGGGACTTGAACCTGCACACATTTGCAGATGCTTAGCCCACTGCACCACAGCATTGGCCCCTACAAAGAGATTTATGAAGGAGAAACAGGATGGGCTTGAATATGGAAACAGAATAGATCAGACTGGTCTGGAGAAACTAGAAAGGTTGCTGTGACGGAGCGCAGGTGTTGCTTACGCATCATGAGAGTGTGAAGCAGGGAGGAATCTGAGCTAATTTCAGGTCCTGGGAGTGAGATGAGTAGGACCATTGTTTTGGTTTAGTCAGTGACCTCGTCCTACCAGGTCTGTTTGGCCTGGAAGGTAAAGCCCCACGGAAGAGCTTGGGGAGTTCAGCCTTCCTGCTGTTTTCCGTCGTCTTGGCCACAACTTTCTAGCATTTTCAGTACTTGAAAGAATTTAGGATATGTCTTCTATAAATAGATGCTGTGAGTTGAGGGTTAAACCCAGACCAGGCCCTCTGGGAGCTACAAGTGCAGCACAGTTGTGTCACGCATGCTAACGACTAAGAGCAGCAGTGGCTACCAGCCACCAACATTTTTGGACTCTCCTTGTTTGTGGTTCCAGATCAGAGTCACCATTCGTCTACAGGAGGCTTTTCTCGCACAAGTGTGAAGCCAGGGTGGGGAACCAATACAGCCATTCCAGTAGCTTCCCTCGGGTCAGGGTTTCTGCCTCCTGACCTCTTCTTGCTACCACCTGATTCTTTTTCTTTTCCTGTCCCTCATTCTCTATAAAGACAGGTCCTCCCCAGAGCTCTGTGTCCAGTGTTGTCCTCCTCTTTCTCCCTGGAGAGTCACTGGCTACAAACTTCATCTACTTGGCTGTTTACCAAACCTATATCCTCCCTGTTTTCCAGATTCCAGTTACATAACTGCTTTCTGGTTCATTGCACACAAGATGGAAATTTCCACTTTCATCTAATGCCTAAATCCTGTGATCACTATTTCTGTAAGTGATAACATCTAGCACAGTTCTCTGAGCTTAAAAGTTTTGACATAATTTTTCTTTCCTTACAACATTTTTCCTTCTAATTAGCGAGCAGTACACAATTTTTGTGAGACTTTGAAACAATAGATTTTAGTTAATGAAATTTCTTTGTAATCTCACCTTTCAGTAGCAACTATTAGTAGTTTGGTTTATTATAATCTAGACTAGTTTTTAAAAAACTGGAATAGCCGGCCAGCGCCACAGCTCACTAGGCTAATCCTCCGCCTGCGGCGCTGGCACACCAAGTTCTAGTCCTGGTCGGGGCACCGGATTCTGTCCTGGTCGCTCCTCTTCCAGGCCAGCTCTCTGCTGTGGCCCGGGAGTGCAGTGGAGGATGGCTCAAGTACTTGGGCCCTGCACCCCATGGGAGACCAGGAGAAGCACCTGGCTCCTGGCTTCGGATCAGCACGGTGCACCGGCCGCAGTGTGCGGGCCGTAGTGGCCATTGGAGGGTGAACCAATGGTAAAGGAAGACCTTTCTCTCTGTCTCTCTCTCTCTCTCACTGTCCACTCTGCCTATCCAAAAAACAAAAAGTACCTGGCTCCTGCCATCGGATCAGCGCGGTGCGCCGGCCATAACCTTGCTGGCCCAGTGGCCATGGAAGGGGTGAACGCAGCGAAAAAGGAAGAACTTTTCGTCTCTGTTCTCTCTCACTGTCCACTCTGCCTGTCAATAAAAAAAAAAAAAAAAAAAAAAAAAAAAAAAAAAAAAAAAAACCTATAATAGCCATCATCCATAATAAGAAATACAATTAACATTTTTTAAAGATTGATTTATTTAAAAAAAAATGACAAAGATCTTCCGTCTTTCTTTTTTTTTTTTAAGATTTATTTTTTTGGGCTGGCACCGTGGCACAGTAGGTTAATCCTCTGCCTGCGGTGCTGGCATCCCATATGGGCGCTGGTTCTAGTCCCGGCTGTCCCTCTTTCAATCCAGCTCTCTGCTATGGCCTGGAAAAGCAGTAGAAGGTGGCCCAAGTGCTTGGGCCCCTGCACCCATGTGGGAGACCAGGAAGAAGCTCCTGGCTCCTGGCTTCGGATCAGCGCAGCTCCAGCCATTGTGACCATCTGGGGATTGAACCTGTTACTGTCTGTAACTCTACCTCTCAAATAAATATTTTTTAAAAAAGATTTTATTTATTTATTTGAAAGAGTTACACAGAGAGAGGAGAGGCAGAGAGTCTTCCATCTGCTGGTTCACTCCCCATATGGGATGCCGTCGCTTCAGGCCAGGGCGTTAACCCACTATGCCACAGTGCTGGCCCCTTTCTGTCTGTTGATTCACTCCCCAAATGGCCACAACAGCCAAGCCTGGACCAGACCAAAACTAGGAACCAGGAACTCTATCTGGGTCTCCCATATGGGTGGCAGGAACTCAAGTACCTGGGCCATTATCTGCTGCCTCCCAGGGGCATTAGCAGGGAGCTGGGTCAGAAACAGATGACCTGGGACTTGATGCCAAGCCTCCAATATGGAGTGTGGGGTCCCAAGCAACAGCTTTACCCACTCTACCACAACACCCACCCTAGGAAACACATTTCTTAAAAGAACTGCTAGTTTGTGCCCCAAATACTGCAATGGCTGGGGCTCTGCCAAGTGGAAGCTAGGAGTCAGGAACCCAGTCCAGTTCTTTCACGCAGCTTGGGTTGCAATTGCTTGAGCCAGCACTACTGCCCTCAAGGTCTGTAACAGCAAGAAGCTGCAATCAGGAGGTGGATCCAGGTATTGAACCCAGGTACGCCAGTGTGGGACATGGGTATATTAACAAGCATCTTTTTTTTATTTATTTTTATTTTTTTTTTTTGACAGGCAGAGTGGACAGTGAGAGAGAGAGACAGAGAGAAAGGTCTTCCTTTTGCCGTTGGTTCACCCTCCAATGGCTGCCGCGGCCGGCGTGCTGCGGCCGGCGCACCGCACTGATCCGATGGCAGGAGCCAGGAGCCAGGTGCTTTTCCTGGTCTCCCATGGGGTGCAGGGCCCAAGCACCTGGGCCATCCTCCACTGCACTCCCTGGCCACAGCAGAGAGCTGGCCTGGAAGAGGGGCAACCGGGACAGAATCCGGCGCCCCGACCGGGACTAGAACCCGGTGTGCCGGCGCCGCTAGGCGGAGGATTAGCCTAGTGAGCCGTGGCACCGGCCAACAAGCATCAACTGCTGGGCCAATGGCTGCCACAGAAATATATTTTACATCATGAGTGAGCGTAGATATATGTATGTGTGCATCTGAAACACTACTGTTAACCCTTCTTTATGTGATATGCCCTGATACTTCCTCCTCCATTCCATTAAAAAGAAAACTGATTGCAACCTATGAAAATTTCTTTCATATCCCACTAATAGATTCGAGCCCATGGCTTGTAATAGGTGTTATTCTCTAATTTTTTTTTTTTTTTTTTTTTGAGAGAAAGGCAGCTAAACAGGAAGAGCTCCTACCAGTTGGGCCCAAGCCTGGAGCTGGGAGGTAATCCAGGTCACCCACGCGGATGGCAGGAACCCAGCTACTCGAGCTCTCTGCTGCTTTCCAGGGTCCGCGTTGGCAGAAAAGGAGTCAGGAGCCAAGCAAGGGACTGAACCCAGGTGCTAGTTATGCTCCCCATACTACACTTTTTGCCATTCCCTTGTGATGTCTTTTCCTATTTGCTGTACTTTCTGAGTTCGTATATTCTTCTATTAGCATTTAAAAAACAGATTGACTTATTTATTTGAAAAGCAGAGTAAGAGAGAGAGAGAGATTTTACACCTATTGGTTCATTCCTCAAATAGCTGCAACAGCCAGGGCTAGGCCAGGCCTAAGGCAGGAGCTAGGGACCCCCATCTGGATCTCTCATGTCAGTAGCAGGTGCCCAAGTGTTTGGGCCATCTTCTCTTGCTTTCCCAGACACGTCAGAAGGGAGCTGGACTGGAAGCAGAGCAGCCAGGACTTGGAACTGGCACTCTGATAGAGGATGCTGACATCAGAGCAGCTTGACACACTGCCCTGCAACACTGGCCCCTTCCATTATCATTTATGCGACTCTACCCAGTCAGACTTTTGGTGGAGCCAGTATTGTGCTACAGTGGGATAAGCTGCCACCTGTTGTTAGGAAAAGAGGCACAGATTAATGCCTCCTCACATAGGGCGCCAAAAATGTTGGGAAAAGAGTCGCAGAAAGGAGGAGGTATTATACAAATCTACAGCCAATTTATTCAGAGAAAATAAATTCATAGGCCAGTGCCGCGGCTCACTAGGCTAATCTTCCACCTGCGGCACTGGCACCCAGGTTCCAGTCCTGGTCGGGGCGCCGGATTCTGTCCCGGTTGCTCCTCTTCCAGGCCAGCTCTCTGCTGTGGCCCGGGAGTGCAGTGGAGGATGGCCCAAGTGCTTGGGCCCTGCACCCATATGGGAGACCAGGAGAAGCACCTGGCTCCTGCCATCGGATCAGCGCGGTGCGCCGGCCGCAGCAGCCATTAGGGAGTGAACCAACGGGAAAGGAAGACCTTTCTCTCTGTCTCTCTCTCTCACTGTCCACTCTGCCTGTCAAAAAATAAATAAATAAAATCATAGAGGTGGGTGACCAACTGCTGGCATACACATTGATGGAACATGTGGCAGAAGTCCCCAATCCCAGGGGCCGGGCCTTTTTATATTTTAGGAGGGATATGGATGGGGGTGGGGGTAGGGGGCAGCAGGCGAGGTAAATTCCTGGAACTGGTCTTTCAGGTGGCCCAGGGGCCTTGGGAACCTGGGAAAGAATGCAATGTAAAGGCAATAGGGTGGGAGACCCAATTGAGATTCAAAGGCAAGGAATAAATTCCAATATTTATCTCTTGGGCAATGAGTGAGAATCTAAGGCTTATGTCCTTGTTCCGTCACCTGTGATACTGGCATCCATATGGGTGCTGGTTTGTGTTCCGGCTGCTCTACTTCCCATCCAGCTCCATGCTAACGCACCTTGGAAAGCAGCAGAAGATGGCCCAAATACTTGGGCTCCTGACACCCCCATGGGAGACACAGATGAAGCTCCTAGCTCCTTGTTTTGGCCTGGCTCAGCCCTGGCTGTTGTGGCCATTTGGGGAGTGAACCAGCAGATGGAAGATATCTGTCACTCTGTCTTTCAAATAAACACATAAATCTTAAAACAAAAAACCTCTAATAAGACATAAAGCTCATTCTCATTTTTTCCTCTGCCAAAAGAATTATCTTCATCTTTATACAATAATAGTACTTATAGGTAGCTTTATAGCACTTACTGCTTTTTTAGGAGTAGTAGTAACAATAGCAGACTTAAATTTTACCAGTAATTTTCATAGATACCCTGCCAATTGGATTAGACCCTGTGGCACACCTAGCAGAATTAGTCTGTATTAGCACATGACTTTGGGCAAGTCATTTCCAGACCCAGGTGTTTTATAAGTTAATAGCCTTCCCAGTTCTCCACTCAGGGTTGTATACATTTTCCAAATGCTATACAAATGTCTGTAAACTTTACAGTTATCATTGTAAGAAAATCATGTCTTGTTATGACGCAAGTACTTGGGTCTCTGCCACCCATGTGGGAGACCCAGAATGAGTTCCAGTCTCTTAACTTCTGCCTGACCCAGACGCAACAGTTGAAGGCATTTGGGGGAGTGAACCAGCGGATGGAATATCTCTCTTCCTCTCTTTCCTTCTAATAAATTGAAAAAAGAAAACCATGTTTGGGCCATCCTAGTGCAAGTTCCAACTCTGTTTCTGATTCCAGTTTTGCTAATGCATACTCTTGGAGGCTCAAGGACTTAGGCAGGGGAGGGTTTTCTCTCTCCCATTGTGGGAGACTTGCATTGAGTTCTGTGTTCCTTGCTTTGGCCTGGCCCAGCCCCTGCTGTTGCATTTGGGGAGTGAACCAGTGGAAGGAAGATCTTTCTTTGCCTTTCAAATAAAATCAAATAAAAAGATGGGGCAGTGGTTGTGGCACACAGGTGAAGCATCTCATGTCAGAGGGCAGGTTTGAGTTCCAGCACCTCTGCTTCCAATCCAGCTTCGTGCTAACGCATCATGGCAGGCAGCAGTAGTGACTCCAGTGCTTGGGCCCCTGTCATCCATCTTGGAGATGGGGTGGGGTGGGGGTGTAGTTCCAGGCTCCTGGCTTCAGCCTGGCCCAAGCCCTGGGTGTTGCAGGCATTTGGGGATTGAACCAGCAGATAGAAGATCTTTGTCTCTCTTTCTAACTTTCAAATATATATATATATATATTTTTTTTTTTTGAAGGGTAGCATTTACCTCTGAGGGGATTGTGACTGGAGCTTGGGGTATTTCTCTGGGAGGGGGCCACTGTTCAGTGCCTGATTTAGTGATGCTAACCAGCTCAGCTATCCACTTTAAACTGTATATATATGTTTCATATTTTTAAAAAAGATTTGTTTATTTGAAAGGCAAAGTTACAGAGAGAGAGAGGGAGAGACAGAGAGATCAGGGCTGAGCCAGGCCAAAGCCAGGAGCTTTATCTGGGTCTTCCCCTGGATTTCCCAGGAGGCTAGATGGTATGCCCGCATACCAGGCAGTGGCTTAACCTGCTATGCCAGCCCCTGTTTCACACATTTTTATCCATATGTGATTATATCATAATGAAGAAAAGCTAAAACCCAAAGAGGTTTTAAAAAATTTTATACTGGCCAAAGCGATGCAGAGAAAAACGTCGCCCCATTACAAGAATATATGGGTTTATTATCTAGCTCAGCCAGTCTCAGCAGGCGCTGATGTAACTAGGTAACAGCTCTATTTTCCCAAGCTGATATAACTTAGACCTGGTGTGTGCTCTAACCTTGAAGCCTTAAATCTCCACCTCCCTGGGACAGGAAGACACCGGCTTTATCTCATCTGTTGCCCTTGACTAAGGAGGCTGCTGCTCGCCGCGTTTCCCAAGGCACTTCACAGGCCGATTTAAACGTCGTGCTCTGGGGCTTTCTACACAGTTTCAGCAGATTTCTGCCCGCTGTTAGCCTCTGTGCGTTTGTGAGGGGGAAAGCAAGGCCGGGCAGGTGCGGTCGATGTCATCCCAGCTGGCCCGCGGGGGTGCAGGCAGTTTCCCGGGGCTCCAACCCTCTCGCAAGGCCAGCCCCCGCGACTGGCGGAGGCCCCGGGCGAGGCTGGTGGTCTCGGGCGGGAATCCAGCCCTCCGGCTCCTCCCGCAGGGGTCCCTATGGACGCGAGGGGCAGGGGCGGGTTTTCTCTCCTGCCTGGAGCGGGCGCCCCGGCCCTCCGGAGCCGCCCGGATGTCCTCCCGCCGCCGGGGGCGCTGTGGGCCGCAGCGGGCCTGCTTGCAGATGCGGTGGTGGCCGCCCGGCGCCTGGAGGGAGCTGCTGGCCGGGCCCTGGGAGCCCCTGCCCGAGACCGCGACGCCGCCATGGGTAAGGGGAGCGGGCCGACAGCGAGCCTCTGGCCCTAAGTCCCGGGGCTGCCGGTCGCGGCCGGGCGAGGAGGGCCGGGAAGGGGGCCGCGGAGGGCCGCCGACTCCGAGCTGGGGCCCGAGTCTAGGGTGGGCGGGGGCAGCCCAGGACTCGGGGGCTCCCGGGGTCGCCATGGCAACGCGCCCCCCTCGTTTCCCTTCGCGTCCCCGCCCCCAGTCTGAGGCCCAGAGGCTGAGGACTCGAGGTCCGACGGCTTCCCGGGAGCGAGGACAGGGCCGGCCTGGGTGTCTCCGGGTCGAGGGACAGTGGCCGACAGGGCGATGACTTTCCAGGTTTGGGGGTGGCGGAGGGAAGACGCATCTCAGGCTTCCGCCTGGGTGCCCGACGCCGAGGGAGGGCGAGGGCGAGCCATGCCGGGCAAGACGCTGGGTGAGCCCACGCGGGGTCCTGGGGGCGCCCCCGGACCTTCGGGTAGCCTGGGGGTAGGGGAGGAAGAGGGGCAGAGAGGGGGCTGTGGGCCCGGGCGTCCCCGGTGCTTTGCAGCGTGGCGGTGCACCTGCGGCCCGCCGGGGCGTGGCGGCCGTGTAGGCGGCCCTGGGCGTGGGAACTGCGGGTGCCTTTCTGTGGTGGTCCTGTCGCACCTTGCTGGTGGGGTGGGCACTGTTAGAAAAATGAGAATGGCCGTAACTCAGGGGGCGTCAGGCGATGTCGCTCCGGAAAATAAAGAGGGAGTCATACATAGCGCGATGCAGATTTGCAGAAAAGGGGCGAGCGGGTGGGGACGGTGTCGGCCGCCAGCTTGGTCACAGCCTTTTATGTTGGTGAAGAGTTGGCGTCAGGCTTCACGCCCGGCTCAGAACTGGAATGCTAGGTCCCTGGGAACTCTGGGTTTGTGTCCAGTGGGAGAAAAATGGGCATTTTGCGTACTTGGATTTGTACATTTCTCGGAGATGATGAAATGATATTTTACTAGGTGCTTCATTTTTTTTGCATCTCCGTTTTTAAAGAATGTTTATTATTTTCATCTTCTTGGAGAGAGAAATAGAGAGAGATCTTAACATCTGCTGGTGCACTTCCCAAATGCCTGCAACAGCTCGGAGGCCAGAACTCCAGCAGAGTCTCCCACGTGGATGGCAGGGGCCCAAGCACTGGGGCCGTCCTCTGCTGCCTCCCAGGAGGCATTAGCCGGAAGCTGGAGCAGAAGCCGAGGAGCAGCCATCCCAAGCTGTGGCTTAACCCACCGCACCACCATGTGTGTCCTTAGCTCCTCAGTTTTGTCATCTGTGTTTACTGAAAATACTCCTGCCAGTCACGGCGATGGTGCCAGAATGGGGACGCATCTGAGTGTCTTAAGTAAACTGAGAATAAAACTTGTGGGAAGAAAACTATTTTTGTGAATTTGAAAATAGCAATTAAAAATAAGGCTTTTTGCAAGTGCATCCGTTAACTCGGTACCAGTCTGAAACAGTGGACAGCGTCGGCTATGTGGAAAGGCGGAGGGCTTTAGAATGGAATCATGCAATGCAGAATTCCTGGGAGAATGAAAAAACAGGACAAAGTGAAAATGAGAAATTGAGTGACTGCTGTATTTTCTTTTTTGTCAGTGTATTTTACCTGTTTCATTTGTTACGAGTATTACTGAAATGTTAGAATTTCAACTACTTTTTATTTATTTTTTATTTTTGACAGGCAGAGTGGACAGTGAGAGAGACAGAGAGAAAGGTCTTCCTTTGCCGTTGGTTCACCCTCCAATGGCTGCCACAGCCGGCGCGCTGCAGCCGGTGCACCGCGCTGATCCGATGACAGGAGCCAGGTGCTTCTCCTGGTCTCCTATGCAGGTGCAGGGCCCAAGCACTTGGGCCATCCTCCACTGCACTCCCTGGCCACAGCAGAGAGCTGGCCTGGAAGAGGGGCAACCGGGACAGAATCCGGCGCCCCGACCGGGACTAGAACCCGGTGTGCTGGCGCCGCAAGGCGGAGGATTAGCCTAGTGAGCCGCGGTGCCGGCCAAAATTTCAACTACTTTTTATTGCTAGTTTATTCTGAACATTTTTGCCTTGAAATTCATCTTTACACAGTGCCTGCCATCCAGCATTTACGTGAGCCCCTTAAACATGTTGTCTATGACTGCAAACGTACCTCTGCAGAATACTGTTTTTAAAACTTTCCTTGCAAAGAGATACCGCAAAATTAAAATACAGAATGGCAAATTTGCAGAGCCTTGAGCATGACTTACACACCCTGGCAGCAATGGGCGTGGTGGTTTCCTATGGTATGTGTGAGGGAATCGTGAAGTTACCTTAGTTGGGAAACAGTCAGGTTTTCCCTGCAAGAATAAGCAAATCACTGTTGGTGTCACTGGGGGAAGAGAAGAGTTTGTCTGTTTCTCACTGTAATGCCTTGCAATGATGTTGGACTTCTTGTGCTTTCAGCTACAAAAGACCCCACAGCTGTCGAGCGAGCAAACTTGCTAAACATGGCTAAACTGAGTATCAAAGGGCTCATTGAATCGGCTCTGAGCTTTGGCCGCACCCTGGATTCTGACTACCCTCCCTTGCAGCAGTTCTTTGTCGTTATGGAGCATTGTCTGAAACATGGTCTTAAAGGTACCACAAGATTATTTAAAAAAAAAATTGCCTTAGAACCCTCCCCCCCTTCCATCTTAAATATCCTTGAAAATGTAGTATTTTTTTTCCAGGCCATAATCACTGTTATATGGAATTTTAAAACACTTGAGTGGATTATTTAGGGAGAAAACATCTTAACTACTTTGTTTTCGAATAGATGCTCTTTAGAAAATGCTCACCTGTTAGTATCTTTTTTTTTTTTTTAAGATTTATTTATTTTCCTTGAAAGTCACAGTTAAACAGAGAGAGGAGAGGCAGAGAGGGGTCTTCCATCCGCTGGTTCACTCCCCAGATGGCCACAACTGCACTGATTAGGAGCCAGGAGCTTCTTCTGGGTCTCCCATGCGGGTGCAGGGTCCCAACAACTTGGGCCATCTTCCATTGCTTTCCCAGGCCACAGCAGAGAGCTGGATCGGAAGTGGAGCAGCTGGGACTAGAACTGGCATCTATATGGATGCCAGCTCCACAGATGGAGGATTAACCTGTGCCATGGCACTGGCCCCAATAAAATATACTTTAAGAAGGAAACCTTGGCCGGCGCCGGGGCTCAAAAGGCTAATCCTCCGCCTAGTGGCGTTGGCACACCGGGTTCTAGTCTCGGTCTGGGCGCCGGATTCTGTCCTGGTTGCCCCTCTTCCAGGCCAGCTCTCTGCTGTGGCCCGGGAATGCAGTGGAGGAAGGCCCAAGTGCCTGGGCCCTGCACCCCATGGGAGACCAGGATAAGTACCTGGCTCCTGCCATCGGATCAGCGTGGTGTGCCGGCCGCAGCACGCCGGCCGCGGCGGCCATTGGAGGGTAAGCCAACAGCAAAAGGAAGACCTTTCTCTCTGTCTCTCTCTTTCACTGTCCACTCTGCCTGTCCAAAAAAAAAAAAAAAGTGGTGGACAAGGCAGCCTGAAAGAAAGAAACCTTGACAACAAAATTTGAGCTATCTTATGTGATATAAATATACTCATTTTTATTTCTTTAATTAGAGACATAAAGTTATTTATTTATTTGAAAGGCAGAGTTACAGAGGAAGAGAGAGAGAGAGAGAGAGAGAAAGAAAAGAAATATCTTGTATCCACTGGTTCACTCTCCAAATAGCTGCAACAGCCAGGTCTGGGCCAGGCTAAAGCCAGGAGCCAGGAGCTTCAGCTAGGTCTCCTGCGTGGGAGCTAGGTACTTGGGACATCTGGATTAGCAGTGGAGCAGCTGGGACTCAAACCAGAGCCCATATGGAATACCAGTGTCGCAGGCTATGGCTTAACCCATTACGCCATGATGCTGGCCTCAAATTATTTCTTCAAGTTATATAAATAATAATGAGATAAGTGCTTTTTGTATCAAAAACTTAGAACTGTATAAAGCAAGTTTCTGTCCGTTTCCTTTGATCTCCCTAAAGGAAGTCATTCTTTTAATCCTTTTCTGTTTTTTTCTTTTACTATAAATATCATGCTATAAATATTATTCTATAAAACTTAGTGGTGTGGTTTGTGATCTTCCCATTTGTATAAAAGTTTAGATCACATTTTAGTAAGTTTATTTTCAGCTACTTGAAAGGCACAGTGAGAGAGAAAGAGAGAGAGCCTGGAGCCCTGAAATCCATCTGGGTCTTCCAAATGGTTAATAGGGCCCCAGGTGCTTGAGCTGTCACCCCCTGCCTCCCGGGGTGCACATCAGCAGGAAGGTGGACCAGAATCAGAGCCCGGGGGCTGGCATTGTAGCGCAGCAGGTTAGCCGTCACCTGCAGTGCTAGTGTCCCGTGTAAGCAACAGTTCAAGTCCTTTCTGTTCCGCTTCTGATCCAGCTCCCTGCTAATGCACCTGGGAAAGCAGCAGAAGGTCCTGGGCTCCTGCCCACCCATATGGGAGACCTGGATGGAGTTCTAGGCTCCTCGCTTTGGCCTGGCCAAGTCTCAACCATTTGTGAATTGAACCAGCAGATGAAAGAGTTATCTTTCTCTTTCTCTCTCTCTCTCTCCCCCCCCCCCCATAACTCTGCCTTTAAATAAATAAATAAATCTTTTTTTTTAAAGAATTAAAAAATGCTGGAGCTCCAACCCAGGCATTCTGATATGGGATGCTTAACCAAGTAGTTGCTTAACCCACTGTATCACAATGCCTGATGCTTATTATCCTCCACTTCGTAAAACATAGTGAACTGTGTTATGGCAGTCATAGGCTTATCTTGATGTATCATTATAAAGCTGCTTTGTGGGGCTGGTAGTGTGGCACAGTGAGTAAGCCACCACTGTGATGCTGGCATTCCATATCAGAGTGTGGCTGGAGTCCCAGCTGCTGTGCTTCTGGTCTTGCTTCCCGATACACCTGGGAAGACACCAGAAGATGGCCCAAGTATTCGGACCCATGCCACTCCTTTTTTTTTTTAAAGATTTATTTATTTGAAAGTCAGAGTTACACAGAGAGAGAAGGAGAGGCAGAGAGAGAGAGAGAGACAGACAGACAGAGAGAGGTCTTCATCTGATGGTTTACTCCCCAATTGGCCACAATGGCTGGAGCTGCACCGATCCGAAGCCAGGAACCAGGAGCTTCTTCCGGGTTTCCTACTTGGGTGCAGGGGCCCAAGGACATGGGCCATCTTCTACTTCTTTCCTAGGCCACAGCAGACAGCTAGATCGGAAGTGACGAGTAGCCGGGTCTCAAACTGGAGCCCACATGGGATGCTGGCGCTTCAGGCCAGGACATTAACCTGCTGTGCCACAGGGCCGGCCCCTGGACCCATGCCACTCATGTGTGAGACCAGAATGGAATTCCTGGCTCCTGGCTTTGGACTATCCAGACCTGGCTGTAGTGACATTTTGGGGAGTGAACCAATGGATGGAATATCTCTCTCCCTCTCCCCCCTGCCTCCCCACTCTCTGTGTTGCTCTGCCTTTTGAGTATATAAATACATCTTTTTTTGGAAGATAGATTTATTTATTTGAGAGGTAGAGTTATAGGCAGAGAGAGGGAGAGACAGAGAGAGAGGTCTTCCATTGCTGGTTCACTCCCGAAATGGGTGCAATGATGAGAGCTGGGCCGATCTGAAGCCAGGAGCCAGGACCTTCTTCTGGGTCTCCCATGCAGATACAGGGGCCCAAGTACTTGAGCCATTTTCCACTGCTCTCCCAGGTCATAGTAGAGAGCTGGATCAGAAGAGGAGCAGCCAGGTCACAAACTGGCACCCATATGGGATGCTGGCCCCACAGCTGGAGTCTTAGCTCATTATAACACAGAGTCAGCGCCATAAATATATCTTTTAAAAAAAGGAACAATGGGGCTGGTGCTGTGTTGCAGCAGGTTAAAGCCCCGACCTGTGGTGCTGGTATCCCATATGGGAGCCGGTTTGAGTCCTAACTGCTCCACTTCTGATCCAGCTCCCTGCTAATGCACCTAGGAAAGCAATAGAAGATGGCCCAAGTGCTTGGGCCCCTGCACCCAAGTGGGAGACTTAGAAGAAGCTCCTAGTTCATGGCTTTGATCAGCTCAGCTCTGGCCATTGCAGCCATTTGGGGAGTGAACCAGTGGATAGAAGATCTCTCTCTCTCTGCCTCTCCTGTCTCTCTGTATCTCTGCCTTTCAAATAATGAATAAATACTGTTTGTTTAAAAAAGAAAACTTAAGTTACTATACTTTTATATGTTGAAATTGTGTAGGTGCATTGTATTTATTTTCTTTTTTTCAGTAAGAAAATCATTTTTGAGTTACAACAAAACCATCTGGGGCCCTTTGGAGCTGGTGGAGAAGCTGCATCCAGAAGCAGAGGAAATAGGAGCCAGTGTCCGGGACTTACCTGGTCTTAAGTAAGCAAGCATGTTCTAGTGCACCCCTGGCTGCACAGGGTGCCCGCGGTTCTGCCAGAACACCTCCCACTCTACGGCCTTACCTGCTCTCCGCCTCATGTACCCTTCTCTCCTCTGTCCATGAATTTTGGACATTCCTTAGTTCGGCTCCAATTCCATTTCCTTTATGAAGCTTCTCTTGTCCCCTTCAATAAGAATTAACTGCTTCTTCCATTGTGCTCTTATTACAATATTTCCCACTTTGTTTTATCACTTACTTCAGTTCTGCTTTGTATTGCAGGAAATTGCATGTCTCTTTAAGATAGGTGTAACATTAAGCACCTCTGTTTTCTAAGTGCTAACCCAGTGTGCACATAGCAGGTAGGTGTCTTGTTGCAGATTGAATTAGGTAGGCCCGATTTAGGGCAGAGGCTCAGGAGACGGCAGTCCTCAGCTGAGCCATTTACAAACCTCCACATATTAGACTTCCGCATATTACTTTTGTGTCTCTGAAAATTGAAAGCATTAGTGAGACCTACCTGTTTCATCAAACAAGTATATATGTAAGGTACTAAAAACTTGAGTTTTCTAGTTAGAAACTCATGAACATTGAACATTTTTTGCAGGTATAAAGTGTTAAGGCTAAGTTTTTAGGTTCTTGATGGTGTAATTAAAATTAAGTGCTCCCATTAGTTTATCTTAATTCTTGTGAGTGAGGTGCTTTTTATGCTTAGCACCTCTGTCAGATTATAAGTTTTCCTCCTAGATAGCTTTACAATTTAGAGTTTTATATGTTATGGGGAGTATAATAGTTGGACTTTATTGAGTGATAAATAGCCACTGTTTATAACAAGACAACCTTTTTGGGGGCCAGCACTGTGGCATAGCAGGTAAAGCCACCTCCTGCGTTGGCAGCATCCCATATGGGTGCAGGTTTGTGTCCTGGCTGTTCTATATCAGGTCCAGCTCTCTGCTAATGACCTGGGAAAAGCAGCAGCACATGGGCCAAGTACCTGGTCCTCTGTGCTCACATGGGGGACCTAAAAGAAGCTCCTTGCTCCTGGCTTCAGCCTGGCCCAGCCCTGGCTGTTATGGCCATCTGGGGAGTGAACCAGCAGATAGAAGACCTCTCTTTCTTTATTCCTTCTTTCTCTCTAACTACGTTTCAGATAAGTCTTTTTTTTTTTTTAATATTTTATTTATTTAAGAGGTAGAGTTACAGACAGTGAGAGGGAGAGACAGAGAGAGAGGTCTTCCCTCCGTTGGTTCACTCCCCAGATGGCTACAAAGGCTGGAGCTGCGCCAATACAAAGCTAGGAGCCAGTTGCCTCTTCCTGGTCTCCCACGCGGGTGCAGGGGCCCAAGGACTTGGGCCATTCTCTACTGCTTTCCCAGGCCATAGCAGAGAGCTGGATGGGAAAAGGGGCAGCCAGGACTAGAACCAGCGCCCATATGCAATGCCGGTGCTGCAGGCAGAGGATTAACCTACTATGCCGCTGCACTGGCCCCGATAAGTCTTTTTTAAAGATAACATTTTATATAAAATATCTTATTTAGTGCTTAAGTCACTCTTAAAGGGTAGAGATTATTATGATCCTAATTGTACAGATGTGAAAAATCAATGCCAGAGAAGTCATAGTTAAGAAATGTCAGAGTGGGGCCGGCATTGTGGCCTAGTGGGTAAAACTGCGCCTGCAGTGCTGGCATCCCCTATGAGGATCAGTTTGTGTTCCTGCTGCTCTGCTTCCAATCCAACTCTCTGCCATGGCCTGGGAAAGTAATGGAAAATGGCCCAAGTCCTTGGGCCCCTGCACCCACGTGGGAGACCCGAAGGAAGCTCCTGGATCCTGGCTTCGGATCAGCCCAGCTCCGGCTGTTGTGGACATTTGGGGAGTGAACCAGTGGGTGGAAGATCTCTTTATCTGCTTGTGCCTCTGCCTCTCTGTAACTCTGCCTTTCAAATAAATCTTAAAAAAAAAAAAAAAAAAGAGAGAGAGAGAAGAGAGAGAAATGTCTGAGCAAGGATTCAAACCCAATTTTTATAATTAAATACAAAGTGGTATTCATATGTGATACTGTGTACAATATCATATTAGGTGAAGTTTTTTTTTTTTTAAAGATTTATTTATTTATTTGAAAGGCAGAATTGCAGAGAGAGAGGGAGAAACAGAGAAAGAAAGAGATCTTCCATCCACTAGTTCACTCCCCAAATGGCCACAATGGACAGGGCCGGGCCAGGCTGAAGGCAGGAGCCTGGAACCCTGTTGGGGTCTGCCACATGGGTTCAGGGACCCAAATAGTCGTGCCATCTTCTGCTTTCCCAGGTGCATTAGCAGGGAGCTGGATCAGAAGCGGAGCAGCCAGGGCTTGGACTGGTGCTCATGTGGGATGCTGCTGTTGAGCTGGCAGCTTAACCCAGCATGCATGGCTCTGGACCCTTTTATTTTTTAAAGATTTGTTCACTTGAAAGGCAAAGAGAGAGAGAGAGAGATTCCATCTGCTGGTTCACTCCCCAGATAGCTGCAGTGGCCGGGGCTGGGCCAGGTTTAAGCCAGGAGCCTGGAGTTCCACTTCGGTCTCCCTTGTGGGTGCAGGGTCCCAAGTGTATGGGTCATCGTCACTGCTTTCCCTGGCACATTAGCAACTGGCACTCTGATATGGGCTACCCCTTCACAAGCAACAGCTTAACCTGCTATACCACAATGTCAGCCCCTAAATAATTTAAAAAAATCACATCAGGGGCCGGGTGGAGTTCCTGACCCTGAGTTTCCTGGCCCAGCCCTGGCTGTTGAAGCCATTTGGGGAGTGAATCAATGGACGAAAGGTATCTCTCTGTCTCTCCCTCTTCCCCGCCACCCCCATCACTCTGCTTTTCAAATAAAAAGATGAAGACAAAAAATTTTTTTAAAGACTTCTTTCTTTATTTGAAAAGGTTAGAGGGAAAGAGATCTTCCATCTGCTGATTCACTCCCTGGATGGCTGCAGTGGCTGGGGCTAGGCCAGGCTGAACCCGGAGCCAGGAGCTTCATTCAGTCTCCCACCTGGGTGCAGGAGCCTGAGAACTTAGGCCATCCTCTGCTGCTTTCCCAGGCACATTAGCAAGGACCTGGATTGGAAGTCTAGCAGCTGGGACTTGGACTGCCGCCCATGTGGGGTGCTCGCATCGCAGGAGGTGGCTTTACCTGTTATGCCACAATGCTGGCCCTGAAGAAATCTTTTTTTTTTTTTTAAAAAAGATTTATTTATTTATTTGAGAGTCAGAGTTACACAGAGAGAAGGAGAGGCAGAGAGAGAGAGAGGTCTTCCATCTGAAGGTTCACCCTCCAATTGACTGCAACGGCTGGAGCTACGCCGATCCAAAGCCAGGAGCCAGGAGTTTCTTCCAGGTCTCCCACATGGGTGCAGGGGCCCAAGGACTTGGGCCATCCTCTACTGCTTTCCCAGGCCACAGCAGAGAGAGCTGGATCGGAAGAGGAGCAGCCAGGGCTCAAACTGGTACCCATATGGGATGCCGGTACTTCAGGCCATTAACCTGCTGCGCCCCACAGTGCCAGCCCCCTGAAGAAATCCTTAAAAAAAAATTTGTACTTAGGTGTTCTACAAGTGTAGATTTATAGAATGGGTTTGCATGCTCAAAAATTTGGTTTAAAACTGTAGAAATGAAAACAAAGCTGTGACAGAGTGCCCTTCTTCCTTGTGGGATGTGCCTCAGCAGCAGTGGAACGAGTAGTGCAGGCTCTCTGGCCAGGGCTGTTTTTGTGACCGCTGTTTTCTTTTCAGGACCCCCCTGGGTCGTGCAAGAGCATGGCTTCGGTTAGCCCTCATGCAAAAAAAGATGGCCGATTACCTGCGCTGCTTAATTATTCAGAGGGATCTCTTTAGGTTAGTATCACTAAGTCATGTTCACTTTCATTTTTCATTTCAATTGTATCTTGTTTTCCAAAAAGGATATAAGATGTAGTACAAGAAGGTACATAAAATACAATAAGATGGCATAAAATAAAAAAAAGGAGGTACGTAAAAGAGAAGAACACGTGGTAGGGGAGAACACGGGTCAGAACTGGCCTAAAATATGAATATCATAAATTTACTATTTGCCAATAAGGGGAAATTTATGTATATTTATAAGTTAGTTTTGGTTTTCTGAATTATAATTAATTTTATGGATAACAGTATTTTATGGAATTTAATTGCTCAAGTTTCTTTTTAGATCGTGAATGTCCAAGCCGTGTCTTCAGTAGTAGTGCAGGCCCAGGTGAGACCGGAAGCCCAGTGTTGAGGGCAGACCCGCAGGGAGGAGGTCTATGGCGGCCCTACGTCCGTCCTTTCTGGTGTTGTCAGGAACTTGGCCCTGGTTTTGGTCTTTCTTTCTTTCTTTCTTTTTTTTTTTCATTTTTTACAGGCAGAGTGGACAGTGAGAGAGAGAGAGAGGGAGAGAAAGGTCTTCCTTTGCCGTTGGTTCACCCTCCAATGGCCGCCACGGCCGGCACACTGCGCTGATCTGAAGCCAGGAGCCAGGAGCCAGGTGCTTTTCCTGGTCTCCCATGGGGTGCAGGGCCCAAGCACTTGGGCCATCCTCCACTGCACTCCCTGGCCACAGCAGAGAGCTGGATTGGAAGAGGGGCAACCGGGACAGAATCCGGCGCCCCGACCGGGACTAGAACCTGCTGTGCTGGCGCCGCAAGGTGGAGGATTAGCCTAGTGAGCCACAGCGCCGGCCTTGGTCTTTCTTATGGCTCTGGTTTTACACCTCAGTTTTCTCATTTGTTAAATGGCAATGACTGTGCTACTTGGTATGCTTAGTAGCATGCTGACTGTGAGTTGAAGTCACAGTTAATATTGGCAATTCTTAGTGTTTAGATGGTCCTGTTTCTTTCATGGGTTTCTTGTTTGGACTTTTTTTTTAGAATTAGATATTCTTCAGTGTCTTTAATTGGTTTATCTGTTAAGAACATTTCTGATGTACCTACCAAATGTGTTGACTTGAGCACAAGTTTTGAAATGTTTCGTGTTCATTTCCCACCTTAGTCTTTATCCCCATAGACTTAATGAATCTTAGAGATGAAAATTCAACTCTGAAAAAGTGTCATGATCAGGTCAGTGCCAGTCCCCTGTCCTGAGAGTCAGAAGTTGGAGGCTTCAGTGTTGCCTTTTTCTTTTGATCTCTTTTGGCTTCTCTTTTCCTTTTCTCAAAATTCATTTTCTACTTTTATCTCCTTCAGTCCTTTTTTTAAGAAGTTTTTCAATATTGATGTTTAAATTTCTTTTTTATTTATTTGAAGATCAGAGTTACACAGAGAGAGGCAGAGAGAGGGAGAGGGAGAGGGAGAGAGAGAGAGAGAGAAAGAGAGAGAGGTCTTCCATCTGCTGGTTCACTCCCCAGTTGGCTGCAACGGCCAGAGCTGAGCCGATCTGAAGCCAGGAACCAGGAGCTTCTTCCGGGTCTCCCACATGGGTGCAGGAGCCCAAGGGCTTGGGCCATCTTCTGCTGCTTTCTCAGGCCATAGCAGAGAATTGGATCAGAAATGGGGCCTCTGGGACTCGAACTGGTGCCCATATGGGATGCTGGCACTGCAAGCAGCAGCTTTACCCGCTATGCCACGGTGCCGGCCCTGACGTTTAAATTTCAAAATTCTAAAATGTTATTCACTTGTAGAAAGGCATATTTAAAGATGCCTGACTCTCCATGTCTATTAAGTACACAGTTAGGAAGGTAAGGTGCTAATATTCTGTAATTGATTTTTGAAATACACTTGTAATGTTTTTTATTGTTTGAATTTTGCAGCGAGTTCTATGAGTATCACGCACTGATGATGGAAGAGGAAGGAGCAGTGATTGTGGGGCTGCTGGTTGGCCTGAACGTGATCGACGCGAACCTGTGTGTGAAGGGAGAGGATTTAGACTCACAGGTAAGTAGAGTGGTTGCCCTGTGATGCCCAGGTTCCTCCTTGATCCAGGGGCCATCTGGAGCCACAACAATGCTGGTGAATACTAAAGAAATGCAATTCGTTTACATGTGTAAGGTACTTCCAGTAATGTATTATTTCTTCCTTTTAAATAAAAATAACTTTGTTTACTTCAGGTTGGAGTGATTGACTTTTCCATGTACTTAAAGAATGAAGAAGATATTGGAAATAAAGAAAGGTACGATTTTTTTCATGTTATTCCACATGTATTTTGTCATAGCTCTCTGCAAGTCAGTATGAGAATGATTTACCTGCAATTAGTTTTTGTTTGCTTTTTTTCCTCTCTCCTGTGTTTCCTGCTTTTAATTTTTACTTTTTATTACCAACTTTTCAAAGCAAATTTAGGAAAATCACTTAGAAGAAGGAGGCTTTAGGATAAAGTAGGACTTTTGGTCCTATCTGTAGTTACTGAGACTCATTTTAATAGTATAATTTAGTAGCTATGTTTTGTGATATAAGGGATGAAAGTGTACTATTTACAAGCTTACATGTGCTGATTTATTTATTTTATTTATTTGAAAGAGTTAACAGAGAGGTAGAGAGAGAGAGAGGTCTTCCATCCACTGGTTCAGTCCCCAAATGGCTGCAGTGGCTGGAGCTGAGCCAATCCAAAGCCATGAACCAGGAGCTTTTTCCAGGTCTCCCACGGGGGTGCAGGGGCTCAAGCACTTGGGCCATCTTCTACTGCTTTCTTAGGCCCATTAGCAGGGAGCTGGATCAGAAGTGGAGTGGCCAAGACTCAAACCAGCATGTATATGGGATGCCGGCACTGCAGGCCAGGGCTTTAAACCGCTATGCCACAGCGCTGGCCCCCATGCTGATTTATTTTGAGATCTACCTGTTTAAATTTAAAGTATACTAATTTGGGACTGGCATTGTGGCAGAGTGGGTAAAGTCATATTGGCACCGGTTCATGTCCTGGCTGCTCTACTTCTGACCCAGCTCCCTGCTAATGGCCTGGGAAGGGCAGCGGAAGCATAGTGTTTGGGCCCCTGCCATGCACTGGAACACCCCAGTGGCGCTCCTGGCTCCTGGCTCCAGCCTGGCCCAGCTCTGGCCATTGCGGCCATTTGGGGAGTAAACCAGCAGATGGAAGACCTCTATTTCTCCCTCTCTTTGTAATGCTGACTTTCAACATAAATAAAACTTTAAAACAATGATAAAATGCACCAGTTATGTTAGTCTAGTATTAGCCAGTGATTTCTTCAACAAAGATTAGAACTGGTACACAGCTTGCTGCTCTGTGACTACGAAGATTCTTAAATTTTGTTTGAAAGACAGGACAATGATGTTTCACAACAATTTTTGATAATTTTTTACATCTAATAAATAACTTTCTAATTAGTACAAAGCTGCTTTTTCCTCCCTATAGGAATGTTCAAATTGCTGCCATATTAGATCAAAAGAATTACGTTGAAGAATTAAATAGGCAACTGAAGTAAGTATTCTGGATTCTTATTGTGTTTCTGTTTTTGTTATTTTCCCTTAAGTTCAGCTTAACCCAATCCTTTCTTCCAGGCGTCTTTGGGAAGGGTTGAGGGCCTAGAGACTGGAAATTAAGAACAGAGAGAATTATTGCAGCTAATTCATGTTCAGCAGAAAATGAGAGTTTGATTTTAAATGGAATCTTTGTAGAGTATAAATAGAATTTTAAGCTTATTTTCTTGAGGGAAAAAAAAAAGCCTAGATAAGGTGGAAGTCTATATTAATTTGATGGTTCAAAAATTCATTAACCTAGGCTGGCGTGGTGGTGCAGCAGGTTAAGCTGCCGCCTGCATTGCCAGCATCCCATATGAGCGCTGGTTTGAGTCGTGGCTGCTCCACTTCCAATCCAGCTCCCTGCTAATGCGCCTGGGAAAGAAGTGAAAGAGGACCCAGGTGCTTGGGCCCCTGTACCATGTGGGAGACCTGGAAGAAGCTCTTGGCTTGGAACTGACCCAGCCCTGGCTGTTGCAGCCATCTGGGGAATGAACCAGCAGATGGAAGATCTCTCTGTATCTCTCCCTCTTTCTCTGTAACTCTGCCTTTCGACTAAATAAGCAAATCTCTTAAAAAATTCGTTTTCTTACTGCAAAGGGCTTCATGTGTGATTTAGCTTTGTCTTCTGTGGTGGAAGTTTTCACCTTGGTAATGAGGCCATCAGTGACTGCTCTAGCTGAGAAGACTTTCGGAGATTTCTGTGTCAAATCCTGTAGAGCAGGGGCAGGCATTTGGCGCAGTTAAGGCACTGTTCATGCCACATCCCGTATCAGATCGCCTGGGTTTGAGGCCCCACTCTGCCCTGCATTCCAGCATCAGCACCCTGAGAAGCAGCAGGTGACGTCTCAAGTACTCGGGTCCCTGCCATTCCTGTGGGAGACCCAGGTTCCATTCTGGGCTCTCGGCTTTGATCTGGCCCAGCCTTGGCTGTTACACACATTTGGAGGGTGAACCAGCTAATGGGAACATTTGGTCTCTCTCAGTCCTAAATAAAATAAATAATATAAACAAAATACTGTCCTGCAGTTCTAGTAGAAATATAATGTAAGGCAGATAATTTCAAATTTCTGATAATTTAAAAATAAAAATTAGTTAAAAATACATTTTGGGGCCGGCGCAGTGGCTCACTAGGCTAATCCTCTGCCTGCGGTGCTGGCACCCCGGGTTCTAGTCCCAGTTGCTCCTCTTCCAGTCCAGCTCTCTGCTGTGGCCCAGGAATGCAGTGGTTCTTGGGCCCTGTACCCGCATGGGAGACCAGGAGGAAGCACCTGGCTCTTGGCTTTGGATTGGCGCAGTGTGCCAGCCGCAACGCACCGGCCGTGGTGGCCACTTGGGGGGTGAACCAATGGAAAAGGAAGACCTTTCTCTCTCTCTCTCTCTCTCACTGTCTTTCTCTGCCTGTCAAAAAAAAGTACATTTTATTTAACCCAGTATACCCTAAGTATTATTTTAACATATAATCCAAAAAACCCTTATATAACCAGTAAAAGAAATTACTCATTTTTATATATTTTACATTTTTTGTGGTACTTGCTTCAAAATCTGTGTGTCTTTGACAGCACATTCTAAGTCTCACTAGGTACGTTTTATGTTCTTGGCAGTCATGTGACGCTCATGGCGGTCATACTGTCAGCAGAGAACCTGCACTCTGATATGGGATGTGGGTGTCTGAAGTGGTAGCTTAACCTGCTGTGTCACAACGCCTGCCCCAGACATAGGATTTAATAAAATGTATGATAATGCCCATTCTTGTTCCACTTAAAAGTGCAAAAAACAAGTGTGTTCACGTGGTGTAACCTAACCTTTGATTGTATCCTTGAGAGAAAGGGTGTTAACAGATAGGGTACCTGATGCTGAGTGTCTCATAGTTCTCAAACTATGACTTTGGAGGTCATGTTATGAAAGGTCTATGTTATGGAAATAGAAAGGGAAAATAGAGTCAAGCTTGAAATGTAGATCGCTGTGTAAGTGGTTGATAAAGCCCATGATTATCAAGTGAATATTTAAAGCTCAACCTTTTAAAAATATTTTGAAGTATAATTTTAACAGTATTTAGTCATCTTTGTGTGGAATTTTTACTTTCAACTAGTATCATTTAAATGCAAGAAGGACTCTAAGAAGATGATAAAAATGCATGAGTAGCAGCAAAAGAAATTTTAATGGAAACATTGATTCTTTTGCTTTGGTCTTTGCTGCTTTCCTAGCCAAATCAAGTTATCCAAGTTGATGAAATTTCCCACACTCAGAAACTTTAGGCCCGGTAGTTGGTAACATGTAAGTCAATATAATGAATGCAAAACAACATACTTCTTCTTGCCTTTGTGACGTGGGGTGATTTTGAATGAATTTTTTTCTTTACTAATTTCAGCAGCACAGTCAGCAGCCTTCATTCCAGAGTGGATTCATTAGAAAAGTCAAATACCAAGCTGATTGAAGAGGTATGGTCAGCCAGTAGCAGAGCTGCTTCCCTGCACCTGTTGTCCGTGACCTTTTTCCGTTTTAAGTGTGATTGAGCATGTGTGGGCACACACACTTGAGTTGTGATGGGAGACTTACAGATGCAGTTGATGATGATGTTATACGGAAACCACATATTCTTTAGGCAAACTCCCAGTTTTGTGAATCTTTGAGATACTCAACTTCTAGAAATGAGCTCCAGAGACAAAATGCAACACTTCTATAGATGAGCTGTGATTATCTTAGAGCCTGGATGACCTGGTATTTAGATGGTGGAATCACTGACGATGGTTAGAAATTCTCGTTGGAGTGATACTGCCCCTCTTGTTCCACTGCTTGGGTGACTTTTCTTCACAGGCCTCACTGCATGATCATGTCCACCCTTTGTCCACCTCCGTGGGTAAAACTTCCTGTGTGCTCTGCTTCTCTGCACTGTGGGAAGTGACTGGCTGATGGTCCCAGAGCTCACTTGAAGAACAACCAGACACTTAGCTCTCTTTAAATACTATTTGGAGAATTGCTTTTTAGAGACATTTTTCATCTTCTTTTAAAGAAAATCCGTTAGACAAAGTTATTGCTTCCTATTTTTAGAACTATTTAAGTTACAGGAAGAAGTCTGTTATTAATGCTATCAGCTCTATTTTCCATGACAAAATTCTTTTTTCTTTTAGAATTGGCCCCCTTTTTCCAAACCAGGGAGCACATTTTAGAATGCATTTTCATTTTGATGGTGGGACTCTGGATTGGGACCATTTTGGAGCTATTTACTGTTTGTAACTCTTTTTGATGTTAGATGCAATGTGAAGTTTAAGTTGTATCCTGGATAAAGTGTTTAGAAATTAGCTAATTGCAAGCCAACATTAGGGAACGGTCCCTGCTTTGCTTTCTTGGGATCCTTTTTTTTCATTCTGGTCTCAGAGCCAAGCCACTTAGTTACTCAAGAGTTACTCATGTTTACCTTAAGTGGTGAGAGCTGTCTGATGTTAGTTGTAATCATTCAGATTATTGTTATGAACCCAGATTTTACAGTGTATGCTATTCAGTAACCATGAGTGTCTGTGTTAGATTTTTCAGTGATTATACAACTTTCTCTCCTTACATGTGTTTGTCTCTTTAAGCAAGTCTTTATGGTCTTATTACTAATTGCATGGTTCTTTATGTGCTTACTCAGATACTTTGTATCCAGGACATACTGTACATCAGACAATAAGTATAATGTAGGTAGAATTATAGGCATAACAAATAAGTGTAATATATTTCAACTACAAAATAGTAGTACAAAAGTAATTAAAAATGTAATTTTTAAATGGTATTTTGGGATAATAGGGGGTGCACTTTTCCTATCAATGTTTGAAAATTACTAAATTGAAGATTTTATTTTCTGTTGTTTATAGCCATGAACATTACCTGTGAAGCACATATAAATAAAAAATCTTTTAAAATCTTTTTTTTCTTGCCCCCTTTGCATAATTTTTAGTTGGCTATCGCGAAAAATAATATCATTAAACTGCAAGAAGAAAATCATCAGTTACGAAGTGAAAATAAATTGATTTTAATGAAAACACAGCAGCACCTAGAGGTATGTGTGGACTACTTTCAGCCTTGTGTCAGAAATGATCCTATTTTCGCATAAACGAGGTAATTTTTGTCCTGTGTTCATGGAAGTTAATATGGAATAGACAACTTTATGTTTTCTCTCTAGGTCACAAAAGTGGATGTGGAAACTGAGGTGCAGACGTACAAGCATTCTCGGCAGGGGCTGGATGAGATGTACAGTGAGGCCAGGAGACAGCTTCGAGATGAGTCTCAGCTAAGACAGGTAGGTCACACGAGTCACATCGCAAAATCCTGGGGATAATTTACTCTCAGCCAGGCACAACTTCAGATCTCCTTGAGCTAGCAAACTCACTCCCTTAACCCTCTCAAATTCTTTAAGCTCCCACTGTAGTGATTTTTTTTTTAAGATTTATGTATTTGAATTGGCAGAATGACAGAGTGAGAGAGGGAGAGACAGAGATCTTCCATTTGCTAGTTCACTTCCCAAATGGCTTCAACCACTGGGACCGTGCCAGGCCAAAGGCAGGACTCTGGAACTCCATCTGAGTCTCCCATACGGGTGGCAGGGGCCCGAACACTTGGGTCATCTTCTGCTACTTTCCTTGGCAGGGAGTTGGGTTGGATGTGAAGGGAAATCCAAGTTGATCTCAATTGCTGTCATGTATCTGATTCTGATACCCTGAGAAGGGGCATGTGAATTGAGGAGTCATTGAAATTGCAGGATGTGGAGAATGAGCTAGCTGTACAAGTAAGCATGAAACATGAGATTGAACTTGCCATGAAGTTGTTGGAGAAAGATATCCACGAGAAACAAGATACTTTGATAGGCCTTCGACAACAACTAGAGGAAGTTAAAGCAATTAACATAGAGATGTATCAAAAGTTGCAGGTAAGGAATTTTCTTAATCTCTTGTAATTCTTTTTGTGTACACCGAAAATGAATATTTGTAGGAAGGGTTTGGTTTTTAAGAGATCAGCCCCTTTTAACTATGTCATATTGATTATAAGAGCCAGTGTGTATTTTTCTTGATGGAAGTGCTAAAAAATTTAATGCAGTATATAAATATATGGAAATATCACATCATATCCTATAAATATGTACATTTTTAACGTAATACCTTAAGTTAAAAATAGTAAAATTAATGAAAACCAAAAAAGCAAATAAGTGTTATAAAAACATGATAAAGGACAAACATATCACCTGTCTGGAGGTTTTTAAAATATTTATTTATTTGAAAGGCAGAGTTACTGAAGAGAGGGAGGGAGAGGCAGAGAGAAGGAGGTCTTCCATCTGCTAGTTCACTCCCCGAGTGGAGCAGGGGTGATCCGGAGCCAGGAGCCAGGAGCCATGTGGTTAAAGGGGCCCAAGCACCTGGGTCATTTTCTGCTGCTTTCCCAGGTGCAGTCAGGGAGTTGGATCGGAAGTGGAGCAGCTGGGACTTGAAACTGCTGTGCCACAGCTCTGCCCCTGAATTTGTTAATATTGAATATTGAATAACAATATATTTAATATTGTTAATATTGAAATGTTAACCGTATAAACAAGCATCCAAAAGTGTTTTGCATGTTTAGACAGTGTATTACTGAGAAAGGTTTAATTTTGACTGAGATGCTTCACTATCGTAATTGTGAACTTCTAATAAATGACATTGCTGTTAAATAGATTTGTTGTCAAAATCCCCTTAAATTTAATTAATTTGGAGAATGACATATTTTACAAGAATTCTATTATCTTCAAAAACAGAGTTTTTTTTATTACATTTTGAAAAAAATATTTTATTTATTTATTTGAGAGGTAGAGTTACAGACAGTGAGAGGCAAAGACAGAGAGAAAGGTCTTCCTTTCATTGGTTCATTCCCCAAATGGCCGCTACGGCCGGCGTAGCCAGGAGCCAGGTGCTTCTTCCCGGTCTCCCATATATGTGCAGGGGCCCATGCACTTGGACCATCTTCTGCTTTCCCAGGCCATAGCAGAGAGCTGTATTGGAAGAAGAGCAGCTGGGATTAGAACAGGCACTCATATGGGATGCTGGCACTGCAGGTGGAGGATTAACCTACTGCACCATGGCGCCAGCCTCTCTTTATTACATTTTAAATGAAGACTGGTAGCACTGTTTTTATAATAGAATTACTTAATGTGTACATTAATACTCATTTCAAAGTCACAATTCCTATGACAGAATAGTCTAAAAAAACTTAAAATATCCAGGTTCAAAAGTAAAAATGGTGCAGGTCTTTAGCCTAGCAGTTAGGACATTGGTTAAGGTGCCCATGTCATATATTGGAGTTTGATACCCAGCTCTGGCTCCTGTGTTCAGTTTCCTGCTAGTACAGTTCCTGGGAGGCAGCAGTGATGGCTCAAGTAATTGGGTTATTGCCACCCACATGGGAGACCTGGCTTCTAGTTCTGGCCCCAGTCTAGTCTCAGCCATTGGGAGCATTTGGGAAGTGAATAATGAATGGGAGCGCCCCCTTTTTTTTTATTTTTATTTTATTTATTTGAGAGGTAGAATTACAGACAGTGAGAGGGAGAGACAGAGAAAGGTCTCCATCCATTGATTCACTCCCCAGTGGCCACAGTGGTCAGAGCTGCACCAATCTGAAGCCAGGAGCTTCTTCTGGGTCTCCCGTGTGGGTGCAGGGACCCAAGGACTTGGGCCATCTTCTACTGCTTTCCCAGGCCATAGCAGAGAGCTGGATTGGAAGTGGAGCAGCCGGGACAAGAACCGGCACCCATATGGGATGCCGGCATCGCAGGCAGAGTGTTAACCTACTGCGTCACAGCGCTGGCCCTGAGAGTGCTCTTTCTAACTGTGACAGTCTGTCTCTGTTGGGGCGGCATTGTGGCATAGCAGGTAATGCTGCTGGTTTGTGTCCTGGCTGTTCCACTTTCCTTCCAGCTCCCTGCTAATGGCTAATGAGAAAAGCAGCAGATGGCCAAAGTGTTTGGGCCCCTGCCACCTACGTGGGAGACCCGGGCAAAGCTCCCGGCTCCTGGCTTCTATCTGGCTCAGTACTGGCCATTGTGGCCTTCTGGGGAGTGAACCAATGGATGGAAGATGTCTCTCTCTTCTGTCTGTCTCTTCCTCTCTCTGTAACTATAATAAGTAAATTTTTTTAAGAAATGAAAATAAGTAAATTTTTTTAAGAAATGAAAACCAGTATAGTTTCATATTTTTATAAATAGGGTTCTGAAGATGGCTTAAAAGAAAAAAATGAAATAATTGCCCGACTAGAGGAAAAAACCAGTAAAATTACTGCAGCCATGAGGCAGCTGGAACAAAGGTACACCACTTCCAATCTTAGTTTCTTTCTCCCCCCTTCTTCCTCCCTTTTTTCTTTATTCAACTCTGACACCTGCCACAGAGGCCATTAGGAAAATATAAAGTAGACATGTTTTTGTTTAAGCCCAGCAGGATTTTGCCTTTTGTTTTGGTTGTTGCATGGAATCAAGTTGCTTTATATTAGGCTGATTTGTTTGAGTTTGCCATTTTGTAGATTTTTTTTAAAAGCCTAATATCAGTAGTTTTCTGTGGTTCAACCTGCTATATAAAACAAATACACAAACAAAAACCTTACAAAAATTCAAAATGAACAAAATCCATGGTGGGACTATCCCTGATTGATTCCCATGCATATTAATTGTCATGTTCTTTTCCATTCACCATCTCTTTATCTGAAATCAGGCATTCTGAATTGGTGGTTTAGTTCTGTTTCTTTGACCTAGGACCCTCAACCCAACCCAAGATACAATTTTGTTTAAATTGAATTGGTTTATATTAGCATTTTTCACTTTTATTGTTGGAAAATGTAATGTATTTCCATTGCCCCGTCATGTTGGTGTCAACATATGTCTTATCATTGCTTTCTTTGAATCTACTTATGAAAAACATAACTATTAATGCTTTATGGACATGAATATTCTTTTATTGACATCCTCTTTCTTCTTTTTTCTTTTTTGTTTTCTTTATCCCCATTTTTACATTTTGGACATCTTTATTACCTTTTTCTGTCTTTGATTTCTGTCCATTCCATTATGAAGTGACAATGATTTGTTAACTCAAACTAGGACAATTGCAATGTCATTGGTGAAATGTGCCAGCACTGACACTCAGGACCAGTACAAGCTGGTCAAGGATATCTCTTTCTGAAAACTACTCATTTACCCAGACTAAAAGAGAATCAACAGTTTTGTAATATATTAAATAGAAAAGAATGTATGCTATTAAGTAAAAGGGTGTTAGGAACCCTGTCCGTTTCTTGGTTGGCTGCTGTGGTACCTTGCCATACAGCAGAGCGGGTACACTTGGATTTCTAGAAATGCTCCCCTCAAACCTCATGTACGAGGGCCGGTTCGAGTATTGGCCCTTTGGAGGTCAGGATTTACAAATGCAGTTTTATCTTTTTTAGCAACTTTTTGATGGAAAACGTACAAATTGTTTAAAAACAAGTTAACCTTTAGTTTCACAATGTGTTGGCACTGATTTTGTTCTCCACTGGCCCACTGTTGGCTTGACGACCCCTTTCCTGGCTGTCATGTAGTTGACCGCCCACGATGGCCGCCGCCCCCTGCTTCACCGTCACAGTCTTCCAGTCCCCACAGTTCTCACTGGTGATAGCACAACTTCGAGGCCTACCTCACTCTGACATTCTCTTACTCTCTCTAACCTGAAAGAAGAGCACCTCCACCACCCTGACATTTAAATTTAAATTTTGATTAGAGATAACGTAAATGTTACTCTCCATTCTTTGGAAGCAGCATTTCTGTTTCTGAAATGTGTGGGGGTTACCCTATGGGGTATGGTTTTCAGGCAAAAAGATAGTGACAGGTTTTTTAATAGTTAATTGAACAGAAATTTGTGATTTGCAATAAGGAGTTAACGTTCCTCGAATCTTTGGAGATATTTTCTTATAAAAATACTAAAATTAAACTGAGAAATCCTAGGTGGCCAAAGGAGGCAGGAAGTAGAACTAGGCAGAGGGAGAAGCAATGAGTCACGAATAAAAATAGAAAAAAATCAAAATTACATCTTAGCTGATTTTTAATATTCAATTGGAGGAACAAAAATGATCTCTAGACAATGATGCCAACTAGCACTAAATCTGTTTTGTCTCTTTAAAAAAAAGCCCATCTATGTCCACACCCATAGACGTCACACGGCTTTGGCATAATTGAGTGAATGCATAGAGATCCCATAGGAGAGACTCGGCTGTCATTTGGAGTAGTGCAGGTCTTTGCTCTCGGCCTTGCAGCACACGTGATTCCTGGCGTACACATCTGAGCGTAGCGCGACAGTGTGGCTTCTTTACCTAGTGTAGGCATAGTTCTATGATTTTCATGGTTTTGTATAAAGGCAGTAACATACCTGTTAGACTTTGAAATTTGATTCATTACGCTCTACCTAAGTGGTAAAGGCTGTATTGCTTTGCATTGTTAATTATGAAAGATAAATAAAACAAATTTGAAGATCGTATTCTGGGCATATTATATGTTATATTGGAAAAAAAAATCACAAAATAGTTTCTAGACATTGTGTGGCTCTTTCACGTTTGAGTTTGTGAGTTTTCCCCAAACTTTGTTTTCATTTAGAAATGTTTCTATTTCCCCATTTTTCTTTTCTTTGTCTTCTTCACCCTTTTACACCCTAGTTCTAGCCTCAGTTTTACCCAAAGTTGATTTGAATTACACCAGATTGCAGCAAGCAGAGAAGGCGCAAATGGAAGCTGAAGCTGAAGATGAGAAATATCTACAAGAATGTCTGAGTGAATCCGACAGTCTGCAGAAACAGATCTCCCAGAAGGAGAAACAGCTGTGAGTATTTATTCCCTGGAAATAAATACTTGAATTAGCATAGTTCTACTGCCCCACCTCCTTTTTTTGGGGGTGGGGGGAGGAGACACACAATGGTAGAATATCAATATTTTTATTTATCTAATGATGCCTGTGAGGTCGTAATGCTTACTTTACAAACAAAAAAATTTAGGAAATATAATTGTGGTAATATGCTTCTTTTTTTTTTTAAAGATTTATTTATTTATTTATTTTCAAGGTAGAGTTTACAGAGGACAAGAGAGAGGGAGGGAGAGACAGTGATCTTCCATCTGCTGGTTCACTCCCCACATGGCTGCAATGGCCACAGCTTAGCCGGTCCAAAGCCACGAGCCAGGAGCTTCCTCGGGGTCTCCCACGTGGGTGCAGGGGCCCAAGCACCTGGGCTATCTCCTGCTGCTTTCCCAGGTGCATTAGCAGGGAGCTGGATCTGAAGTGGAGCAGGTGGGACTAGAACCAGTGCTCATATGGGATGCCAGTGCTACAGGCAGTGGCTTCACCTGCTATGCCACAATGCTGGCCCTGATAGTGTGCTTTTGTTCCCTTAACTGTTTTTGTTTGTTTGTTTGTTAGATAGTATTTATTTGAGAGGTAGAGTTGCAGACTGAGAGGGAGAGACAGCCAGAAAGGTCTTCCATCTACTGGTTCATTCTCCAAATGGCCTCAGTGTTCACAGCTGAGCAGATCCAAAGCCAGGAGCCAGAAGCTTCTTCCGGGTCTCCCATATAAGTGCAGCAGCCCAAGGACTTGGGCCTTCTTCCACTGCTTTCCCAGGCCACAGCAGAGAGCTGGGTCTGAAGTGGAGCAGCTGGGACACAAACCTGTGCCTGTGTTGGATGCTAGTGCCACGCAGGTGGATTCTTAGCTTTCTACACCCCAGCCTCTTCCCCAACTCCCTTAACTGTCTGGAGCAATTTCAACTATCTTGCTGTTTTCTAGTTCTAGGAGAGTTTTATTCTTTCTGCTGTTAATATTATGGCCATTGAATTTCTAGATATCGAGTATAGTATGATTTTGTAACTTCAGTGAACTTCTGTTATCAAAGAATATGTGATTTTCTGAGAACATTTTAAGTAGTACTTCATATGATGGATACTATGTCTATATCCAGGGACCGGCACTGTGGCATAGTAGGTTAAGTCTTCACCTGTGATGCTGGCATCCCGTACAGTTGCTGGTTCGAGACTTCGCTGCTTTGCTTCTGATCCAGCTCCCTGCTAATGGCCTGGGAAAGCTGTGGAGGATGGGCCAAGTGGAGGCCGGGAGCCAGGAGCTCGATCTGAGTCTCCTTTATCGGTGGCAAGGACCCAAATACCTGAGCCATCATCTGCTGCCTCCCAAGGTGCACGTTAGCAGGAGTCTGGAATGGAGAGTAGAGCCCAGACTTGATCCTAGGCACTCCAGTATGGGTTGTCCCATGCAGCATTTTAACTGCTACACCAAATGCACACTGCCAAATATCCAATTTTTTTAGATAAAGTTAAAATGCTCTTATGTGTATTTACACATCAAAAAGAGTTAAAGGATACATATTCTGGCAAGTTAATATCTCAAAGGACTGATGCAACATTGACAGGGGAATTTTCATTTAACTGTATAAACATCCTGAGTTTTCTGCTAGTAAATACATACTGTTGTTGTTATTAAAAGAAAGCAACTATGGAAAATGAGAGTTAAGCTTCTGTTAATAGATCATTAAACAAGACCACATGTTGTGTGTTATATATAAGTTTCTAAGTTTTCTCTCTTTTTTAAGATTTATTTTATTTATTTTAGAGAGTTAGAGAGAGGGGAACAGACAGAAAGGTCTTCCATCCGCTGGTTCACTCCTCAAATTCCTGGGGCGGCCAGAGCTGGGCCGATCCTAAGTTAGGAGCCAGGAGCTTCTTTGGGGTCTCAGAGGACTTGCAGGGGCTCAAGGACTTGAGCCATCTTCTGCTTCTCCAGGCACATGAGCAGGGAGCTGGATTGGAAGTGGAATAGCTGGGACTTGATTCAGCACCTGTATGGGATGCTGGCTGCAGGTGGCGGCTTAACCTGTTACACCACAATGCCAGTCCCATCATCTTTCTTTCTTTTTTAATTTATTTGAAAGAGTTACAGAGAGAGGTAGAGCTAGAGAGAGAGAGGTAGAGCTAGGGAGAGAAAGAGACAGACAGGTAGAGCTAGAGCTAGAGCGAGAGAGAGAGAGAGAGAGATCTTCTGTTCCACTGGTTCACTCCCCCAAATGACCACAGTGGCTAGAGCTGAGCTGATCAGGAGCCAGGAGCTTCTTCCAGTCTCCCATGCAGCTGCAAGAGCCCAAGGTCTTGGGCCATCTTGCATTGCTTTACCAGGCCATAGCAGAGAGCTGGATTGGAAGAGGAGCAGCCGGGACTCTAATTGGCATCCATATGGGATGCTGACGCTGCAGGCTGGGACTTTAACCCACTGCACCACAGTGCCAGCCCCAGCCCCAGCCCCATCATCTTTCAATGTATCTGTGTATTTGAAGTGAGTTCCTCTTACACAGCATAAAGTTTATGTTGTTTTAATCCTGCCAACTCTGTGTTTCATAGTATGTTTGGTCCATTTACATTTAGTATAATTATTGACATATTGGAGCCTAAATCTACCATTTTACTGTTCATTTTGTTTTCCTGTGTTTTGTTCCTTTTTTTGATTTTGCTTGCTTTTTCCTCTCCTGTTTTGCTGGGATAGAATATGGTCAAAATGGCTTTTATGTTGCTATGTTGCCTCCTTTCTAGCCCTTTGGAAAAAGAGCAGACTTTTCTTGGGGCTTTTTTGGTCTGTGCCCATTTGGTTTTTATATGTTGAGGGTTAGGTTAGTCAATCTGAACTACAGGAGAAAAATCTTAGCAACTCACCACCGTATTGATCCTTGAGTCTTGAATTTCCTAACTGATCTTTCTCTGTGTCCTTCAGAGGCATCGTGTTTATTATGTGCATAATGGAAAGGGTTTTGAGCCTAAGTTAGCTGGAGAGATAGGAGTAATGTGTTTACTCCATCTCATTTAGAACCAGAATTCTAAGCTGCTTCTCCGTTTACTGCAAAAATAATATTTTGGGGGCTGGCGCTGTGGCATTGCGGGTAAAGCCCCTGCCTGCAATGCCGGCATCCTATATGGGCGCTGGTTTGTGTCCTAGCTGCCCCACTTCTGATCCAGCTCCCTGCTATGGCCTGGGAAAGAAGTGGAGGATGGCCCAAGTCCTTGGGCCCCTGAACCCGCGTAGGAAAAGAAGAAGCTCCTGGCTCCTGGCTTCTGACAGGCCCAGCTTTGGCCACTGCAGCCATTTGGGGGAGTGAACCAGTGGATGGAAGATACCTCTCTGTAATTCTGTCTCTCAAATAAATAAAATAATTCCTTAAAAATATTTTTGAAGAATTGATATATAGAATAAATCTTTTTTTAAAAAACTTATTCTTTATTTATTTGAAAGAGTTACACAGAGAGGAGAGGTGGAGAGAGAGAGAGAGGTCTTCCATCCGATGGTTCACTCCCCAATTAGCTGCAACAGCTGGAGCTGTGCTGATCTGAAACCAGGAGCCAGGAGCTTCTTCTGGGTCTCCCACGCGGGTGCAGGGGCCCAAGGACCTGGGCCATCTTCTACTGCTTTCTCAGGCCTCAGCAGAGAGCTGGATTGGAAGTGGAGCAGCTGGATCTCAAACCGGCGCCCATATGGGATGCCGGCACTGCAGGACAGGGCATTAACCCGCTGCGCCACGGCGTCGGCCCCTAGAATAAGTCTTTAATCTGGGGAATCTTAGCCTATTTGAAAACTTGTGTCATTTGAATATTGTGAAACTAAAGCTTACCCTCCAAAAACAAAGATAGCTCATCATCTGCAATTCCCTCTTAATTTTAAGCGCGTTCAGAAAGGTATAGCCAGAGCTTTCAGGGCTTCCTTTGGCAACCAACATCCTAGGGAACGTTTAAGTCATCAAGTTTATTGTTGGTGCCCCAGCTTTGCTGTGTCCATTCCTGTGCCCTGGCAAATGAATCACAGGAGAAGCAAGACTGGGGCACTTGGCCAGGTAGCAGGATGTTGTCTTGAAGCAATGGCACTCTCCCATTGAGTCACCTTTTTGCTTCACAAAATCCTAGGTCAGGCAAATCGGATATTGATTCTGCAGTGATACAGCATATTCTTCAGTAATGCTATTACATGATCCCCACCCAAAGGAAGATACAGCCAGGTCCCTCCCTTGTGTGGGTAAAGTTCTGAGCAGGACAGAGTGCAGTGCAGAGAGGTGTTGTCTCTGGTGAAACTGAAAATCACTCTGTCTCTCGGTTGGCACCATTTTGGTAGAACATGACCACATTATCAGTTTGGAGAGCGGGGGAACCCCTGATGGTTCTGAAAACTTGGAACTGTGTGTTTGGAGATGGGCAGCTGAGACTTTGTCAGAGAAAGGTAAATTCTGTTTGTCCCCCTAAAATAGAAATAACTGTATTAGTTTCTCCTTATGAAAAGATTACACACTCTTGGTGAAAACCTTAGAAAATATGAAGAAAATGAAAACTAACCTTTTTGAAACATTTTAACAAGTGTCCCTAAGTCTCCCTGATATACATAATTTTTTTTGTATTTTTTAGAAATAGGACCATGCTGTACACTCGTTAGTATCTTGTATATTTACTA